TTTTTTTTTGGTTTCAATTTCATTTATTTCTACTCTAATTTTTATTATTTCCTTACTTCTGCTGACATTGGGCTTTGTTTGTTCTTCTTTTTCTAATTCTGTTAGGTGTAGTTTAAGGTTGCTTATTTGGGATTTTTCTTGTTTGTTAAGGTGGGCCTGTATTGCTATAAGTTTCCCTCTCAGCACTGCTTTTGCTGTGTCCCATATGAGTTGGTATGGTGTATTTTCATTTTCCTTTGTCTCCAGATATTTTTTGATTTCTCCTTTAATCTCTTCACTGATCCCTTGGTTGTTCAGTAGCATGTTGTTTAGTCTCCACATCTTTGTCACTTTCCCGGTTTTTTTCTTATAGTTGATTTCTAGTTTCAAAGCATTATAGTCAGAGAAGATGCTTGTTATGATTTCAGTCTTCTTAAACTTATAGAGGCTTGCCTTGTTTCCCACCATGTGGTCTATCCTTGAGAATGTTCCATGCGTGCTTGAGAAGAATGTGTAATCTGCTGTGTTTGGATGGAGTGCTCTATATATGTATGTTAACTCCATTTCGTCTAGTTTTTCATTTAAGTTCACCTATTTCCTTATTGATTTCTATCTGGATGATCTATCCATTGATGTAAGTGGGATGTTAAGATCCCCTACTATTACTGTGTTGCTGTTAATACCTCCTTTTAGGTTTGTTAATAGTTGCTTTATGTACTTTGGTGCTCCTGTGTTGGGTGCATATATATTTATAAGTGATATATCTTTTTGGTGGAGTATCCCTTTTATCATTATATATTGTCCCTCTTCGTCTCTCATTACCTGTTTTATCTTGAAGTCTACTTTGTCTGATTTAAGTATGGCAACACCTGCTTTCTTTTGTTTGCCATTGGCTTGGAGTATTGTCTTCCATCCTTTCACTCTGAGCCTGTGTTTGTCTTTAGATCTGAGATGTGTTTCCTGGAGGCAGCATATTGTTGGATCTTGTTTTTTAATCCATCCCGCCACTCTGTGTCTTTTGGTTGGAGAATTCAATCCGTTTACATTTAGAGTGATTATTGGTATATGAGGGCTTAATGTTGCTATTTTATGGCTCATTTTCTGGTTCTTTTGCATTTGCTTTGTTTCTTGTCCCTTGTGTTTCAGACTCGCAGTTCAGTTTGGTAGTTCTGTATGATGGTTTTCTTAGTTTTCTCTTTATTTATTGTATGTGTCTCTGTTCTGATTGTTTGTTTAGTGGTTACCATGAGGTTTGTGTAAAAAAATCTCGTAGATGAGATAGTCCATTTTTTGATGGCCTCTTATCTCCTTAGACTTAGTCGAGTCCATCCCTTTCCTCTTCCCCTTCTAAGTTATCATTGTCACAAATTATTCCATATTGTGTTGTGAGTTTGAGTTTAAAGTGATGAGGTTATATTTATTTTTGGTGTTTTCCTTCTCTTTATGTCTGTTGTTGTAATTAAGTGTTTGCTAACTTGTTCTGATAGAAAGCTGCAATTTTTTTTGATTTTGTCTATCTATTTTTCTCCTTGCTCAAGGCTTTGTAACCCTTTTCTTTTTATTTTTTTCAGGTATGAGGGCCTTCTTGAGCATTTCTTGTAGGGGGGTCTTGTGGCGATGAACTCTCTTGGCTTTTGTTTATTTGGGAAAGTTTTTACTTCTCCATCATACCTGAAGAATATTTTCGCTGGATAGAGTATTCTTGGCTGAAAGCTTTTGTCTTTCAGAACTTTTTTTTTTTTTGTGAGGTTGCTTGGCTGTGAGCTAACATCCATTGCCAATCTTCCTCTTTTTGCTGAGGAAGATTGGCCTTGAGCTAACGTCTGTGCCCATCTTCCTCCATCTTGTATATGGGATGCCTCCACAGCATGGCTTGATGAGTGGTGTGTAGGTCTGTGCCTGGGATCCAAACCTGTGAACCCCAGGCTGCTGAAGTGGAACGTGTGAACTTAACTACCGCGCCACCAGGTTGACCCCTGTCTTTCAGAATTCTGAATTTATCATTCCACTCTCTCCTAGCCTGTAAAGTTTCTGCTGAGAAATTGGCTGAGAGCCTGATAGGAATTCCTTTGTACGTTATTTTTTTTGTCTTTTATTTTCTCTCATTGGCTTTTGCCAGCTTTACTACTGTATGCCCTGGAGAGGGTCTTTTCATGTTGATATATTTAGGAGATCTATTGATTTAATTCACTTGTATTTCTAGCTTCTTCCCCAGGTTTGGGAAGTTCTCGGCTATTATTTCTTTGAACACACTCTCTGGTAAGGCAGTCTCTTATACATCTCTACCTGGCTTCCTTAGAACAAACTACTTTTAACCATTTGTTCAGTGGTGGTTTGAAAAATAAAGTATATGTATACTGTTCAAATGAATCAAAAATAACTTTGTGTTCATCAGCTTGCTTTTCACACAGTATCTATTGAACATACATGAGCATGGGGTATTCAGTTGTTGTTATATTACAGTTAAGAGAACTTGGTATCTTCCTTATTCTATAGGAATTTAAAATCTATAGAAAAGAGTAGCGACATAGTCAAGAATAAATGAAGCCAAACGAACACCTTCTGGCTGGGGATCCCAACATTCCAATACGTTTAATAGTCATGTGTGTGATTATGTCCACAGGAGGGTGTGCCTCCTTGTCTCTCCTGATCGATTTCGCCTTCAGGTCCCAGACACATATTTTTAGAGCTGGAAAAAACCACATAGAACCTTTACAGTGGTTCTTATCCTTTTTTGGATCATTGACCCTTTTGAGAATCTGGTAAAAGGAATACACCCTCCCTAGCAAAATGAATGAGTGCATCTACACCGAAAATTTGTGTATATATTTATGGAGTTCCTAGACCATTTAAACCTATTCGCAGAGAAGTCCTGATCCAAGGCAGCTTCTCATTTTATAGATGAATAAACTGAGACCTAGACAGATTTCCTCAGGTGGTAGAGCCAGCTCTTAATCTAAGGGTTTTGTACACATTTTCAAGATTCCAACTGTGCTTTAATAAATCTCTAAAATGCAATGTGATGTGGTCAACATCATGTAGAATATGCTATACTCTACCAAAGAAAACATAGTCCAACGAAAGACCTTAATCAATGACAAGTAGTAAAAGATGGAAAAATAGAATTGATCAAAATTCCCTCAAATCGTGGTGCAGGTTAAAGCCCTGTAACGCGTGTATCCTTGTAATCTGAAAATAAGGGTAGAAAGGGGAAAAGAATATGTTTGCTATGCATGGTGTTTGACTGATCTCACCCTGCAGTGGTTTTGGGGCTGTAGGCTCTACTCTGCCCTTTGTCTTCAGCCCCATACAATCCTCTCCTTCTCACTCTCTCTTAAGCTTTGGCAGCCGCCATCCGCCTCCCCAGGCCCAAGTTCTCCCATCATTCTGTTATCCTTCCTCCCCTTCTAACATCTCTATCTAGTATCTATTGCAGACCAAGGATCTAGGATAAAGCAGCAACCCAAGCTGTCCAATGATGGCAGACAGACGTTGCAAAAATGTGCATTTGCTGTCACACCCTTCTTTTTGTGTTTTTAGTAGAATCAGAGAGGTCTGACTTTTCTTTTTCCTTTCTTGCTTATTTTGAGTGGCTGTAATGTGGCATAATTGATTTTTTTTTCTCCTCTTCCTTAGCAGCCTCTCTGGGGCAGTCAGAAGCCATCTTCTGTCCAGCTCTGGGTCTCCTTTGGCCGGAAGCCCATGCGAGCAGCCCAGTTTGTCACAAGACATCCTATTAATGTAAGTGGGATCTGCTTGGGGCTGGGGAGAAGTGTAATTGTCCCCATGCAGAGGTCAGGGGAAGGGTGTCCTGCCGAGGTGGATATTTGACAGAGGCTTCCTGAAGTCACTTTCCATATAGGTCTCTAGAGAGAGCTGTTATGCTTTGGGCATCTTGGTCTGTGTTTTCCCTCTTCGCTGTTTGAAGTGGAGCTGAACAGGTGCCTTAATTTGCTTTAAGTGGAGAGGGATTGGCAGAGAGGTTTGGAGCCAGAGTCAATGGGCTCAGTGTGACAGTCCTGAAGGAATGGAAAGGAGTGACAACAGCCGTTATTTATTAACTATCTGCTGTGTTGCTCACAGATGGGTAGGTTCCAAAAGGGGCTAAGATTTGGGTCCTACCCTTTTAGAAACAGATAGATTGGAGAGAGAGAGAACCGAGCGGAGGAAGAAACTACGTACAGTATGATGCGTGACTATGCAATATGTATTATAACATAGAGAGGGATAAGAAAGATCTGTGGGATGGGGTCATCAGGGAGGAGGTGGCATTTGGAGGTCTTGACACTAGCAGTGGGTATGGTGGAAGGTTAGTAGCTTAGAGGAGTACGTAATGGAGAACACTCTAGTCACGTCTTTGCTTTCTGTGTGTTCTGCCCTTCCTTTAGTCACCTTAGAGAAAATGAAAGGAAAGGAAATGCATATTAATCTATATTGTACTTTATACTAATGATAGGTTTCATGGGAAAATGAGGAAGATATTATTAACTAAAAAGAGGTTTTTAGGTCATTTATGGAGTTCAGCGGCCCATTCTTATTTCATGCCCCATTTGCCAATAAGGGGCCAGCTCCACTACAGGGCAGTTTCAGGTTCTCCACAGAGAAAGTCACGGCCAAATCTTTACCAAGATTGGGAAGATTTCCGTGGGCTCCAGGCCCACATTCATCACTGGAATGGAATTTGGAAGTGATTACTTTAGTGTGCATAGGGGAAGCCCACAGGGCATATGTGTTTTTTGACTTGCATATTTTTTGACTTTTGATTCCAAAGGAATATTACATCGCGGATGCCTCCGAGGACCAGGTGTTTGTGTGTGTCAGTCATAGCAACAACCGAACCAACTTATACATCTCGGAGGCAGAGGGGCTGAAGTTCTCGCTGTCCTTGGAGAACGTGCTCTATTACAGCCCAGGAGGGGTGGGCAGTGACACCTTGGTGAGGTAAGGAGTCCATGAGTCCCTCCCCTCTCACATCAGTGCAGCCACCAACCTCTAGTTGGGTGTTTTTTAACATTAGCTGCACATTTAGATGCATCTGGGGGCATTTGCAGAAACCCCAATGTCTGGCTCATGTTTCCAGAGATTACAATTTAACAGGTTTGGGGTGTGGCTGGGGTATGAGGATTTTAAAAAACTCCCCAGGTAATTTTTATGTGACACCAGGGCTGAGCACCAGCGCTCTAAGGTGACATTTAGGGTCACACCACTGTGTCAGCCTCTCCCTTGAGTTCCTTTCATTCCGTTATCTGATTTTGTGGTCTCTGAGCCAGTAGGAAGGAAGACTTGGAAAATATCATCGACTCAGGGTGAGCTGCATATGTGGCCGTGGGGCCTTGCCTCTGGGTGACTCAGGTTAATTGGCATCATCAGTCTTGTATAGTGATTGCAAGATACTGTTCTGTGGGTGTCTCTGGGCAGACAATAACATCATTGATCCTTTATCAGTGAATCACACGTGTGGAGCTTTGCAGTAGTGGGTGTTCTTTGGGCTGTGGAGGAGCCTGGGGTTCATGAGGGATGAATGCCATGAATCTGTGAGTGGCACTGTGATCCATCAGTGCCATGAATCCATTTATCCTCATTTGTTGTGTGACAAACCAGACTTTTGTGAGGTGTCCGACTATGGTTAGGATCACTCTCTGCTCTTGGAAAGAGCCGCGTGGTGAAGCTGACTGACCGGCTGGTCTGCAGTGAGGTCTGGCTCTGAGGCTATGACTACCAGGTCAGAGTGCGTGCCACTGCTGTCCACTGTGTCTCCTTATGCTGGCAATTCCTTCAGTCGTCAATTTGTTCAACAGTGCACTGCTGCTCTATGCCAGATGGTGCCCTGTGTACAGGAGTGAAATAACGCACACAGCAATGAAAACTCAGAACAAGGTTCCTGTTCCGTGGAGCTTTTGTTCTAATTGGGGGAAGACAGAGTATAAACAAATATGCGCTCTGCCTGGTAATGGTGAGTGCTGAGAAGAAAAATAAAGCAAGGTCAGGGGACAGGGGATTATGAGGGTGTTATTTTCTGTAGGCTGGTCGTGGAAGCCTGCTCCAGGAGGCTGACTTTTGAGCAGGTGCCTGAATTACGTGAGGGAAGGAGCCAGGCAGATAGCTGGGGAAGAGCGCGGTAGGCAGAGGGAACAGCAGGCACAGGGTCTCTGAGGTGGGACTTTGTTGGTTTATTTTAGGACCGGTGAGGAGGCCAGGGTAGATCAAACAGCTGAAGGAGGGGAGAGAGGACCCAAGAGACAGGATCCAGGAGAGCAGGGCTCAGATTGTATAGGGCCTTCAAGGACATGGAAAGAACTTTTTTTTTATTCCAAGTGGGATGGAGAGTTTTGACCAGAAGATGGACATCGTTTGATTTAACCTGTTAACATGATTTTTTTTTTTTTTTACCATTTAAAAAATTGCGAATTGCATTATATAAAGAAAAGTGCATAAAACATAAATGAACAGTGTTATAAATAATTTTAAGTGCACGCCCATGTGACTTATGTTTTAAAGAAGCCATCCCTGATGCTGTGTGGATATTAGGCTACTGGAGGGGAGAAGAACAGAAGCGAGAAGACTGGTTGTGACCATATTGCAGATATCCAGTGGAGATGATGTTGGTGGGACCCAGAGGGGTGCAGTGGAGATGATAGACGTGGTCCAGTTCTGACCATTGCTGATGGATTTGCTGATGGATTGGACGTGGGCTATGAGAGGAGGAGTCCAGGGCCCACCCTGCTTGGCCCGAGCAGCTGGTAGAATGACAGCCACAAACTGAGTCAGGGCTGGCTGGGCAAGGTGCAGGGTAGGGGAATGATCAAGAGTTTGGTTTTGGACTTACTGGGTTGGAAATGCCTACTAGATATCCAAGTGGAGAACTTTCTACCTGGTCTCTGACAGTGCTTTTCCACTTCCTATTTCTTCTCCTTTGAAGTGCTGCCATCTTTTATTCCTTACTTTTTTCCCCCAGTGTAGACTCCCAGGTTATTTGTTATTCAGTGTGTTGTAAAGCATTCCTGCCATGATTCAGCCTCAGGTTGTTCTGGTTTGGTCAGTGGCAGCCCCTTTGGGCTCGTTCCTCTGCCTTTTTTTTTTTTTTTTTTTTTTAATAATTGACGGCGAAAGTTGCATCACATAAACTTAACCGTTTTAAAGTGAACAACGCAGTGGCCTTTACTACTTTCACAGTGTTGTGCAACCACAAGCTCTATCTAATTCTAAAACTTTTCATTTCCCCGAAAGAAAACCCCTTATCTGTTAAGCAGTTTCTCCCCGCTATCCCCTCCCCCCAGCCCCTGGCATCACCAGTCTACTTTCTGTCTCTGTGGATTTGCCTTTTCTGGATATTTTGTGTAAACGGAATCATATCATACATAACAAGTGACCTTTGTGTCTGGCTTCTTTCATTTTGCATAATGTTTTCAGGGTTTGTCCATGGGTAGCATGTGTCAGTACATTCCTTTTTATGGGTGAATAATAGTCTCTTTACTTTTTTTATAGTTAAAATTGTGAACCATTATGCCTCAGGCCTTTCACTGACTCTTTAGTTTATTTTTCACCCTTGAAAGCCTCTGGCTATGGGATGGATAAGTCACAGCTTTCCAAAGGTTTCCTCATCTTCTGTATTTGTCGGATATTCAGGATGAATAGCTCATGATCGGGCAGAGCAGGAGCCAGAAGCTGCAGAGAGTGGCTCCCAGGAAGCAGTAACCTCAGTTATACGACCACACGGCCACCTCACACATACAGATGGCCCTTTATGCAGTTTCAGAAGTCCCTCCTGTCCTGCCTGGGCGTACAGTCCAGTTAGGAAGTTGGAAGTATTTACGTCAAGATTCGTAGACCAGCATCCTGCTCAGCTTTCTTATTTTTTCTTTCAGATTTTATCTCAGGAGTGGAGATGTTCAGATGTGCTCAGTTGAGTGACCTTTTGTCATCTGCATCTCCATCTCAGCAAGATGAAATGAGATAAGGGTGAATCAGCAGATTATGTAGGCAGGCTGGTTAAAAAAAAGACAACTCTGTGATACTTGAAATGAGCTATTCTTTGAACTCAATAGGAAAGCGTGGTGCCAAGGAACTGGTTCTAATTTTCTTAGAGAACTGGAGAAAGAATTCTTAATAGGGGGTGACCCTGGCATTGGTGAGATGTGCCAAGTAGAAATCTCATGGAAAGTGGTGTCTAGATGGAGGAACAAATGTGGTGGTGACAGAGATGTCAGGCCTGTTGGGTCATCTGGAGGAGGGCCTGCTTGGGTGGCTGGGAGTGGCTAGGAGGGCTCTGATTCTGCAGTTAGGTGGCTGAGGGGGACCTGGTGAGCTGTCTGGCAAGTCTCGGCCCAGGGCACTCTGGAAAGCCAGGGAGCAGTGCTGTAGTGAGAGAGAAAATGGAAAAAAACAGACTCTCAGGCAGAGTGCTTAGGGGGAGGTGGATCATTGAGGGGCCAGTCCCACGGGGAGATGACAGGATGGATCTGAAGGCAGAGGTGCGTGTGAGGTACAGAGGACAGGTTTCTGCTTAGAATTAAAAGATAAAACTCCAGGAGAATGACCGAGGGTAAGAAACAGGGCTCGTGGAAATGAGAGAAACTCAGACCTCCCAGATATGTGAAAGAAGCCAATAAACCTGAGGATGCAGACTTCACGATGACAGAGCACAAGCAGCAGAGCTGAGGTAAATAGAGAGCAGGGGGTAACAGACGTTGGGCCGGTTCCTGAGAAAGCAACTGAAAAATCACTAAAATAGACCGAAGGAAACCACATGTCAGACCGTTTGGTCTCAACTCCATTATTGTACGTAGGGTTCGCTCAGTGTCTCCGTCTGAAGTAGCTTTGTCGTCGCTTTGTGAGCGCTGCTCATTTTCCTTTCCTGCCTCAGAGCTTGCGGCGTGCGTCCTTCTGTCTGAGCAGGCAGAGCAGTCATCCAGCTCGAGATTTGTGTGGTGGATAATGGAAGAAAAGCAGTGCTGTGCTTTTGTACAAAGCCCGGTGGCTCAGAATCCTCTAAATAAAGGGCACACTTCCAGTTTTAAAAGCCGTGTGTGAACTACGGTTGCCATTTCTCAGAGATTTGTTATATTTGTAACGTGTAGCGTTTTGCTTTGCCGTGAAATCACGGTGTCCTGGCATAGCAGTTATGGCCTGGGAGGGCTTTATTATCCACTTCGCTATCAATAAGCATAACCTCAAGTTTTCTAGAGCCATCCTCGCTGTGTGCTGCTTCTTTAGGAAGGGGTTCTGCCCTGCTTCCTGACGGACACCCTGTGGGCTTCCATCTGATCAGGGTGGTGGATAATTAGTTGTAATTGGACAGTGACTGTGTAACCCTTAGCTGTATTCCTAAAGACTGGGCTAAATTGTAAGCCTATTATTAGTCTCTGGCAAGTCTGGCTTATTACTTCCTGTTTGTCAAGGCTCACAGGGTGGGGGGGGCGGGGGGCAGGGAGCAGGGATTTGGGGTCAATTTCGTTAGTGAAGAAACAAATGTTACTCTTACATCAGCTTTGCTGTGTTGTATTTATTCATCATTCTGAACCCCCTGTGTGGAGTTATTGATCAGATAAGCATATTGGCCCTCAAAGTTAAAAAATAATCACTTTTTTAAAAAAGAGCAGATTATTCAACCATATAAGGGAATGAAGTACTGACACATGCTACCATGTGGATGAACCTTGAGAACATCATGCTAAGTGAAAGTAACCAGATACAAAAGGCCATGTATTGTATGATTCCATTTTTATGAAATATCCAGAATAGGCAAATCCATAGAGACAGGAAACTGATTAGTGATTGCCAGCATCTAGGATGGGAAGGGAAGATGGGGAGTGACTGCCAGTGGATATAGGGTTTCCCTTTGGGATAATGAAAATGTTCTATAAAATGAACAAGATAGTGATGATGGTTGCATGACATTGTGAAGGTACTTAATACCACTGAATTGTGTACTTGAAAATGTTTAAATTTTATGTTATTTAAAATAAAGATAGACCAAGCAAATAATCAATTCAGGTTCACAGCTGTTTATTTTCTCTTATTGTAGGTATTTTGCAAATGAACCATTTGCTGACTTCCACCGTGTGGAAGGGTTACAAGGAGTCTACATCGCTACTCTGATTAATGGTTCCATGAGTGAGGAGAACATGAGATCGGTCATCACCTTTGACAAAGGGGGAACCTGGGAATTCCTTCAAGCTCCAGCCTTCACAGGATACGGAGAGAAAATCAATTGTGAGGTATGGAGCCTTAATCTTGTTTGAGTTTTTAATACAAACTTCTATCTATGGTTCTACCCTTAGAGTTCCAAAACTCTGCACCAAGACACCTTGGGGTGCCATAGTGAACTCACAGGGTGCCCTGGGATATTTTAAATTTGCGGGGGGACACACTGTGATACTTGATATCTGTTGGTCACCATGTGAATTACTGTCTTGAGTTTGTTCACAGTTTCACCATCAGCTCGTGCTATATTTCTTTCAATGACATACCTTTGTGCAGCTAGATTTTCAACAGTTGATGTGATAGAAAGCAGGTGAGAAAATCAGAGTCAAACAGGAAATGACAGTGATGGTGGCTAATATGTTTCCAGAGTTTGAGAAGCTGTGCAGTGCCCAACAGGTGCACACGTCTCATTAAGTAATTGTGGTTATTTAAGAATGAAATAAAAATTTTATGTTTTCTTTCAATTTATGTATACTTGTATTTCAAAGTGCTACTAAGTTATTAGGGCATATAGACATACTGGGTTGTTTGGAGTTAACTTTGTAAAAAAAAGAAATGTTGGTATTTCTTCTAGCTCGAGGCTGCTATAAAAAAATTATTGAGATACAAATTGTGCTGTAAACCAAGAAAATTTGGGAACCTCTGCCATAAGTTATTGTTTTTATGGAACTTCTTTTAAAATTCCTCTGAATAAAATTTAGAATTCTATAATTTTTCTTATCTGTGGCCTCATCTGAAAAGCTCAGAATATTAAAAGTATTATTTGGTCCCATTAAGTGTTCCCATCCACCTAAGCAGCTCCTTTCTTTTCCCTAAGAACAGTCTATGGATTGTGGTCCCTGGCTTTGCATGGCACCCCACATCTCCACTTTTGTTTCACCTACGGGATCTAGGCTGTGTAAAGTAGATGAGCAGAAGGAACTCGGAAAAAAACCAGTGTAACTAGTTTTTGGAGAAACTGTAACATTTTAGTTAGACAATATTACCTAGTATTTTGGATTTTTAAGTTTTGTTTGTCCATAGTTAAATATGTTGACTCTTCTGTGTATTGTATCTGTGGTCCTTGTGAAGTTCTTTTGGAGACTCTTGCCCTAGAATGTACTTCTTGATTTTTCTTTCCTATTTGACAACAAGTCTCAACTTAACACGTCAAATCTAACTTTGGAAAGAGGCAGGATATAAGTACAGTAATATGTCGCTTAACGACGGGGCTACGTTCTGAGAAATGCGTCGTTGCAGGAACATCAGAGTGTGTACTTACACAGACCTCGATGGTATAGGCTACTGCACACCTAGGCTATATGGCACTAATCTTATGGGACCAACGTTGTATATGCAGTTCGTCATTGACTGAAAAGTCATTATGTGGCACTTGACTGTAGATATAGATGAATACCTATGAGAATGCTTCTCCTTCTCTCAGTATTGTCTTCTAGATCTTGGGAGCCCTGCACAGGCTTGGTGTGGATGGGCGCAGGGCATTTTTGAGCATGTGATGAGGGTCCAAGCCTTGGTTAAGTAGAATTAATGGTGGTGTTAAAATTCAGCTTCTAATACCCCGACTGATCAGTTTATTTATCAGCTGTACATCAGTGAATCAGCTTTTAGTTTCTACTTGTGATTTTAGATGGTGAAAGAAAAGGAGAGTTGTCACATATTTCTTTGAGCCCCAACCTAATTTGCTCCAGTTTTCATTTGCCAAACTGTGACGCTAGCAAGATGTATTTGTTAGAGAAGTCCTTTTGTTATAAAAATCAGTATATCTAGCTAATCATGTCAGTTTTTACCTGTAACATGAGCACACACAGAGTTACCCTATCTAGAACACTGGACAAGGCTAAGTAACATTTGACAATCACTTTCTGGCCAAGAGGATCAGGCATGACCAAAACAATGGGGTTTGTTTGCAGAACTATTAAAATCTGAACGTAAGTGATGGAGGCCAGTTTGAATAACCTGTTTATACAGTGGATACCCACAGACTTTGTACCTTGTACAAATGCAGACTACTTAAAGCTTAATGTGATCCTTTGGTGTTTATATCTCATATGTTGTACATCTGGGAGCTTATCAGTGAGACTTTATGACTTCTGATTCTCGATTTTTCTTCTGACAGGGTTGCTTAAATCATGTTTGAAATATATCTTCACTGACTTAGAAAATAAATACCATGAAGTCATTTCATTTCTCTTTAGTTCTGAGTCACATGAGAGAATCTCTAATATGGAGAGAGCATCGCTTTCCTGTCTACTTGAGTTGACTCTGATTTCTAGTTACTATTTTCTGAGAGTCTCAGAAGGAATTTTTTATTAGTGTTTTTCTCTTTTCTTCACTGAGAGGCATTTACGTGGTTCAGATGATTGTGTCCCCCTGGGGGAGTGTGGACAGCCGGGCAGTGACTCTGGCTTCCTTTGGGCCGGGTCTCCTCCCCCTGTGTCTAGTGCAGTGCCCTCAGCCAGGCCTCAGTGTTGAGAGGGGATGTAGGCATCGCATCACACACTGACAGTGCCTGGAACTTGTGTTCTGTAGCTCTCGCAGGGCTGTTCCCTCCACCTGGCCCAGCGGCTGAGCCAGCTGCTCAACCTCCAGCTCCGGAGGATGCCCATCCTCTCCAAGGAGTCGGCTCCCGGTCTCATCGTTGCCACCGGTAGGTTTGCTTTGCCTCCTCTCACTTATGGGTCAAGCTGTTTGGTTATGTGCAGCCGAATACACGGTGACTACCCGCAGTAACTGCTGTTTGTGGTTTTGAGACATTCTTAGTTCCTGGATAGTACTCAGAATTTCTAGTTGGGCAAGGTGATTACCTGACATATTGTTGAGATTAAAAATAATTATTCTTCTTGCATTTTAGGTTCAGTGGGAAAGAACTTGGCAAGCAAGACGAACGTGTACATCTCTAGCAGTGCTGGAGCCCGGTGGCGAGAGGTCAGCACCCCCCGGCCCATGCCTCCCGCCTGTCCCGGTTCTCGTTTGCATGAGAACATGGGCTGTGCCTTGATATGTCGGCAACACATACGGCCCGTGGTGGAGGCTGGCAATTTTATGACTATAAAATAAAGAGAGGTACCCAGGCCACACCTGAGGGTCAGCTGCACTGACGTTGCATTCACACCTTATCATGTGGGCTCGTGATTTTGCCAAAAATATTACTTTGAATCAAAACTAGACCTTTTTTTTTTTTTTTTTTTAGCGACTGTGAATTTGACCAAATGTTCCAAGATTATAAGTTCCATGAGGACAGGGCAATGTCTGTTTTGCTCCCTTTACCCCCAGGCCCTAGCAGTGTCTGGCACGGAGTGGGTGCTCAGTAAATATTTGCTGAATCTATCAACAAATGACCATGCACTGGTAGTGTTATGAGGACAGGAACTGATTATTTATGTATTTTTGTATATTATTGAAGTTGAAGTCAAGCCTCCCCTCTCTGGGCTGTGCTTTACAGGTACTTTCATCTCATTCTGTGCTATGGAAGAAGCCTGTTTTTGCCTTAAGGTTGCATAACTAATATGCATCCTTAGGCAGTGATTATACCAATTCTGAAGGGGGAGCTAGTTCTCTAGTCTCAAAATGCTGATTCAGCCTTGGACATTACAGAATTCCCAAACTTATAAAAAGGAATATTTTCACCAGCCTCCCATGACTTAGGAAGGCCAAGTGTGTCTGGTCCCCTTCTGTAGGAGTAGCTTTCAGTGGCACTTTGCTGTATGTGCAGAGAGCCACTGGAAGAACTCAGCAGGTCACTCGACAAGAGTTGATTGACACCTCCCACAGGCTGGGTGGGTGTCAGGAGGGGTGTGGAGTTCTCTGAAGAGCCAGCAGATAGTTCCCATCCTCATGGTGCTTCTTATTGGGAATGCAATCTGTACACTTTCATATTTAAATGTATAACATGTAAAGCGGTAATAATACCTGATATTTGTTTGGCTCTTTGCAATTTACAGAAAGCTGTCCCATACTTTATCTCATTTGAGGTAGGGCTTATTGTCCCTCCAGCTGAGAGATCTGGGACATAGATGTTGTGTGCATGTGTGTGTGCGCGTGCGTGTGTGTGTGTAAATTAGGGATATATACAGTGTGGTAGAGAACATAAGTATGTATTCAGATGAAGGAGGTTGTTAAGGCCAGAGTAGTAGAAATGTGTGAACAGTTTGGAATATTTGGGGCATCCTTGTCCTGCTCCCAGAAGAGAGATTAAGCAGCTGCTGTCCTCTTCCTTGGAGCCGGACATTCCTTCTGAAATTGGGTATCCTCTCCTCTGCGGAGAGGCTGTGGTTTGTTTGTACCTTCTGATGTTGGTGTAATCTGGGATTTGAACATCTGCAAGTGATTTCCTTCTGGGTAGAAAGCAGTGTGTTGTTCCTCCTCCAGTGAAGTGGTATCGCCTGGCTAGTGCTGGGGCAGCTGTTGGTGCCTCCCGCCAGGCATACTTGACGCCTGCCAAGCAGCAGCCATAGCACAAGGGACCTTGTTTTTGGAAAGAGCCGGGGACTAACTAAGGAATGAAAAGGTTGAGACTGTGTGACTGTGTCTGTGTGATTGGGCGTCTGAGTCCCCGTGGGCAGCCTTCAGTTTAGAGAGACATTCTGGGGTGTGTGAGGGGAGTAGGTGGTGGCAGGGGAAGAGGAAGTAGGTGCAGTGGACAGATACTGCTGAGAAAGCTGGTGACTGTAATTCTTGTTCCCCTTCTCCTGCTAATTAGTTGTACAATTTCTCTGATCCTCAGAGCTCCTTTTTTGTGCTTTTTTTCTTTAACAACTTTATTGAGGTGTATGGAAGTGCAGTCAACTGTATTTAAAGTGTACAGTTTGATCAGAATTGATCACCGTTGCTAAACCGTCACCAGCATCACAGTTTAAGACAACAGACATTTCTCCATCACCTGTCAAAATATCTTTGTGCCCTTTTGTAATCCATCTCTCTCCCTACCTTTATCCCTGCCGGATTATTAGTTAGCATTTTCTAGAATTCTATATAAATGGACTCACACACTTGTACAGTCTTTTTGCCTGGCTTCTATCGCTCATCATGATGATTTTGAGGTTCATTCATGTTGTTTCCTGTATCAATGGTTCTTTTATTTTTTATTGTTGATTAATATCCCATGGTAGAGATAGTCCACAATTTGTTTATCCATTCATCTGTTGATGGACATTCCAGTTTTTGCTGATTACAAATAGAGCTGTTGTAAACGTTGGTTACATGGTTTTTAGGTAGACATATTTTTTATTTCTCTTGGCTAAATATTTTGAAATGGAATGACTGGGCAGTGTGGTGGGAATATGTTGAACTTTTTGAGGATTACCGAATTGTTTTCCAAAGTGGATGGACCATTTTACATTTCCACTAGCAGTGTATGAGTTCTAATTGCTTCACATCTATGCCAACACTTAGTTAGTCTTTTTTTTTTTTTTTTTGTAAGGAAGATCAGCCCTGAGCTAACATCCCTGCCAATCATCCTCTTTTTTTGGCTGAGGAAGGCTGGCCCTGAGCTAACATCCGTGCCCATCTTCCTCCACTTTATGTGGGATGCCGCCACAGCATGGCCTGACAATCTGTGCATCGGTGCGTGCCCGGGATCCAAACTTGGGCCACCAGCAGCGGAGTGCACGCGCTTAACTGCTATGCCACAGGGCCGGCCCCTAGTTAGTCTTTTTAATTTTAGACATTTTAATAAATGCTTAGTGGTATCTCATCATGGTTTTAATTGGCATTTCCTTCGTAACTAATGATGTTGAACTTCTTTTCACGTGCTCATTGGCCATTTTAAAATCTCCTTTTGTGAAGTGTCTGTTCAAATCTTTTACCTATTTTTAAAAATTTGTTTGTCTTCTTGAGCTGTAAGGGGTTTTTTAAAAAAAATCAGCCTGGATTTAAGTCTTTTGTATGATACATGTGTTATGAGTATTTTCTCCTAGTCTATGGCTTGCTTTTTTCTTTTCTTTATGGTGTCTTTGGAAGAGCAAATGTTTCAAATTTTGGTAAGGTCCAGTTTATCAGTTTTTTTCTTTTACATTTTGTGTTCTTTGTATTCTAAGGAATATTTGTCCCTCCCAAGATTGCAAAGATTTTCCCCTATGTGTTCTTTTACAAGTTTTGTAGTTTTAGGCTTATGATCCATTTTGAGTTAATTTTTATATCTGGTGTGAGGGAAGGTATGATACTCGTTTCTCCATGTGGAAAGTCAGCTGATCCAGCACCACTTATTGAAAAGACTTCTGTTTCCTCCATTGAATTGCATTTCTATCTATTGGGTGGCCATATATGTGTGGGTCTATTTCAGGACCTTGTATTCTGCTCCACTGATCTGTTTGTCTGTCTTTTCACCAATACCAAATTGCCTTGATTACTGAAAACTGACAGTAAGTGTTGAGATCAAGTACAGTAAGTCTTCCAACTTTGTTCTTTTCTAAAATTGCTTTGACTATTCTAGATCCTTTATATTTCCACATACAATTTTTTTTTTGTGTGTGAGGAAGATTAGCCCTGAGCTAACATATGTTGCCAATGCTCCTCTTTTTGCTGAGGAAGATTGGCCCTGGGCTAACATTCGTGCCCATCTTCCTCTACTTTATATGTGGCACACCTGCCACAGTAGGCTTGATAAGCGGTGCGTGTGTCTGCGCCTGGTTTCTGAACCTGCGAACCACAGGCTGCCAAAGCAGAGCCAGCAAACTGAACTACTGTGCCACCGTGTTGGCCCCCTCCACATACATTTTATTTTGTCAATTTCTACAAAACCTGCTGGGATTTTGACTGGGATTGCATTGAATATATAGATCGATTTGGGGAAAATTGACATCTTAACACTACTGAGTCTTCTGATCCGTGAATGAATATATTTCTCCATTTCTTGTGAAATTTCTCTCAGCAATATTTTATAGTTTTCAATGTGGAGGTCTTGTATATATTTTGTTGACTTTACTCTTAGGTATTTTTTTTTTTTGGTGTTACTGTAAATGGAATTTTATTTTAAGTTCATTTTCAATTTTTGCTATAGTATATGAGTACAACTGATTTTTATATATTAACCTTGTATTCTGCCATCTCACTAAATAATTCATTAGTGTTAGTAGTTGTTTTGTAGATTCTGTAAGCAATCATATCATTTGCAGAGAGGGCCAATTTTATTTTTTCCTTTCTGATCTTTATGTCTTTTGTTTCTCTCTCTCTCTCCCTTCTCTTCTATTCTCTTCCCTTCCCTAAAATATAATAATATGGTAATATGTAATATGGTGTATTATATTAAAGAAAAAATCTTTTTCTTCACTCTTATAACACTTCTGACACCAAATGTATGGGTTTTTCCCCCTCACATTAAGCAGTCCTCCAACTCTCCTGACACCAATTGGACGTCCTAACATGCAGTCATGACACTAACTATCTGGAGTTAGCACAGACCCCAGGGATGAAGGGCTCAGTTTCATAAGACTACACCCCCCCACCATCACTTCAGACTCCCGTTGTAAGTCCCAGGTTGTCACCTGTACTTATGACTGAGCAGCTATAAATTGGGGGTCCCATGACCCCCTCCTCGGGCTCAGTAATTTGCTAGAACAGCTCATAGAACTCAGGGAAACATTTACTTACATTAACCGGTTTATTATAAAGGATATTACAAAGGATACAGACAAACAGCTAGATGGAGAGGTACATAGGGCAAGGGTCCTGAGCATAGGAGCTTCTGTCCCTGTGGAGTTGGGGTGCACAACCCTCCCAGCATGTGAATGTGTTCACCAACCCGGAAGCTCAACGAACTCTGTGGTTTAGGGATTTTTTGTGGAGGCTTCATCGCATAGGCAAGATTGATTAACCATCTCTCCAGCCTCTCTCCCCTCCCTGCAGGATGGGAGTGGGGCTGAAAGTTTCAGACTTGTACTCATGCTTAGTCCTTCTGGTGACCAGCCCCCACACTGTCCAGGAGCCCACCAAGAGTCTCTCTTTAGAACAAAAGACTCTCCTGTCACCCAGGAAATTCCAAGGGATATAGGAGCTCTGTGTAAGACTCTCCTGTCACCCCCATCAATCAGGAAATTACAAGGGTTTTAGGTGCTCTAAGAAGCACCTAAAGCACCTCCAGGAAGCCGGGAACAAAGACCAAAATATATATTCTTGTATCACAATATCACATGTGTAATATAGTGTATTACATTAATTGATTCTTGAATATTAAACTCACATTGAATTACTGGGATAAACCCTTTTTAGTGATGATGTATTATCCTTTTTTTATAAAGTTAGGTTTGATGTACTAATAGTTTGTTAAAGATTTTTGCATTACTCATGAGAGATATCGGTCTGTAATTTTTTTTTTTTTTTTTTGGTAATGTCTTTGTCAAGTTTTGGCATTCGAGTTAGGCCGGTGTCATAAAACAAGTTGAGCAGTGATCCCTCCTCTTTTATTTTCTGACGAAGTTTATGTAAGAGTGATGTCATTTTTTTCTCGACTAATTCACAGTGAAACTCTCTGGACCTGGAGTTTTCTTCTTGGGAACATTTTGATTAGAAAATCAATTTCTCTGGCAGATAGAGAACTATTCAGATTTTCTACTACTTGTGTCAATTTTGGTGAGTTGTGTATTTTAAGAAATTTGTCCTTTTATCTAAATTATTGAATTTGTTGGCCTAAAATTACTCAAGGCATTTTCCTTTTTTTTTGGCTTTAATGTCTGTAGGATCTGCGATGATAACCCATTTTCATTCCTGATATTGGTGATTTGTGTTTTTTCTTGGTTAGTTTAGTTAGTGGTTTGTCAATATTACTGATCTTTTCAAAGAACCTGGTTTTGACTTTTATTTTCTCTATTGTGGATTTCTGTTCTTTAGTATTATCTTTTCTTGTATTTACTTTGAATTTATTTTGCTTTTCTTTTTGTAGCTTCTGTGGTATAACTTCTGGTCATTGATTTTAGATCTTTTCTAATATAAGCATTTAAACCTATAAGTTTTCCTCTAGTTACTGCTTTAGCTATATGCCACAAATTTAGATATGTTGTATTCTTTTTTGTCATTCAATTTAGAATATTTTTAATGTACCGTTTTAAAGTTGAAATGTAATTCACACAGCATAAAATTCACCATTTTAAAGTGTACAGTTCAGTGGCTTTTAGTATATTCACAAGGGATGTGATGTGCAACTTTCAACACTCTCTAATTCCAAAACATTTTTATCACTTCATAATGTCCCTTTTGCTTTTTGTCTTTTACTGATATGTGAAAACTAAACGACCTTTTTCTAAATAACTTATCTGAAGTTTTCATAGATATCTTATTATTGATCTCTAATTTAATTTCCTTGTAGTCAGAGAATATACTTTGTCTGATTTCAGTCCCTTTAGATTTATTGGAATTTGCTTTGTGATCCAATATGTGGTCTATCTTGGTGAATGTATCATATGCATTAGAAAGGAATGTGTATTCTGCAGTTGTTGGATGTGGTGTTCCACAGATATTACTTATATGGAGGTGGTTGATGCCTTGTTGTTTGGATCTTCTCTGTTCTTACTACTGACCTTTTTTTTTTTTTTTGGCTAGTTCTGTAAATTGCTGAGAGAGGGGTGGTAAGTTGTGGAATTGTCTATTTTTCCTTTAAATCCTGTCGTGTTTTGCTTTATGTATTTTGAGGCTCTGTTATTAAGTGCATGCACATTTATAATCTTTTCTGATTAATTATCCCCTTTATCATTATGAAATATCCCTCTTTATCTGTGGTAATACCCTTTATCTTGAGGTCTATTTTTTTTTTTTTTTTTTGTGAGGAAGATCAGCCCTGAGCTAACATCCGATGCCAATCCTCCTCTTTTTGCTGAGGAAGATTGGCCCTGGGCTAACATCTGTGCCCATCTTTCTCTACTTTATATGGGACACAGCCCCAGCATGGCTTGACAAGCAATGCATCAGTGTGCGCCGGGGATCTGAATCTGTGAACCCTCAGGCCACCAAAGCAGAGCACGTGCACTTAACTGCTACGTCACTGGGCTGGCCCCTCTTGAGGTCTGTTTTATCTGGTTTTGAAATACTCCAGCCTTCTTATATTTACTGTTTGGATAGTGTATCTTTTACCATCCATTTACTTTCTACCCATCTGTGTCTTTATATATGAAGTGTTTCTTATATACGATCTTGCTTTTTTATTCATTCTGCCAACCTCTCCTTTTTAACTGAAACACTTAGACCATGAGCATTTAAAATAATTATTGATAAGGTTGGATTTCGGTCTAATTTTTATTTATTTATTAATTTATATATTTATACATATTTAATCTTTCATAATCTTTTTTGAATATATATTGCACTTACATAATACTACACTTAACATAAAGTTTAGAAATCTTGCAATTGTAGAAGTCCCTTTTCTTTCCCCCCATCTTTTTGTTATTGTTGTCCTGTGTGTCATGTTGAAATTCACCGAAAAACCCACAAGACGATGTTTTTCTGTTTGCTTTAAATCATCGTATCAATTTTAAAGAACTTAAGAGGAAAAAAGCAGTCTTTTGTGTTTATCTAGGTATTTACCATTTCTCTTGTTCTTCCTTCATTCCTGAAGATCTGTTTCCCCCTGGTAAATTTTCCTACAGCCTAGAAATTCCTGCAGCATTTCTGGAAGAGCAGACTTTCTGGCTATGCATTTTCTTCGTTTTCCTTCGATTTGAGAATCTCTTTATTTCACCTTCATTCCCGGAGGATATGTTTTTTGGATATAGAATTCTGGGTTGATGGTAGTTTTCTTTCACTTCTTTAAAGATGTCTGCTATCTTCTTGCTTCCCTGGTTTCTGATGAGAAATCTGTAGGCATTTCACTTATCACTTTCCTGTATGTAATGTGTCATTTTTCTCTAGATGCGTCAAGATTTTTTTTTCCTTATCTTTGGTTTTCAGCAGTTTTGTTATGATGTCTCTAGGTGTGGTTTTCTTTGTGTTTATCATTTTTGCAGACACTGATCTTGAATCTATAAATTTATGTTTTTCACCGAATTTGGGAAATTTTTAGCCGTTATTTCTTCAAATATTTTTTCTGTGCCAGTTCCTTTCTCCTGTTCATCTTGGACTCCAATTACACATGTTAGACCTTTTGTTATTGTCCCACAGGTCCTTGGCACTCTTTTTTTTTTAATCTTTTTTTCTGTATGTTCTTTAGAATAGATAATTTCTACTATTCTATATTTATCTCTTAAGTTCACTAATTCGTCTGTCATTTCTATTCTGTTGTTGAGCCCATCAGTGAATTTCTTATTTCAGATATATTTTTTTGTTCAAAATTCTTTTCTTTTAGTTCTTTTTTTTTAATAGTTTCCACTTTTCTGGGGAAAATTCTTGTTTTTTGTTCATTTCAAATGTATTTTCTTTTACCTCATGGAACACAGTTATGATAACTATTTTAGTCTTTGGTAATTCCAACGTTTGTGTTGCCTTGGGATTGGCACCTTTTGATTGTCTTTTCCCTTGAGCGCTGGACATATTTTACTGATATGTTTTTATGTGGAGTAATTTTGGATTGTATCCTGGATATGCAAATGCAATGCATAAAATGAAATCTTCTGGAGGATGTTATTTTTGTTTTAGCATGTAATGAACCTGTTTAGATTCAGACTGAAGTTCTGTCTTGCATTCTGTGGGTGGTAGTTCAAATCTCAGTTCAGTTCACTAAGCCTTTGCTGTGCTGGTCTGTTCCACACGTGTATACTTCAGGAGTTAGGCTGAGACTTATGTGAGTTGATATGCAGAATTAGAGGATTTACTTCTTCAACCTTCTCCCCCCTGGGATTCCATCCACATCTCTCCGGCCTGCGGGGGCTTCTTTTCCTGATTCCTTAGGCAGAAACTATTTCTCTTGAAGTTTGAGCTCCCTGGCTAGGACTGAGCTAATCCACCACTGGGCTTTTCCCTCGGGGCAAAGCCATGCCTGGAAACTCTAACTGGTCAGGTAACTTCTCCGCGTTTTAAATCCCCTCCACAAACTGCCTGATTTCTTTTACTTTTCAGCACCCTCAGGTAGCTGTTTTTTATATTTTGTCCAAAGTTTTCAGTTGTAACCAGCAGGAAGGATGGGCTGTAGTGGGCTTATACCATCATAGTAGAACCAGAACTCCAGTTGGTTGATTTTTCATTGCCGGTTGGTGAGAGTCAGAGATTTGGGTTTGACTCCTACCTCTGCAGTTTACAGTCTGCCACTTTAATGGGAACTCTAGTTTCTTCGTTTGGCAAAAAAATGGGGATATGAGAACTTGCTCTGCCTATCCCCAGGGTTGTGTGGAGCAGATGAGGTGATGGATGTGAGCGTGCTCTGGAAACTGAGAAATTGTATTCAAGTGATTGGCATTGCTGCCGTGTGTGTGCGTGTGTGTGTGTGTGTGAATGCCTGTGTGCGTGTGGTGTGCACAGTTCATTCCTGCCTGGTCACCTGCACAGCAGTGGCATCAGCGTGGCTTTTCCTCCTCAGGCTCTTCCCGGACCTCACTACTACACTTGGGGAGATCATGGCGGCATCATCATGGCCATCGCCCAGGGCATGGAAACCAATGAGCTGAAGTAAGTGTCTCTGATGAAGCTTTTTCTTTTGTCAACACACCATTCTCCCAGAAATTGAAGTCTGTGATTATAAGTGGATTCTGTCTCTGCAGCACTGGGTTGTTGACAGCACAATTTGTGACCTTGGGTAATTACTTAAACTTTCCTTATCTATAAAATGGGAATAATAATCTGCTCTTCCTATCTCGAAGGAGTGCCATGAGGAACACATGAAATAATTTTATTTATTTGAAAAAGTACAACTCTATGTAATTATAAATTAATAATGACTAAAAAATTAACTAGAGACTAATTTGTCTTTCATTGCTTTATATGTGACACACGTACACAGATTTACTCATAGAATGAGTAACAGTAAATAAAAATAATACATGAGTAATAATTTCAGAATGCATGTAACTTGACAGCCAATTGACTTTGCTGTGATGCATTTGGTTTTGGGGGTTCTTACAGATAGACCTGGAAGAGACATTTGGGGTTAACTGCTTCCTTTTACAGATGAGAAAACTGAGACTCAGCAAGGTAAAGTCACTTGCCCAAGGTCTCCCCGTTTGTTAGTGACAGGCAAGACTAGCACTTGGGTCTTTAAATTATGTTCTGTATGCTTTGCAGTAGATTGCTCTGAAAAACAAAAGTGTCAAGAGTTTGTAACTTCTGCCTCCTTAAGTGTGGTGTTCTCAGAACCAGTCCTTTGATTGCTTTTGTCCAAGTTAGGACAACAGTTAATTTTGTTAACATTGGGTCAGGGCAGACTGGCCCTCACTTCTCCCCATTTTTGAGCTGAATCGGTGAGCTGGATTACTTAAGATGGAGAAGGCTTCTATAATCTTCTTGTTTAGTGCAAGGAAGAAGGCCTTTTTCTTTGTTCCTTTTAGAAACAGGGCCAGCAGCAAGAGAGAGGTGGGTGGTTTGAAAAAAGAGATCTTAGCAGCTGGCTTCCCCTGTGGTTAATTTAACATGTGCTGAGCAGCCTGGCCTCAAAGAAGCAGAGAGAAGCAAAGTACTGGCATTTGGCATTCTACCTGTCTGTTCTCTGGCCTGTGTGGCACTGGTCAGCTCTGCGTTAGAGCCAAGAGTCAGAAGAGGCTCTGTTTATATGCAACGCTGTATCCACATTCAGATTGGTATTTGCTCAGATGGGGACAGTCACAAAGCACAGTGCTTCCCACATTTATGCTGTCGCTTATTTACCCATCAATTTGTTAATTCCCATCTCACACATTTAGCAAGCACTGATTCTGCGTGGTACCGTGTATCAGTAAACAGGATGTGTTCCCCCCCCCCCTTAAGGAGTCTGTCGTCTAGTGGTAAGATACAAGTAAACAATGTGATGTGTGGGACACTGCTATGTGGGAAATAGGGTAGGGGACATAGTTGGGCTTCCTAGGGATACATTTCATTCTTTGCACAGCAGTCAGATTGTAGAGTCAGTTTCCGATTTTCCTTGTTTAACTCTTCTACAGATTACATTTGCATTCCTAGCTGGCTCCTCTGAAGTTATTAGCATGATTCTAGTCCTCTTACACCATCTGTCGGTGCATATGTGCTCAGGGAATGCAGCGTCATTGCTGCACTAGCTGGAGCAAAACATGATCAGAAAATCAACCCATCCCCAGACATTTAAAAATGCCTTGTGGTTTATGGACACTACAGCATTCCTCTATTAGTAGAGGTCATTCAGAGGCATCTGTATGTGTGGTTCAAATAAAGCATTTGCACACATGAGAATACGTTCAGGCCTCCTATTGACAGGTGCATGTGTCCTGAATATCAGTCTGAGCTTGGCCTGAATCTGTGCAGCCACCTGGCATTTACTCAGTGTGTTGCTCACAGAGTTTTTTTGCTTCTCCGGCTGCTCTGCTTTTGACCTGTCACTGTGTGCTATCAGCTTCATCAGAAGAGAAGCAGGAAATGATACTATAGTTAGTTTGTATCCTCGAACCACAATGGTGATTTACCGTGGTACCCATGCGTAAGTGGAGGCTGCTTCTGACCCAGCTGGATTTCTGTTGCTGGTGTAGTGCTTCATGCCCCTTTTACGTCTGGTCTCCCACCTTGGTGATCGCTCTCTCCTTAGAGTCTCATAGCATTTATTGGCTGTCTCATTAATTTGGCACTGATCACATACTGAGTCCTTTTGTTAGTTTCCTTTTCATTATATGCCTGAATTCCTTAACTCATTAGCAATGTCTTTGAAGACAGGTATTTCTATTCTATGCCGGCTAGCAGGCACTTAGTAAATGTTTGATTGTTCGATAAATAGGTCATGCATACTTAGTCTTCCAAGATTGCTTATTTTTTTTTACTGATTTATAAAACTGGAAGGGGCACGCTAGTGTGGCAGTTTCTCAGCTGCGGGGGGGGCGGGGGCACTCCTGTTGTGCTCTATGTAAATGACAATCTCTGGAGTGCAGTGTGAGCGGGAGGGGCTGCTCCTGAATGTGTGCAACCTGGTGGTGCCCAGAGGTACCTGAGATGACCCAGTCCACCTTCCTCAGTTTTCACATGAGGAAATAATGTGACTTGTCAGTAGTTAGGGCTTCAAGCTGGAACTCAAGCATATTTCTCTTAGGCATCATTTCAGGTCAATTACACAAACATTTGTTGAACATCTACAGTGAACCAGATGTTGTTCTAGGATGCAAAGGTGAGTGAGTCATCGTCTGGGAGCTGCCCATGCTCACTGTGGCTCTGTCATGTTTCTGAGCCAGCTGGAGAGAGAGGCTGGAGAAGGGGTTGTTTGGAAAGGGAGCTTTCTCACCCAAAACTTACTCAGCCTTAGAGAGGAAAGCCAGGCTGGCTAACATCAGTAAATTTAATGAGAGGTTTAGTGGGAACAGAGGTTGGAACATTGCTTAAAGTAAGAGTTTGGTTTTTCCTTTGTTTTTTCGGTTGTTCCCCTTTTAAATTATTCATGCCTTTCTCTCCCTGATTAGCACAGATAACTAAGAACCGACTGTTATTTGTTTCAGTGTCTGCCTTGATTGTCCATGGAGGCTGTTCCCTTTGTTATTGTTAATTGAAATTGAGAGCGAGAAGTAGAACGCTTTGTTTGCTCTTGTGTCTACATGTCTGAAATGAGTAAATAAGAACCTGTGCTGGGAGTCACTTATTCGTTCGTTCAGCGTGCTGTCATTGTGAACCTGCTCAGGGCATGCAGGTTTTTCTTGCATATAATCCGTGTTCTTCAGAGAAGAAGCTATTGGGTTTTTGTGTTCTGACCGAACAAAAAGACCCAGACACAGGTTTATCAGCTTGATCATGAGAAATGAGATCAGTTTCCATTTCTTCTCGGCAGTTTGCCTGTCTGCGTAATGATATTTTTGGTAGTTAGTAATAATCCTTTGGACTTGCCCTGAAGCATCTTTCCTCCTTGGAGATTTCCATTTCGTAGGGCTTCCCTCTGGGAGTCCTGAAAAACCACTGCAAAGACTACACAGCAGAGCCAGCTCTCTTTTCTGGACCTGAGTTCTGGAAGCAGCCCCCCAGCTCCAGAATGTGGGAGGCGGGAGTTAACCTGTTCACTTGAGAGCAGCACCTAATGCTCGTGGAAACACTTAATGGGACAGTGCCAAGAGAGCCCTCCCACTTTATTCTAACCCCCGTGTGATTTCTTTGGCCCTTTGGGTTATAGAGGAGCAGATGTTCTTAGCACCTTTTAACTATTAAGAAACTGAGAGATAGGGTGAAAAAGAAAAAAATTTCCATGCAGTTCATTTAATTTCTTTCAACAAACATCAATTAGTGTCCCTTTTGTGTGCTAGGAAAGGTGCCAATTGCCAAGGGCAGAGAAGTGAGTAAGAGGTCGAGTTCCTGAACATGGCAGTCTAGTCGAAGACACTCACAAAATCAGGTCGCTTAAATATAGTAGATATAAGATGGAGGTGAGCACAGGGTGCTGTGGGGGCACAGAATGAGGGCCAGGTAGTGATCTGGGAGACGAGAAGTCTTCTGGGAGGAGAGGAAACTTGAGCTGTGATTTCAAGGACAAAAGCAGGGTTGGAATGCCATTCCAGGGTTAGAAAGGGCTTGAGCAGAGAGACAACATGAAGCAGCATGGAAAGCGCAGCTCTTTAGTATTAATAGGATGCAAATTGCAAGGTGGGGGTGGTGAGAAATGGGGTTTGAGGTAGGTATGTAGGTAGGGGCCGGGGCCTGGAGGACCTTACAGGAAGCACTGGACAGATTAGACTTTGCTTTTGAAATAATAGGGTCCTTTTGAGGATTTCAAATTGTAGGAAGATGGCTCTGGCAAGTTGAGGAGGATGAATTTCGGAGGAGCAAGACTGGAGGTGAGAGATGATGGTGAGGTGGGTTTGAGGCCTAAGTCTACAGGACTTGCTTTTTGATTAGACTGAGGGTGACAGGGCAAGATAGTCATAGCACTCATAGGAAAGCAGAGGAAAAGGAGCAGGCCTGAAGGGCCGTGGGATGAATGCAGATCTGGACAAGTTGAATTGAAGTGGCCATGGGGTGTCCAGGGGTAAGGATATCCAGCAGGAGTCTGGACATGCCGCATCATCTGGGTCAGCTTCCACCAGCCCTTCCAAGAATTTGTCTGTGTCATCTGTGGTAGATGATCATCCAGTCTTTACTTGAACAATTCTGGTCATGGGTAATTTGCTGGATCAAAAGGAGCTTCCATTTCACTTTGGGACAGTTATTCCTTCATTCACTCATTCACTCATTTATTTATTCATTTATTCCTTTATGAATGAAAGTTCTCAGGTCAGAGAAAGCCCAGATTCTCCTCACTCCAGTTTCTATTCAGTGGGCTTGGTTCTGCTCCCAGGAGACACACACAACAGATATTTCCTCTTTAACCTGGAAGCCTTTGAGATATTGGAGGACCCCTTCCCTGTCCTCCTGAGTGTCTCCCATTCCATGGTAAACAGCCCAAGTTCCTTTCCTCCTGGGCCGTAGGATCCTGATTCTTCACCGTCTAGGTTCTTCTTTAGATCCACCACATGATGTCAGTGCCTTAAAATGTGAGACCTGGATCTGACTCCAATAGCCTGAAACATACAGGGATTAATACCTACATGATTCTGGACACTGAGTTTCTGTTAATAAAAACCCAAGACTGTTTTTATGATTTCTTTCTTTTTTTTTTTTTTTTTTGGTGAGGAAGATTGGCCCTGAGCTAACATCTGTTGCTAGTCTTCCTCTTTTTGGTGAGAAAGATTAGCCCTGAGCTAACATCTGTGCCCGTCTTCCTCTATTTTGTATATGGGATGCCGCTACAGCATGGCTTGATGAGCAGTGTGTAGGTCCATGCCCAGGATTTGAACCTGCGAACCCCGGGGCCGCCAAAGAGGAATGTGGGAACTTAACCACTACGCCACCAGACAGGTCCCTGTTTTTATGCTTTTGACAACCACTTCAAACTGGTAGCTTCTACTAAATTTTTTTTTTTTTAATTGAGGTATCCTTTACACACCACAACATGCTCATATCTTTTTTTTTTTTTTTTTTTTGGTGAGGGAGATCAGCCCTGAGCTAACATCCGTGCTAATCCTCCTCTTTTTGCCGAGGAAGACCAACTCTGAACATGCTCGTATCTTAAAGACACCATTTAATTAGTTCTGCAGGGTGCATGTCAAGATGTAGAGCATTTCCATCACCCCAGAGAATACCTGTGTGGCCCTTCCCAGTCAATACTACCCCTCAGCCCACTGCCTCCCCTCTTAGTGACAACAGCTGTTCTGATTATATTTTTATCACCATAGTTTAATTGTGTCTATTTCAGGATTCCATTTGTTTGTATTTGGCTTCTTTTACTCAGCATAATATTTCTGAGATTTATTCATGTTGTAACCTGTATCAGAAGATTAAGTTCAGTTTAACTAAAAAACCCAGAGATCCTTTTTTCTTACAGATCTTATTAAAGACCAGATTATCTCCATCCTATATTTGAGCAGGTAGATTTTTGAAGCTGCATGTGGAACTTTATTTTTATTCTCATTTTTTGCTTCTTCTTTTGGTGTAATGAAAATGTTTTAAATTCTGTTCTTGGCATTTATTGTATTATCTGTACCATCAGCCTTGTACCCTTTGCAGATTTGGTAGATTCACCTTCCATACCGTTATCCAGCTCATCGACAGATGTGTCGAGCTCTCTGAGAACTCGAGGTCTTATTTTGGGTTGAGATCAAACCATATATCAGCACTGGGATTTGTTTCACTGACAGTGAATTTTATCCAACTGTGTGGTCCACAAAGATCCTTATGAAAAAAAGATTCTTCTATATCATTACCCTGTTCCTCAAATCAAGAATTACCATGACAGAAGGAAATGGGATTAGTTTGTTGTGACTTGTGTGTGAAACCATTTGAGGTCCCAGCCCTGACTTCCTTCTTTTCTACGTTCTCTCAAATCAGCTGTTTCATAGTCTGTTCTGGAAATCACTCTTTCTTCTTTAGGGATATATAACTATTTTTCCTCGTCTAGTCTTCAAGATCTCTCACTGTTCTCCATGATTCTTTTAGAGATTATTAAAAGGAACTCTGTAATCATATCTTTAAGTCTTTCAGTTCCCTCGGTTGTACTTTATTTTCCTTTAACTTCCTTGTTTTTTTCTGCCTTGTCCAGTTTGAAGATCATTCTCCTTGATAAAACATAAAGCCAAAATAGAAATTGAGTAGTTCTGCCTTTTTTTTCCATTGTTACTATTTATACCAATTTATACTATTTATGTATTTATTGCACATGAGTAAGATGATCCTATTTCATTCTGATTCTTTATAGCACTTACTAGGTAACCAACCCATCTTCCCACTGACACACTGATGTACTAATTATTTAGGTAATTTGAAGCATAATCTTTGACTTATTTTGAACTTGAGTTGTCTGGCCACTGTTCCTACACATTACCAGCTGTAAGAATTACAGCTAGAATTAACTAGCGGGTTACTACTGCTCTTTAAGTTTTTGCCCTTGGCGGGGCTGGCCTGGTGGCGTAGCAGTTAAGTTCATGCCCTCCACTTCAGCCCAAGGTTCGCAGGTTCAGATCTCGGGCGCGCACAGACGCACTGCTTGTCAGGCCATGCTGTGGCGGCGTCCCATATAAAGTAGAGGAAGATAGGCACAGATGTTAGCTCAGGGCTAATCTTCCTTGCAAAAAAAAAAAAAAAAAGACATAAGTTTTTGCCCTTGGTTGTAAATGATCTTCCCATCCTCTTGAGAGTTTTTGGCCATGGGAATATGTCTATATTTTTTTCAGAACATATTGAAATCTCCATTCCTAAAGGCTCGGGCCTGTATCCTCTTCCCTGACTATTAGGAGTACAGAGGTGACTTGCTTTGTTTTCTTGCAGGGTTCTTGTCACTTGCACTTCATCAAGACAAGTTCTCCTTTAGGGGTCAGAATTCAGTCCAGAATAGAAGTTCCCTTAACTGTTGCAGTTGATAATGTGACTGCCCTGTCCCTGAAATTCTGAAAAAGCACCATTTTCTAAATGTGCGGTTTATTCTCAGATACAAGGCTGTGCTCGGCCATGCACCTTCTTATTAGTCTCATTAATGCGTTATTTTCAGAGTCCTTGGGAACCTCTCAAGAAGTAGGATGATTCATTTCTCCAGGTTATCTTGGGTTTGAGGAGCTCTTACATAGAATTAACTAGGCAATGTGCAAATGGATGGACTTCCAGAATTATCACAGAGCAGACGGATAGCTCTGATCATGTCTGGTGAAGAGGCCAACTCTGCTGGTTCACTTTGCTTTAAAAGTGGTACCAGGCCTTTAGCTCGTCACATTGGTACATGAAGGAGATTGAATGAGTTAACTTATCCCCATTTCTGCTTCCAAATTGGGTTAAACCAAAAGCATATCAGCCAGATGGGAGTTTCTCCTCTTTGGAAGATCTGTAGAGTGGATCACTTAGGGGGAGGGGATCATTGATGTTCTTTATGCTGCCTTGTAACCCCATCACTTGGTTTAACCCATAGCCTTCTTGCAAAATCTCAGTTCAAGGGGAAGTGTTTGGATCCTGTGAGGTCTTAAAGAGATTTATGTCAAGTGTTAGGATGCTGGGGGAGTAAAACTAAAATCTCAAAACTACAGGAAAGGTGAAGGAAAAATAAGTTTTGTATATATTAGGATTTAAGAGAGAACCAATAGCTCTGTGATCCGAAAGGAAGCTCTAGCTGAGTGGTTTCTGATGTTGAGCATCTCACAGCTCACTGGATGATGAAGTAAGTGTCAGGTAGCCTTCCTCCTCCTCCTCCTGCTCCTCTTCAATGCAAAGATAATTGAAAATTAGTACAGTTACTTCAGTGCTGGTTATTTTTTCAAGGCTTGCTTTCTTCTGATGGAGTCTGCCTTGGAGACTTTTCTCAGGACATGCTTTTCCTCCAACTTTTTATTTTTAAGACCACAGGAAAATTTGGAAGAATTGTATAAAGAACACTTGTATAACCTAGAAACATCAATTGTTAACATTTTACCAATTTTCTTTACTTCTATCTGTTTATCCTGTCTGTCTGTCTACCATCTGTCTGTCTGTCTGTCTGTCATCTATTTATCCTATCCATCTGTCTGTCTGTCCATCCTTTTTTTGCTGAATCATTTGAAAGAAAGTTGTAGCCATCATGCCCCTTCACAGCTAAATCCTTAAACACGTATCTCCAAATAATAAGGGTATTTTCCTATGCAATCGGAATGCCATTATCACACCTAAGAAAATGAACATGAACTCACTATTACTTCTACACTATATTTATTTTTCTCTCAGTCATCCCATATTATTTATAGCTACTTTTTTTTTTTTCCAATCCAGGATGCAGTCAAGGTTTACATATTGATATGGTTGTTACACCCCTTTAGTCTCTTATCTATAACAAGCCTCTGCCTTGTTTGTTTGTTTTTCGTGGCCTTGATTTTTTTTGAAGAATCCAGACCAGTTGTCATGTAGAATGTTCCACATTCTAGATGTGTCCCACTGCACAGAACAGCACATAGATAATGTCTTACCCTCAATGCTTTATGCAGGGGGCACCTATTGTCAGGTTGTCCCACTATTAGTAATGCTCTGTTTGGTGAAGGTTGTGATTCTCAGATTCCACTGAAAATTATATTTCCTCTTCATCTGCGGCTTGATGTCTTTAGACCCTGTGAATATCCTGGTTCCCTGCATTCTTTCACCCAACGGTTTCATCATCCACTGATGATCTTGTCTGACTCGGTTATTACAGTGGGGGTTACACAATGGTCATTTATCTCATTCTGTCATTGTTGTCAACATTTATTAGGTGGCATTGTAATATAAGAAAAAATTTCCCTCCTCCCTTTCTCTCTCCCCTTTAGTATCATTTAGAGACCCTTGCCCTATTTTCATTCAGTGTATATCTGTTACCATCATTTTTCTTTTTTATTTTCAAATTTTCCCAAATTGGCCACTTGGAGCCCCATCAGGCTGGCTCCTGTGTCTGCATTAGTCTCTGAGCACTTGCTTTCTGGCACAGCCTTAAACTTTCCCTGCCTTAACCCAGGATCACTGGTGAATGTTATCTAGAAACCAAGCCCTTGCCCTGGAGCCTTTAACTACAAGACTTCTCTTACTTGCTTTTGGGCAGATACAGTACCAATGAAGGAGAGACCTGGAAGACATTCATCTTCTCCGAGAAGCCAGTGTTTGTATATGGGCTCCTCACGGAACCTGGAGAGAAGAGCACCATTTTCACCATCTTTGGCTCCAATAAGGAGAATGTCCACAGCTGGCTGATCCTCCAGGTCAACGCCACGGGTGCCTTGGGTAAGCTGCCACCTCTTCAGCTCTTTTCATAGAAATAGTTATTGACGAAAGCATCGGCTTAGATACTCTGTACCCAGAAGAGTTTGTGATCCATTGAAGGAGATGGGCACGTATATAGTGAGTGAGTGAGAAATACAGAGGCAATTACTGAGACAATTCTTAATAGGACCATATGTTACTCTTTTGTATCTTCATTTCCTGTGCAGTCACTGGCATGTAGCATGTTTAGGTATATGTATGTTGAACATGTGAATGAATGAAAAGCATTCTTCTAAGTCAGCAGTTCCAGTTTGACAAATTCAGCAAGTAACTACTATGTGAAAGGCAGTGTGCCAAATGATGCACAGTCCTCCCAGGGCAGTGTAGGATCTCATCACGATCTGCCAGTCTAGGTACAGGATGTGTAAGTAAGGAGGGAGAAGTGAAACTCCTCAGCATCCTCCTTCCTCCCCTGCCCTCCATGTAACCCTGCCTTCTCCTTCCCTGCCTTGGTTGACATTATTGTTCCAGTGGCCTGGAATGCCCGCTGTGCCACCCATTCAATTTCCACCAGTTGAAATCTTTTTTTGTGTGTGTGTGAGCAAGATTGGCCCTGAGCTAACATCTGTGCCAATCTTCCTCTACTTTATACGTGGGACGCCACCACAGCATGGCTTGATGAGTGGTGTGTAGGTCCGCACCCGGGATCCAAACCTGTGAACCCCGGGCCACTGAAGTGGAGTGTGCAAACTTAACCATTACACCACTGGGCTGGCTCCTGAATCCTTTTCATGTTTCAGGATCCAATGCACTTGGCAGCTAAAATCCCCACCAGAAGACCTCTTCCCTCTTCTCTGTGTCCAGAGCATAGGCGGACTCATCAAGGCTTGAATTAAAAATTTGCATCTGTCACTCTGTATCATCTCCCATCAACTAGGTTATAAGGTTCTTAGAAACAAGAACCTGTCCTGTGCATATTTATTTTTCCCCCACTGGACAGCCTGACGGTCAGTAAGAGTTTAATAAGTACTTGCTGATTTGAATGGCATTGAATTGACAGTTTATTGCATTGAATTGACAGTTTATCAATTTCAGGCAGCATTTAATCTGACCAAAGACACATACATAAAAAAAGACATAAAGTACCAATGTAGACATAGTTATACTTTGGAATTCCTGTAGAAAACACCCTACTTAAATTTTGAGTGAATGTGAGTAGATGGAGTGATCGTCCCCCTTGTCTTACCGTTTCTGACCCTCCTTCCATGAAGATCCTGTACCTTCCAGGCAGTGACAACAAATTCTGTGTTGCTCTTGGGTCATCCTACCAGATGTGCCCGTATCACCCCAGGGAGCAGGCCGGGACCAATACTCCTGAATGATGCCATCTATTAAGGACTCAACCTTTCCCTAATTCCCTGGGAGATAAACACCTCTGGGTACCTAATTCTAAAGGGACCTGTGGAATCTGCTAAAATATTTCAGAAGTTTGGATAGTGCCAGAGGTGGCTTGCTTCTTCCCAGCTTTGGAGGTACCACTTTCATTTGCTTGGGTGCCGCCCAGCCTCAGAGCAAGCTGATGGATGTTTGTGACAGCTCCAGAGGCCTGTGCGCCTGCCAGGCAGGAAGTGGGCAGCTGGGCTGAGGGACAGAAGGACAGGGAATCCCACTTGGGTCTGCCTCTGATGCTTCATGCTGCATTCGCTTTCCCTCAGGGGTTCCCTGCACAGAGAATGACTACAAGCTGTGGTCACCGTCTGATGAGCGGGGCAACGAGTGTTTGCTTGGACACAAGACTGTTTTCAAACGGAGGATACCCCACGCAACGTGCTTTAATGGAGAAGACTTTGACAGGCCAGTGGTCGTGTCCAACTGCTCCTGCACCCGAGAGGACTATGAATGGTTGGTTCTTCATCAGTGCTCAGGATTGAGTCATGTTTTATTCACTCAGCAGTATGGGAAACAGACTAGGGCATGGTCCCTTCTGCTGAGGAAAGGAAGAGAATCCTAGGAAACAAATATTTATTAAGCATCTCGTATGTTCCAGGAACTGTGCTCAGCACTTTTTACATAGGTTATTCCATGTAGTTCTCACAGGCATGTAATATGGTTGAAGTGTTACAGCCCAGGGAAGCTGCAGTAATTTATTTAGGAGTAGATCACTGTGGGATTTATATGTATGAGGGCAACCCAAAAAGAGAACATATTGAAGGTTCCATTGCAGAAAATTCCTTTTTCTTAGGAGCCCTATTCTAGAGGGAATTTATTTCTTTATCTGAAATGAGGGAATGTTAGTGTATATATATTTATCTATTCATTAGTCCTTAAGTAGCATATCCAAGGCACTGCTGAGAATGCTAAACGTAGAAGAAATGACATGTGCACAAATAATTGTAACAGGAGGTGGAGAGCTGTGAGTACCGTGGAGGAGGAATGGGTACTTGTATTGTGATATTGACAGGAAGTGATTTGCTATTGGGGAATCAGGAAATTTCTGGAGGAAGCACTGTGAGAGGGGCCTTAAGGAAGCATCTGGATATGTGGACAGGAGCTTTCTAAGAACCTGTAGCAGCCATGTGAAGGTGTGGAGGCAGGGGAGTGTAGTTGGTGGTTTAGATTGGATGTCTCAAGTAGGGTCAGTGAGTGGAGATGAGGCTAAAAAGAAACTACGATAGGGGTATGAGGGTGTCTTTGAAGACTTTTGAGGGGGGTTGATGATCAGAACAGAGCTTAGCTTTAGGAAGATGATTCTAGCAGCAGAGCACTTAGGCAGTCCCTTGAGTCTGTATTCTAGCATGAAATCATTCCAGGTTAGGTAGGGCTGTCAGTAGAGCAGGGTATTGAACATAAGCACGTAACTCATTTTTCAGTAGTTGCTAAGGTACAAAGAAACTAAAGTTTGCTTTGGAAAGCCACACTTATCTTGACTAAAGCCAGAAACCTCTGATGTGTTCTAGTCCAGAGGTTGGAACAGGGCCATGGAGTCACATTTTAGGCTTTGCAGGCCATGTGGTCTCTGTTGCAGCTACTCAGCTTTGCCTGTGCTGGCCTGAAAGCAGCTGGAGACGAGTGGGCGTGGCTGTGAGCCCATAAATCTTTATTTACAGAAACAGCTAACCAGATTTGGCCAACTCCTGTCCTGGACCAATGCTTCTGGAGCTTGAATGTGCATATGAATCACCTGGGGTCTTGTTAAAATGCAAGTTCGGACTCTAGTTCCAGGGATCTGCAGTTCTGCCAGGCTCTGGAGGACCCTGAGGCTCTTATCTGCAAACCCACCCTCTGAGCAGCAGGGCATTAGGCGGAGCAAGATGTGCGTTCTCTTTGAAAGTTGTGTGGTCCTAAGATAATAGCAAAGGTGCTTCAGTGGCAAAACCCCACAGCTGTTTGATGTTTCCAGTGATGTCAGTTCAATGCCCCTTTGCTGCCTTCTGCTCTCCCTTAGATACCCCACATTTGTAATTCTGATCTGACAGCTTTTGCTGGCCCGAGGTAGTTCCTCTGACTGTAGAGGCCCTAATCCCGGAAAAGATTATGGTGCCCTCTCTTCCCTCTTTTAACCCCATTAAGTACTTCAAAATAAAATGAAATCAAAAATATGTAAGAAAATCTAACAAATCTTTGATTTTTTTCCTTAATGTCCACTATTATGCTTTTTCTCTAAAATCTGCACCTCCTCCCCAAACAACAACAACAACAAAAAACAAAAACCAGGGGCTGGTGTGCCTTCTTGGGAACCTGGCCTGGCTCCCATTGATGTACCATGCATACCCCAGCTGACTCGTGGAAACCCACTGGGGGCTGAGTTTTTATTATAGACCCAGAAAACCACCTCCCTGCCCCTCATGGAGTTGGGCTGAAGGCCAAATGAGATCATGAGGGCGAGGACCCATGAAAATAGTAGAGGGTGTATTGATTTCAGGCCATCCTGTTGTTTCTCTGTTTGCTAAGGCTGCCAGAAAGGAGCCAGCCTGACTGTGTGGCTCTTGGAAATGTTTGGTGGCCTTAGACTATGGCAGTGAGAAGGGAAGTGGTCTGAAGATGGACAACAGGAGAGGAAATAAGAACGAGAGAGCTTGTAGTATCTGTCCTTTAGTTCAGCTCCTGAGTGATGACCACGTTTGAAGGTCAGGTCACTTCTGACAGTCCTTGCAGACCTCACTGGGCAGCTCAACTATTGGCCCACATGTTCCCTGATTTCAGGGTAGTTTCTTTACACCTTTATATTTCCCCACATTGCCCGTAAGTGTAGCCTTCACACTTTTGAGTGAAACCCCTAGAATGCAATGCATTTAATAGCATGACCCTGTACCTACATGTTTGTATAGGTAGACACATGCACAGATATGATTAAAACAAAAGTTTTATGAGATAACATTTAAGTGTGATGAGTTTTGCAATCTTCTGTTCTTTCAGGGAGGGGAGGAAGCTAGTCTTCACCCTCCAGCGTGCTTTCACAGCCCACTAGGTCCTGACCTACAGTTTGAAGAAACCTGCCTAAGGAGGGTGCTTTGCCGTTGGAGGCAAATAAGCAATTAGCTAATGCTCCACCTAGTCCCCAAAAAGATTTAAAGCAGCCATTCAGTAAAAATTACCTGGTTTAATGAATGAGACCTGTTTGATACAGTAATAAAACTCTTCCTTCTGAACAGTTCTCTACATATTGCTAAATGTGGATTATGACATAATATACACACAAACCACTGTGCCCTGTACCTGTTCACACTTTTCGTATGGAAGGTGTTTGGTAAATATTCGTTGAAATGAAGAGAGTAAATGAAGCCTTTTGGGCAGAGTACATCGACATGGAAAATCCCTGTGAATTACAAATTTATGGTTTTGGCTGGGCTTTGGGAAGTATATCATGCAGCTGCTTCATCTGAGAGATGTTAAGTGCAGCCTAGAGAAGTCATGCGGTGAAGGGCGGAACCAAGATGAGACCTAGGACCCCTGCTTCCTATTCCAGGGCTCTGCCCCTTGACCTGGGTGGTTTGGCAGAGATATGGTCCCCAAATTCCAGAAGATCTTGTGGATCAGAGCGCTGTGTCCTGAAGTGCAGGATGAGGCACTCAAGATGATTTCAGGTAGTATGGGGACATGGTCTTCAACGACATTCAATCTTTGGTTAAAAAAAAAGAAAGATTACTTTTTAAATTTCACTTTTAATTCTTCCAATCATGTCAAGGAGAAAGTCTCACTGGGTGCTAGTAATTCTTTAACATTTGCTAGTCCCTTTAACAAAGAGAGCGCAGGCCCAGAGTCTTTGGGTAGGAAACGGGGATCTAGCTAAAAAATTTAATATTATTTTGTTTTTGGTGTAATGATTTGTATTGTTTTCATCTGTTTATGGCATATGATAGTGGTTTTCCAATTACAGTTCTGATATAACCGTTTCTTTTGGAAATGTATTAGCGTAAAAAAGTGAGTTCTTTAAAGGGACATAATCCAGGTGATAGGCAGTATGATGGGAGTCACAAGGGTTGGTACTGAAATGCCTGCAGTGTGTAAATCAACAGCCTTAACAAACCCTGCTTGCTTTTTCAGTGACTTCGGCTTCAAGATGAGTGAAGACTTGGCATTGGAAGTTTGTGTTCCAGATTCTGAGTTTCCTGGGAAGGCGTACTCCCTGCCCGTGCCCTGTCCTGTGGGTTCTACTTACAGGAGAACGAGAGGGTATGTCTCACGGAGGTTGCCGTGTCAGGGACACGAGGGGTCTGCACTTGGTGTGAGAGAGCATAGAGGACCATGTGGGTTCCTTTCATTCCCAAAAGGCTAGAATTCCAAGTTGGCAGGTTTCAAGTAGCTTGGACAAGATTTAAAATTATGATGTTGTCAAAGTCTTCTACCCCCAGTGAGGCCAAAAATGCAAGTCTGTAAGCTTTTCTGCAACTCTAGTTGTATCTTAGGTCATGAACTTCAGCAAGGACACATCTTCAAGGGAGTTTGTTGAAGAGATATATGTAAAACTCTTGCCCAGGACAGCATTCCAAATTGTCTGGGCTGCCTAATCTGTTTACAAGCTGGACCGATTTAGAATGATAAGGCATCCTCCTTCTTGGTCTACAGGGAAATGAATGGATGAACTCTATTGTCCATGGATAGGAAGTATGTTCCCAGTTATGAAGCCTCCATGACTATTCTTTGATGTGTCTGACCTCTTGCTCTTGGGGTGGGGGTGACAGCTATCGGAAGATTTCTGGGGATACTTGTAGTGGAGGAGATGTTGAAGTGCGACTGGAAGGAGAACTGGTCCCGTGTCCCTTGGCAGGTAAGAGGTGGTTTCTTCCCTTTGACTTCTGGAGTTGTCCCTGAAGCATTATCGTGATCTCACCCAGCCCCAGTCTTGTGGCTTTTCTAACTTAGTGGAGTAAGACAATGGAAGTCTCAAGCATCACAGAGCTCCCATTTTCCCCTAAGCTTAGTATCCAAACTAAATTTATTTATAGCCTATGCTTTTATAGGAATGGAAAATATTTTTTGAGGGAAATCGCTCTTATTCATTGAAAAATGTTTATTCAGCATCTGTTGTAATCTGTAGGCACGGGGGGCTAAGAGGGTGCCCATAGGTCTTTTGTGTGTTCCTTGATCTGTTTGTCATAGTTGAATTAAAAGAGATTTGTAGCTTTTTGGAAGTAGCTAAGTGGTCCATCTTAACTTTTATAATAATAATTATAACTAATATTTTAAAGGAATTTTACACATTTTAATTTACTTTTCCGTGTCTTGTCATTTTAATCCTTATACGTACCCAATGAGGCAGATATTACCAGGTCCATTTTTTTTTTTTTTTAATATGAGGAAGCATGTTCAGAGGAGAGGGTTAAACAACTTATTTAAGGTCACACATCTGGTAAGTGACAAAGCCAAAATTCAGACTCTGAGCCCCATGCTCTTGGATGGATATCACCCAAATGGCAAATAAGTGTCATTCTCATTATTTTAGATGATCATTATGCATGTTAATTAAGAAAAACTTCTTTGGCCTGAGTGCAAATACTATAAAGGTATAGTGTGTTCCAGACCATGTTTTAGGTTGATTTAGCAGTGATGGCACATGTTAAGGTATTTGTAATATAGACATGAAATTGTGATCTCTTAAGAAATAATGTCTTAACATCTTTTCTTTCTTTCTTTTTATTTTTGATGAAGAAGATTAGCCCTGAGCTAACATCTGTGGCAATCCTCCTCTATTTTGTATGTGGGACGCCACCACAGCATGGCATGATGAGTGGTGTGTAGGTCCACGCCCAGGATCCAAACCCATGAACCCCCGGGCTGCCAAAGCGGAACGTGCGAACTTAACCACTATGCCACCGGGCCAGCCCCATGTCTTTTCTTTCTTCACTGAGTTTCTGGTTCTTATTCATGTAGAGCTTCCTTATTCCCTCTGAGCCCTTCCTCCTGCTCTTATCTCTTGGTGAAGATGAATGATTGGGGCTGACTTCCATCAGCAGTGGTGTTGTCTAATGGAACAGCCGTAAGCGCCAAATGAATCATGAGAATCAGTCGCGTCGTCCTCTGCAGGCAGGGCAGGGCAGCCCTCTTGTTCACTCACTGCTTGCCAGCTTGCCCTGGTGTTTTTCATGCTAAGCTCATTAGTCCCTTAATTTAATCTTCCATCATTACCAGAGTAATTAACATACCTCACTGTGGAGACTTAAAAAGAACACGGCTTCAGCAGATTCCCACAAATGAGCAGATAATATTCACATATTCCCCTCCCAAGAGCTGTTATTGATGAGGGCTTGGGTGAGCAGGGTTTGAGTGATTGCTCTTAAGGGGCTGAAGTACATACTTTTGCAATAAATATTTCTGAAGATAATTCAGCTAGGGACAAAACAGTTTGTTTAAAGCCGTCTAAACTGGGAGGAAAGCTCTTTTCTCTTCTAATGGGAGAAGACAAAACAGGAATGAAGCAAAAAATTTCATTTGCAGTGTAGGCTGGCTCCTAAATGTTAAAAAAAAAAAACAACAACTGTGTAACAGAAGGCAGGGACGTACCAAGAAGGGAAAAGATGGTTTCAGAGGACTGGTGGGAACCATAACATCTTTGCAAAGATGAGGTAATCTGGGCATCTGGAAGGATTTTTAGAAATGAAGTAATTTTTCTTCCTTTATGATTGCTGTAATAACACAAATTTCTAGGCTGTGCTCATGTATGGCTGGGTATTGGCCAAGAATTCTGTTCTTTTAAGTGAAGTATTGCACAAAGATAGGCTGCATGTTCCTCCATAACTAATCCTAAGGCAAATGTTTCTGGACTCAGGCTCTGCTATAAAGGCATTAGTTGGCTAGAAGAAAAAACCAAAGCAACAGAAAGAGGTTTATAGATGTTAGAAAGAGACGTGGGGTGAAGGGCTCGCTGCTGTGAATGTATTGTATTCTCCATGACCATGTGGCAGCTTCCACGAGAGTCCTTGGTTTCCATGTTATTTACAGTGAACTTGGCAGGTTTCACCTTCACTACCCCCTTCACTGGAAATTACAGTGGGCAGGTTTTCTTGAAAACTGAAAGGAGAGATTAGTTATCATGTGGTGGTAGCTTAGATACTTTTGAAGTGAAGTGAGACCAAAGGAAAAGAAGGACTTTTATTACAAATTATAGGTAAATTTATTCTTTTGGTGCATTATCTACATAGAAGCCTTTTTAAAGCAGGTGGCTAGTATATGTTAACTCATTGAATGAATAGAATGAGAGAGAGAGAAAAAACAACAACAATAACTGTGCAGGCATGCAGCAGAGGGATTCAGATTTGCATCTTGGTCCCATATGCAACATATTGTCAAAATAGATGCTTTAGACATGGATGCAGGTGTATCGGTCATCTCCATTCCCTTTGGAAGAATCTGGATGTTTCCAGGCTGTTCCCTAAGAGTGAGAGAGAGAGCACTAGCTCTTCCATTACTAGTTGCCTGACATTGTCTCTTAAGCACTCTGGGCCTCTATTTCTACATCTTAAAAAGTGGCAGCATTAGTAGCTACATCATAAGGGGCAGCATTCTGTAGTGGTTAAAACATGGACTCTGGATCCAGACTGCCTGAGTTCAAGTCTCGGTTCTGCCACTTACTAGTTGTGTGACCTTGAGTGAGTTACTTAACCTCTCTGCACTCAGTTTTCTCTTTTGTAAAATTGAGTTAATAATAGTTCTTCCATTGTACAGTTGTTATGCAGATTAAACAATGCCTGGTATGTAGCATGTACAATGTATAAATATTTGTTAAGTAGAAATAGGATCTTATCGATGATTATGTTGTAAAACGTTTTGTAAGTAGTCTAGAACAAATGTATTATTATTGTTTTGAAAATACAATAGATTTATATAATTGCCATATGTCATTGTGAAAAATATTGAATGGGTGAGCAAATAGAATAGAAAACTTAGCTACAAGTCTTCAGCGACTAGTGGTCTCTAGTCAACAAGATTATGGTGCTGTGTGACTCAGTCATATGATGAGGGAGAACATGCTGACTGGTGTAATTATTTTGTCAAGTGTGATTGAAGACTTTTAGGCTGAGCTCAGAAGTATGGATGTTGGAGCATGCCTACTAAGGGTTCTAGGTTAAAAAACAAATGTAACAAGTAAGACACTTTGCAGACAAGGAAACTGAGATTCACAGGAGTTTAAGTAACGTGCCCGGGGCAGAAATGTGATTCCATTACACACCTTCTAAGTCTTGATTCATATATTTTTCCACTTGATCCACCCTATGTGCCAATGGCTCTGAGGTTTGTGTGTAAGAAAAAATAGGTCAGACGTGCTAGACCTATCTTCAGCATCCCCCAGGTCCACCCTCCCTGTTGTTTTGTGTGTCTGTGTAGAGGAGAACGAATTCATCCTGTATGCCACACGGAAGTCCATCCACCGCTACGACCTGGCCTCAGGAGCCACTGAGCAGTTGCCTCTCACCGGGTTGCGGGCGGCGGTGGCCCTGGACTTTGACTATGAGCACAACTGCTTGTATTGGTCTGACCTGGCCTTGGACATCATCCAGGTGAGTCAACCCTTGGTCTGATCGCGGGGCTGTGCCTTGTGACTGCCCAAGCTTGATAAGCTGCTTTCAGAAGCTTCTTTCAGGAGATAAGCTTCTTTCAGAAGCTTATGGCCTGATGGCCTAGGGAAATGGGTATTAGAGGTTTTAAGTCATAACTCATCTCGGGGCCTACTGATGGAACTTTTCAGTTTTCTGTCCTTGTAGGAAGGTCAAAGGGAACCCCAAATCTGGGATCTTGCTTGTAAGTGAGGTCTCACTTTTCTTGCTAGGAAGATTTTAGGACTAGGAATGCAGGATTATTAGTCACTCTCTATTTTTCCAGCTGCCTCTTTAGCATCCTTCTTCCCAGGCCACCATATAGTAACCCTTGACTTATCCGTAGTCTGCGTAATTATCCACTTCAGCTATTCCGAGCCACAGTCAAGAACCGGGAAGTAAGCTGTAAAGATCCTCACAGGCCAGATAGACAGGCATATACTCCAACCCATGCATTTTAAAGGAGAACTGTTTGATCTTTATTCATTGCCTAGTTAATCCTTCTAGTAAAGCAGTTTCAACAGGTTTTATCTGGACTTCCAACCCCACAGAGATTTTACGGTGCCTGGGTGTTTGTGGGGGTGGGGATGGGAGCTGGCGTTAACTGCTGAGTGTAGCTGTCCCAACAATAGCACCTGATGGCTAGGGCCTCCCAGGGAGGAAGACTGTAAAAAGCAGACAGGAGAACTTAAAAATAACAGCAGTCTGGTTTCCTTTATTTTGACAGCAAACAGACTCATGCATCTCAGTAATCTCCGACCTCATTATTGTGATCCAGCATAGTTCAGCAACCAGTGTTCATAGTGATAATGCAGAGTCATAGAAATGATTAACTTCTGTTTAGTTATTCTGCTTAAAACAGGAAACCATAATATGTTTTAGAGATGCTTTTATTAAAAACTGGCTTTATTCATCTGGAAAGTTTACTAATACAAAACATCTTATCCCTAGCCAGTCAGGCCAGTTGAGTAAAGGGTGACCATCCATGGGACTGATTCGAGGAGGTCTTTTGAGCATTTCACAGTGTTTCTTCTTTTTCTCTCCTCAGCGCCTTTGTTTGAATGGGAGCACAGGGCAAGAGGTGATCATCAATTCCGGCCTGGAGACAGTGGAAGCCTTGGCTTTTGAACCTCTTAGCCAGTTACTCTACTGGGTGGATGCTGGCTTTAAAAAGATTGAGGTATGTGTGTTCTGTGCTGTCCTTAATGGAGTAAGCATGGGGAGCACTGGGCTTTGAGCCAGATTTGACACAGAGGTAGGAGCCAGTGTGTCAAATGGTAAATTGCCAGAGTACTGGCAAGTCTCTGAGAATTCCAGAGAATGGACCAGCTGAGCCTCTGGAGAAGGAAGAAAAGGGGGATAGTCTCAGAATTAGTGCTCACTGCCATGAAGGTCCCACGTGAGAACAGGATGCCTGAATCCAGCAAACAGATTTCATTAAGATACCTGACAGTTTATATTTTGGTTAGCAGAAGCATAGAGTAGTAAATAATGATAATCATGATACCATAGCATTGTTATAATGCTATAAAATCAGTACTCTGGTATTATTGTAGTCAATTAGAGTAATAATGACAATGCGTGATCAATTATCATCATTAATCATTAATCATGAAGCACTTACCATGTGCCAAGCCCTGTTGGAACCACCTTGCGGGAATTATTTGATTCACTTCTCACAACAACCCTGTGAGGTAGGTACTCTTATTATTACCACTCACCTGTTTGCAGCTTAGCTACCCAAGGCCTCTAAAGCACCAAAGTCATTGTCTCATAGGCGCACTTAACTCCTGCAGGTTACTGCTGAGGCCCTGGGGCGCTGTCTCAGCACCTCTTTATAGTGACTCCCCGTGGAGGTACGGCAGGCGGGTCATGTGGAAAGTAAAGTGGAAGCAGGGAGACACAGATTGCCAAGAGAATTGCAAGACAGAAGGCACAAACTTGAGAGGTAGACCTGGGTTCAGTCTTTATTCTGCTAGCTAAGTGGCTCGGGCTAGTTTCTTATTCTTTCTAAGCTGCAGTTTCTTCATCTGTAAGATGAGGATCCATTTATCCACTCAGTCATTTGACAAGTGCTTTTTGAGTGTGTGATATATGCCAGGTATGGTTTTAGGTCGTGATGATACAGCAGGAGGCAAGACACAAGTTCCTGTTCTGATAGAGATTAGATTTTAGTGGAGGAAGCACGGTAATGAAGAGATAAGTCAAGCAGTTCTGTTGGTGATAAGTGCTGCAAAGAACGTCAAACAGCAATGTGATCGTGTGATGTGGGACGTGGGACAGCATTAGAAAAGGCGGGCAGAGGAGGCGACTTGAGGATGTGACGTCTGAGCTGAGCCCTGACTGAGGAGAGGATAATTAGAGTGCTCACCTCATAGAGTGGTTGAGAGAAGTGAATGAAAAGATGTACAGTGCCCGGTGCGGACTGACTGTGCATTGATGATCTTGTTATTCTCTTTCCCTCCTTCCTTTACCTGTGTGTGTTGGCACTTTGGTAAGTGCTAGAAGGATGCAGGCAGAGCTCAAGTGTCCACACTCTCACAGTGTACAACTCAAATACTGTTTGTGCAAAATGGTGTAAGATGAGTCAGTGATGAGAATTACAGATGCTCATTGATCAAGGTGGGTCAGAAGAGTTAGCGAAGGAGGTAGGCCTGGACGTGGGTTTTGAAGGAAAGATACAATTTGATTAGAGAGTAGAGGGCAGGCCCGGGAGGGGATATGGTGAGAGCAGACGGGAGTGAGGATGTAAGGCCTGGAGGAGAACCATGAGAAGATGAGCCTGGCTGAGGTCATAGGAGCTGAAGTGGAGGAGAAAGAATTAAGAGTCTGTGGAGACTCTTATTGCAAGGCTGTGACATTAAGAATTTTTTTGGTGGACAGTATAGAGCCATTGGTGGCTTTAGAGCATGGAGCAACATAGGCGGGTTAAATTAGTAAACACATATCGAGGAATTACTTTGTGCAGATCATCATGACCCTGGAAGTGGGGAAGACAGGCTGGCTCCTCTGTCAGACCATGTGAGAATTGTCACATGAGCCAGAGGTGGAGGAATCAGGTGGCCATAGAGGGGCATGTCTGTGGGCAGGAGCTGAGTAGGAGACTTTGCAATGTGGGCCTTTTAAGGAGCTTGGATCCATTTTGGCTTTCTTTCTCTCCCTTTTTTGTCAGGTAGCTAATCCAGACGGCGACTTCCGACTCACGATCGTCAATTCCTCCGTGCTCGATCGGCCCAGGGCTCTGGTCCTCATGCCCCAAGAAGGGTAAGTGTGGCCCCAGAGGAATTCAGCGTGTGTCAGATGCTGCAACAGACAGATTCTCATGGAAATGCAAACTGCTGGGCAAAGACTTATTTCTGATGATGGTGGTTGAAGTAATCTGTTAACTGCAAGTCTTCAAACCATAGTTTAGTCACCTTGGTCAGACGACTTCATTCCCTTTTCATTTGTAAGCCTTGGAATCTCCTTAGGCATCCAGATGTCTCACATCTGTGGGGTTTCTCTAATAAAAGCTAATATTAGAAGTCTCTCCATAGACATAGTCTGGACTGGTTGGATATTGTAAGGATTCTTTATCTTGAGTTTCATGCACGGTACAAACATTTAGTGTGTCCCATCTTTTCCCTGCCCCCAGCTTGTGTCAGTTTTCTTACTAGCAATTTGTATGCACTGGGGAAATGCAAAGGTGCTTTTTATTAATTTATTAACTTAAGGAAGCGTAACTAAAAGGGAAATTCTGGAATAGCCTTTTTACCCGTTTCTTATAGCGTTTATGATTCAGAATTATGTCTATTTTTTAAAAGAAAATTCTGAAAGTAACCTATGTACTTGATTAAAAATATTAAAGGAGACTAGAAATTTATGAAATAGAAGGTATTTGTTTCCTCCTTTCTCTTTCTCTCTTAACCCTTTACTCTCACACTTCCTAGGGATAATCATAGTTAATAGTTTCTTGTATATCGTTTAGAATTTTTTTTTTACCCATGTACAAACACATATCCTTAAAACACACAGACAAATGCACGCATGCATCAAATAGAATCATAAGATGGGGCCAGCCTGGTGGCGTAGCTATTCAGTTTGTGCATTCTGCTTCTGCAGCCCAGGGTTCTTTGGTTCGGATCCTGGGCGTGGACCTACTCATCGCTTATCAAGCCATGCTGAGGTGGCGTCCCACATAGAAGAACGAGAAAGACCTACAACTAGGATATACAACTATGTACTGGGCCTTTGGGGAGAAAAAAGAAAAAGAGGAAGATTGGGAACAGATGTTAGCTCAGAGCCTCAAAAAACTCTTCCTCAAAAAAAAAAAAGGAATCATAGGATATATACCGTTCTGCATGTTTTAAAAGCATTTAATATGGTTTGAAGATAGTTTCATGTGAGCACATGTAGATTTTTAAGCTTCCTGATATTCTTTTGTATGTACCACAGTATATCACTTTCTCTGTAAATTAACATTTTGATGTATATACATGTATATATACATGTAAATATGTATACTGTCGGCCTTCTGTATCCACAGCCTTTGTATCTGTGGATACAGAGGGCTGACTGTATTCATTTTACTATACCATTTTATATAAGGGGATTGAACTCCGTGGATTTTGGTATCCTCAGGGGTTCTTGGAACCAATTTTTCCTGGATACTGAGGGACGACTGTTTACATATGTATGTATTTTTGCTAGTATGAGCAGTGCAGTGATGACCATCTTTGTATATTATCTTTGCATAACTTGGTTATATCTGTAGATAAATTCCAGTAAAGGAGTTTCTGGGTCAAGGAATTATGTGGTTTTGGGTATTATAATTACAGATTATAATAATAATGCTGAAATAATCAGCTGAGTTGTTCTGGAGGAGCTTCTTAACCTCTTTGGAGTAGTATTTGAGCTCTCATTTCTCTAGTTCTGATGTGATGTGTGTTCTTTCCTGGTTTTAACCAGAGTGATGTTCTGGACCGACTGGGGAGACCTGAAGCCTGGTATTTATCGGAGCAACATGGACGGTTCCGCTGTCCATCGTCTTGTGTCAGAGGATGTGAAGTGGCCCAACGGTATCTCGGTGGATGACCGGTGGATCTACTGGACAGACGCCTATCTGGACTGCATTGAGCGGATCACCTTCAGTGGCGAGCAGCGCTCGGTCATCCTGGACAACCTCCCACACCCCTACGCCATTGCTGTCTTTAAGGTGGGGCCTCATTGTTCCCTGCATTGGGCAATAGTAGGTGAGGAGCCTGCTGACTTGGGGTTTTTTACAGAGATGCTTGTCTCACTTCTAGAAAATCAACTCATTTCTGAATTTGACACAATTTACTTCAGCCCATATGAAGGGATCCCAGACAGAGGTGCCAGGGGCCCTGGGTGCTCACTGTTCACATTTCAGGTTACAGGTTGAGGTTACTTCACATGAAATTCCCAATTTGCCCTTTGCTGTCAGTAGCCTTATCTTGGCTCCGTGTCTTTGTCTCTTGTGAGGTTTGCTTGCTTCCTTCCTGGTGGCTTAGACGAGCTCTGCACCACCTGTGTTGTCTGTCACTTCTGCTTTGACTCTAGAGAATAAAATGGTTCTTCCCAACACTGGGAAGCATATTTCAAACTGAAGGGTTGGGCTTGTGGTCAAACTTGAATGCTTATTGGATAGTTCCATTTAGGTAGTTCCTTCAGTGTGGATATTTGGTGAGGTTTGGATAAAATCGCTGATGCTCACATTTAAGTGGACTCTTGATCAGGCCAATCATTCAGCCAATGAATGTTAGGTGTCCACTGTGTGGCAGAGCTCCTTTTCTTACTGGGGGTCCAGAATAAAGGACTGAAGAGCTGGACTAAAGAGCAAGGGTTTTCTTTTTAGAGTGAAATCTACTGGGATGACTGGTCACAACTCAGCATATTCCGAGCCTCCAAATACAGCGGGTCCCAGATGGAGATTCTGGCAAGCCAGCTCTCGGGGCTGATGGACATGAAGATTTTCTACAGGGGGAAAACAACTGGTAAGGCAGCCTCTCCTCCTTAATCTCTATTGAGTTGATCTCTAGAAAGGGGCTGGGTGTGGGCAATCTCTGCTCAGAGCAGGATCTGGCAGCCTGTATCTTTGTTGTCACGACAACATGCACATTATTTAATTTCTTGCTAATGACATCTTAATTTCTTTTCTAATGATACACAAACAGCTGGAAGACAGCGTGTTTTTGCCTGCCTGGAGTGTTGGTGCTTGGTGGGTAATTACACCCTCCTCCTGCCTTTGGCCCCTTACTGATTGGTGGTGTGGTTTCTGTTGCAGCTGGAGAGGCCCAGCATGTGCTTAATCTCCCGTTGGCACCCTTACAGGGAGGAACGCCGTGCTGGGTGCGCAGGCAGTTGCTGCTTCCTGACAGGAGTCCTGTCTTGTTCTCTGTTCACCCAGATGACCTATTGTTCATTGGGCACCTACCTCCCTTGTAATGTTAGGTGTAGTTATATGATGACTTGATTAATTTCTCCCCACCATGAAGCTCTGAACCCCAGGAAGAAGGAGATTGTCTCTTTTTTGCTTTTACCAGTGCCTAGCACTTAATGGGTGCTCAATTCATGGTTGGTGAAAGGAGAAGGGATGAAAAAGGAAGCGAAAAGTTGCCGGTGAGTGGAGCTGGCTTAAAGGTTGTTGGGTGAGGCTTCACTCAATTAAATAAAATAAAGAACTGCTCCAAGGCTTTGACCTGCTGGTGCTAGAGTCTGAGACTATTCAGTAGAAAGCCTTCTTTCTTACTTGACTGCCCTTTCTCTTTGTCAGTCTCCCAGCCATCCTATTGATTTGAGAGGAGAGAGATCAGGGTACTCCCAAGAAGAATAGTCCCTTTAAGAAGTGCCCTCTTTATTTCAGCAGGATTAAATAGCATCCTGGGTCAGCTGACTCTCCTTTATTGACAAACTGCTGGGTTTCCTGTTTTGAACTAGAATGTTGACATTGCTTTGTGGGTTTTGGCTGGCCCTGTGCTAAGAGAAAATTGACAAAGGGAAATAAGATGCTTGTAATAAGGGACACTCAACTAAATTGGAGTCCTGTAGGAAGAGCTCTCATGCCCTATCATACATCCTCAATTACTCCAAACAGGAAAAGAGGTACAGAAAGGTGCTGATCAGGAGGAGGGAACATCTCCCTCCCCGCCCGCAAGAGTTCAGCCAATGAGAAGCCACCACACTGGGCCGATGAGAAGTCGCCACCACCCTGAGCTCTTGCTCCAATGGACTTTTGTTCTAAGTAGTCTGTCTCAACTCCTACTTTTCCTCTATAAAAGCAAGCCCATTCCTTTGTTTCTCTGGATTTGCCTATGGTCCGCCATAGCATGCACATCCTGAATTGCAATTCTTTTGGCTGTTCTGGAATAAACTTGTTTTGATGGTAAAATAACTGGGGAATTTGCTTTTTTAGTTGACAATGTCATTGTTATCCTTTTGGGACCAATAAAGATAGCATGAGAACACCCTTAGAAAACTATAAAGTATCCTAGAAATGTAAGTCTGAATTACTGTTATGTCTTCACAGCTGACCTGTGAGGTGGGGAGGGCTGGTGTTATGATCCATGATTTATAAATTAACCAAAACCTCAGGTGTGAATTAGCTTTCCCACAGATTTTTTTGTTCCGGTTCTGCCACTAAATGGAGAAGTCACATTCTTTCTTAGAGGAGGTGCCTGTTTTAACGTAGGAAGAGATAAAGGAGCCGTGTGTCTCAGCTCCGATGGCTGAAACCTCAGGGCCTCTGATGGAGGACACCCACCCCTACTGATCCACTTGCTAGCCAGCTGAGTGAACTGACAGCATTTCTCTGTTACCACCCAGTCCGGAAGAGCGGGTCTTTGTTTTGACAAGTGCTTGTAAGCATGTGTGTGTTGAGTACACAGCAGCTCCTGAAAAACCGTGTTCAGATGAACTGGTGATCGTTCGGCTCCCCACTCTCCAGTCTTGGCTGGTCACTTCCTCCCAGCTGACCTGCAGTCATACCCATGACCTGGGGAGTTACTCTGCTTCGTTTATTTTATTTTATTTTGTTTTTTGAGGAAGATCAGCCCTGAGCTAATATCCGTGCTAATCCTCCTCTTTTTGCTGAGGAAGACCGGCTCTGAGCTAACATCTATTGCCAATCCTCCTCCTTTTTTTTCCCCAAAGCCCCAGTAGATAGTTGTGTGTCATAGTTGCACATCCTTCTAGTTGCTGTATGTGGGACGCAGCCTCAGCATGGCTGGGGAAGCGGTGTGTTGGTGCAACGCCCGGGATCCGAACCCGGGCCGCCAGTAGCGGAGCGTGCACTTAACCGCTAAGCCACGGGCCCGGCCCCTACCTCGTTTAAATTAAGGTGACTCTTTTAGGCATGCAGGGGAAATCACAGTCTATCTCCTGCTTCCAGGAGACATCCTGCCCACAGACACAGGGCCAGAGAAGCAAGTTTGTAATCTCTCAAGTTGCGTGACATCAAAGCTTTTGCATGTCATCTGGCTGCCAGCAGTCCCTGTATTCAATGGGTGCCTATTGGCCTTGAACTTGTTTTCTCTAACCTGCCTACTTTTTTGGACACAGAGAGTATTGCAAACTCATGTTGCATATTGGCAACCTTTCATGCCAGTCGATCTTTGTTATTTTTCTTGTCTGCTCCTAACACATATAGGACTTTCTATTAGCCAAGTGTAAAATAATAATAATGATAATAACTACACTTATTTTTTTTTTAATATTTATTTATTTATTTTCTGAGCAAGATCAGCCCTGAGCTAACATCCATGCTAATCCTCCTCTTTTTGCTGAGGAAGATGGGCTCTGAGCCATCTGTTGCCAATCCTCCTCCCTTTTTTTTTCCCCAAAGCCCCAGTAGATAGCTGTATGTCGTAGTTGCACATCCTTCTAGTTGCTGTATGTGGGACGTGGCCTCAGCATGGCCGGAGAAGCCGTGCGTCAGTGCGCGCCCGGGATCCGAACCCGGGCCGCCAGTAGCAGAGCGCGCGCTTAACCGCTCAGCCACGGGGCCGGCCATAACTACACTTATTAATGGATTGCTGTGTCATAAGCACCACACTAGTGTGTTTTGTGGACTTATGTAACCTCACTTAGTCTTCCCAAAATCCATGTGTACTGTTAATATTCCTATCTAATAGAACATAAAAGTTAGGTTCAGTAATTTCTACATCACACGTTTAGTAAGTGGTAAGAATTTGAACCTTGGCCTAGTTGACTTCAAAGCTTGACTTCAATAAAGCCATCAGGCTCTGCTCCCTCTATCACCTGTTGTTGGAATAGCAGCTCTGGTATATGATAGTGATTTAGAAGTACTAGATTTTGATTGATTCTTGTTGATGATAAAAATTTTGTGCACTTAGAACATTTGTCAATTTGGGATATTTGGTTATAAACAGATGCAATTCCTGTCTTTATACCTGGCTGATTTTTGAGTAGTATTACTGGAATTTATTCTTCATAAAGAGTGTTTTTTCTTTAAATGACTTACTTTGCAAGATATTGATGTATTCAATTGATGCTGCAATGGGTTAAAACATTTTAGAGTTCTTGGAATTCTCCTTTAGAGCCTGCAGTAAGCACATGCTTTACATATCTATAATGAGGACAAATATTTATTATATGGGGTGGATTTGATTTTGATAGTTGTCAAGTGTATAGATAATTAAGCAAGATAATAGCCTTTTTGGCTCCTAAATTCGTTCTGGAGGAGTTTTCCAAAGAGGAGATCTGAAAATGTTCTGAATATGCCCAGTGAAGACATCATGGGGCTAAGTGTTTGGTCTTCTAAGGGGACATGTTTGGAGATGATGGCTGTCATTTGTCCACTCTTCACATCGGGATGATGCTCTTCTTAATGCCTGCCTTGCCCACACAAGACTGTGGCATCCTGTATGAAGGATCTATGGCTATGTTCTGGTGGGACTCTGCTGAATTCTCCTTCCCTGCCAACACTGGGTCTTTCTAACATGGTGCTTCCATTTTCTGTACTGTGGCTCTATACCATTCAGCACATTCCTGCCTTGCTTACCTCTTGGGGTCAGTGACTTGGTCAGCTTTATTTGGGGTTTACCCCTGGATCCTGCCTCTCAGACTGCAATTTCATCCATCTCTGTTTAGATGAGCCTCCTGAAATTCTGCACCCCATTTTGGGTTCTGTACTTCTGGCTCTTGTTTGTTTGGGTAGGAACATTTACTCTGCATGTGAAAATGTTAGTCACATTATTTTACAGACACAACCCCTGTGAAAATATCATTCTGTAATTAAGTATTTTTCAAATATTCTATTATTTTTCAATTTCTTGGAACATTGAATGATATGTTATCTTTTGAATACAAAGAACATGTTCCAGATCCTTTTGGAGTTGTTTTTCATTAGTGGCAGCTTTGCATTCCCTCCTGTGTCCTATGGCATGTGTGTATTTGAGATAAAGGAACAGTCTCTGCCCACAGAATAATAGATCAGGCTGAACTGATTTTTGGTACTTCTGCTCTAGTCAGCTGGTTATTCTATGGTAATTTCAACCTTCAGGGTTGCTCGAGTTATTTGTGGAACGTTTTGAGTGTTTCATCATATGGATTTCCCCCTGTGGGTGTGTGTATTTTATCTATTTGATAACATCTTGTACTCTCTGGTCCTTAATATCAAAATAACCCTGTTGCCATATCATTGCAATTTTTATTTTTATAGGTAATGCCAGTTAAAAACTGATGAGGTGCCAACACATCCGAAGCTACTGTGTGTATCATCACCCGTGTCAATACTGGTTGTCATTAATGAGCCCCATTTTCCAACTGCAGGCCAGGATAGACATAGCTCAAATCTTGGCGGGATAGAAACGGATTCCTTGGATATGATTCTGGTGGGGTTCTCTGACCATGTGATGGCACAGCTGAAGAATCATCATCGGTTGAGTTTTATCAAAGTGTTTATTTCTCCCAGTTTGATGATGAATAGTCACAGGCAAAAGGAAAAACATACCTTTCATAGCTGATGTGGCTTTTATGTTGCTCGATAGTTGTATCGTATTTTCAGTTGTTACAAAATAGTTTATACATCCTCTCCCCTCCTTCCCAGAAAAGTGTGGGGGATAGGAAAACACCTTTCCATCATTGTTCATCCATAGAGGTTCTCTCTCAAGAAGACACTGAAGTGTTTTATAGACTCTATCTGGCACTCTCTTTGGAGAGCTGAGTCAGAGAGAAGATTGGAAATAGTGGGAAAGATCAGCATTAACTAGTCCTTCTGTGGATTTATTGCGTGACAGACAGTGGCTAATGAGTCCTATGGCTGCTTACTCATTTAGCTCAGCAGCTGCGCTCTGGTACAAGGGAATTGAGAAGGGGAGACCTGGATTTTTGTCTGGGCACTGTCATTACTCAGGTATATGTTCTAATTAAGGGCTTTTGGATCATAAAAGGGTTTTGGGTCATAAGGAACAGAAACCCACTCAAGCTGACTCAAATAATAAATGCTATTAAAAGAATAAAAGGAGATAGTGAGGAACCCAGAGATAGGAAGTACAGGTGAGCCTTATGGAGACTGGAGCTGGGAATGGCAAAGCTATTGTCTGTCTGTCTCTCTCCACCCCTCCCACCCCTCACCCTTGTCCTGGGTCCCTGCGGTGTTCTTTCTTTTCTCCATAAGTCTGCTTTAGGCTCCCAGCTCTCTGCAGACTGACCTTATCTGCACACTCCAAGTTTGTTTCTGCACAGCTTCGACTTGCACAGGTTGTGGCTCGTCCTGCATCATCTTTGACACCCACGCCATATGACTTTTCTCCCAGCTCCAACCCCTGGATGACTTAGTGGTGTCTCAATATCCCAATTTCAAATTCCCAGGAGGAACAGCTGTTCCAGGGCAGGCTGATCTCACCGAGGCCCCGTGTGGGTCGGGCCCTTGCTCAGAGCTCTGAGCAGAGGTGGTCGGCGCTGTAGGTGCCCCAGCGCTGGCCACTCACCTTTCTCTGTCTGAGCTCCATGTTGTTGTGTCTGTAAAGCGAGGAGGTTGCGTTGGGTCTCAGTCCTCCGTTCAGTGCCTCCTGTTTATTAACCTGGGTGCCGCCGCTCTTCTGTCTTCTCTCCAGGAAGCAATGCCTGTGTGCCCCGGCCATGCAGCCTGCTGTGCCTGCCCAAGGCCAACAACGGTAAAAGCTGCAGGTGTCCAGAGGGTGTGTCCAGCAGTGTCCTCCCATCCGGGGACCTGATGTGTGAGTGCCCTCGGGGCTATCAGCGGAGGAACAACACCTGTGTGAAAGAAGGTGCGACCCTTTTCTTTCCTGCCCGTCATCCTCCTTCCCTTCTTTCCTCTTCCTCTCTCCCAGTCTCTCTATTCCCTGGTGTTTTGGGGTTAGTGAAAATGCCCAAGGTGAAAATAAAATCCACTAGATACTTACAGCCTGGTTCAGGTCCTAAGGCTTGTGGTACTTAGTCCTCGTCCAGAACAGGCTTAGCTGTTTATTTAAAAATCATAGCTGTGCTTTTTGGTTGAACGTCAGGTGATACAGGCTTTCCTCGGAGACCACCTTTCTTTTCTTCTGCTTCTTCCTCTCCTTGTGCACCCACAGGGTCTCGGGTCTCCAGCCTCTCCTGCTTCCTGTAGGTTGAACCACCTTGACTTGGCAAAAGGACTGGTTTGACTACTTCATGGTTCACCTAGTCTCACCTAGAATTTTCCTCCCCCTCACCTCCCTGCCAGCCTGGAACTGTCCTGAACTTTCAGACCAATGTTACAAAGGGCTTTGAGCCTTTACTTGCAAGCTGTGACCAAGTGGTGGTAGCAGCCTCATCCCACTCCTCCTTTGAATCCAAATACACAATTCTAAAATTTTTCCTCTGAAACCTGTTTAATCCTTCCTTCCTGTCGAATTTTTACGCTGAGCACTTCTGCAGCCGCCAGCCTCACAGTTCTGTCAGTGTGGCAAACCCCTGGAAGAGGGCCTTGCCACGAAGGGCCCAGCTGATGGCCCGAATGCCTGCTTTTCCTTATTCTGAAGATTGTATTTGCTTTGTAATCATAGCCTCCCTTCTCACAGCAGCCTCTCAGTCCAGGGCAGTGAAACACACAAAGTAGCCTTATGTTCTCTCTTCCTCAAGAAATACAAATGGAAAAAAGATGAACCTTCCCTTCTTAGACACAGGAGACTCTTTTTCAGGCTCTGGACGTCATCTTAAAGCTATTTGGAAAGAAACAGTTGACACTAAATTCCAAGAGGAGGGGAAGAGAGGCTTTTCTGTATTCCCCATTAGAATGCCTTTGGTTATCCGAAAAGGAGGGCAGCCGTCATGTGTTCTTGACCAGTTTACTAAACAATGCATTTTTGCTGTGTGAGGAATTATAACTACTTGCTTTAAAGAAGTCACGGGGTAGGAAAAACCCCTCAGATTATGTCAAGAAAAGCTTCGTAACCCACATGGTTGATAAATTGAATATATATGAATATATATATAACTATGCATATATATATATATATATATAGCTATAGATATATTGAATATGTATGTTTGAATGCTGTGTAGACAGTCTATGAAGGAGTTCCACGTGTAATTAGTATTGTATAACATTACTGTGTGGTATCTCTACCCACTAGACCCACTTGGCATCCTCACTCTTCTTTTTCATCATTGTAACCACCTCTGACACTCCTCTAGCCTCCTTCTTCTCCTTTAATTTTAATTAAAAGAGGAAAGAAGGAGGCTTCTGTCGGATGCTTCCTGCCCTGCATGCATGTGTGATTGGTATCCTCTTCGCCTTTATCATCTCAGGCGTGTTATTTGAGGAAGGGAAATGGAAACTCACGAGAGAAAGTCTTGTGGTCCAGCAGTAAGAGTAACGCTGGTTTCGTTTCCTCCCCTGATGCTAGAGAACACCTGTCTCCGGAACCAGTATCGCTGCAGCAACGGGAAGTGCATCAACAGCATTTGGTGGTGTGATTTTGACAACGACTGTGGAGACATGAGTGATGAGAGAAACTGCCGTGAGTCCTCCAGCTTGGCCAAGTTTTCAGGATGTTAAGCATTTGCCGTTACTGAGAAGGCTGGTCAGCTCCTCCTGGGTGGGGCCTACAGTCTAGCCTGCTGGTTGGTGGCCGGCCCCTTGTGATTGGTGATGCCTACTTAAGCAGATGGGACTTAGAGAGAAGAGGGAACGCATTTCCATACCCAATTAGATATGTATTGTTATTTAATAACAAATGCACATAAGTAATTTAACTACTCATTACAACAGATTCACAAATAAGCATCATATGGCTGAAACTGAGCTGATTTGGGGGTCAGGTGATCTGGGCTCTGATTGTGGCCCTACCACTGTGATTAAAGCTGGTGACCTGGGGCAGGTGACTAGGTGATAGTCCTTGATTTGTAAATTCAATGTTTAGCCTTTTCAGAGGTGCAAAACAGGTTTTACCTTGTATGTCACTCCACTCAGTGATGTCGGCTGCCTGCCAGGCTCAAGAGAGATTGTTCTAATTGATTGGTGATGCTTAGTTTGGCCTGGAATGTGGGGACGTTGGTATGTGTGCATGTAAATGTCATGTTTAGACTGTATAATTTCTAAGGTCCAGCTACTAAAGCATATGATTCTGTTTAGCAGGGTTTAAAGACAAATAACTATAATGGATCATTTATTTACCACAAATTTAGCTATCTTTTCTTCATTTAATTTTTTAATAGCTTTGACTTCATCTTCTAAGGAGGTGCTTTGCCCTCTGTTCATACATTCATTCAAGTATTTATTGAGAATTCTTTGTTCCAGGCTTTTTGCTGGGCCTCGGGACATATTGGTGATCAAGGTGGACACAGAGTTTGCAGGCTGGAGGGAGAGTCAGGAAATTAAACAGCCAGTTACCTTAGAGCGATGAGAGCTCTGATGGGGAAGCACTGTAAGCATGCAGGAAGGGTACCCAAATCAGACTTGGGTGGGTGCTTTTGAAGAGCCCTGGAGGGTGAGTAGAGGTGAACCAAGCAGAAGTGAAGGGTGGAAAATTCTTGGCCAGCAAACAGCACGTATGAAAGCCCAGAGCTGAGAGTGTTGCATGGTCAGGAAAGGGGTTTGGGTTTCTGTGAACTTGAGTGGGAGCAGTGGGGCAGTGGCGGGGTTGGACTGGTGCCTGGGCCCCAGAGCAGCAAGGGCCTTTGGACTTTATCACAAGAGCAATTGGCAACCATTGAAATGACATGATAAGATTTTGCTTTGGAACGATTAGCTGTGGACAGAATGAATTGAATGGGAGAAAGACCAGAGCAGGGAGACCAGAAACCAGTCTGAAGGCTTCTCTTTCAAATATTTTACCTTTGGAAATCCAGAAGCCCATTTGTCATTTTGTGCTGTAAGAAGAGGTTAATGGGTGGCTCCTGGTTCCGTATACTCATCTGGCCTCTGGCGGATGTATTTAGCCAACTGTCTGTAGAGCCTGTGCCAGGTTCCCATGCCACTCCACCCAGAAAGCAACTTGAGAAGCAATCAACTCATGAAACTCGTCTGGGCCCTGCAATACTAGGTACTGCCCTTTCTGGCTGATAGGAGGTTATTTACCAAAGCTTTCCTAATCGTTTTTCCTTGGCTTCAGTGGATGCCCCTCACACCGAAGGAGAAGAGCTTGCCGAATGGCAGGTTTGGGAGAGCACTGGCTTCTCTGTGTTTTTCTTTTCTGCAAAAAAGACACTGATGAAACCTTCTCTGTCTACCAGAGTCTCAGGAAGGTGTGATATTTGTGGGCGAATAGCCAAAGCTCCTTAAAAACATTAATAAATATTAACAGCATTGGAGCAGATTCTGGAAAGGAGTTCATTACATAACAGGGTGGGAGAGGAGATGCTTCTTAGAATTAACGTGTTGAAAGAAAATTGTCCAGACATGATTAGGCAGAGTGGAAGCAGAGAGATAGAAATAGATGACCTCGTGTCCAATAGCTAGGGATTCCTTCCTGGGCTTTGGTTTCTACTGCAGGAACAAGCTAGGATCTGGTGTTGCCCCAGTGTTATGAGAGAAAGACCTCCCTCCATCTTCAGAGAGTGCTGCCTTCCCCCCAGCCCCTGAGGTCTGCTGCCGACCTCAGAGCTTTCCACACAGAGTTTAAGCTTCTCCTCTGGGTGAATTACACAGCTGGCTCTGACCTCCTCCTAGTTTGGTGTAAATGTCAACTGGGATTGACCTGAGACTTGCTTTCTGCTTCACTTTCTGGCAATTGCACTTGGCTCAGGTCCCGACTGGTCAGATGTGGCAGAGGTGAGGAGATGGGGGAGGCAAGTGCTAAAATGCGGAGCCTGGGACACAAGAGAATGGTGCTTATCTGTGCCTTCCTGAGTGTTTCTGTTATCACGGAGGAGCAGAGCAGTGCTTATCATGATGGAAAGGCTGCAGGAGAGGGCCAGGCCATGACTAGGCACTACTGTCTGCAAAGTTAAATGAGGCATCCCGTCAGCTGCCGGGGAAGAGGAGTGATGACAAAGGGAGACGCGGGCGGATGTTGTCAGCAGATCTCCCTCCCTCTTAAACAGACTCCCTCGCGGGGTAGTTTGTCAGGCGCTCGGGTTTTGACGTGAATCCCTGCAGTCTTGTCATTTTTGCATTCATCCCCTGCCTCCCAGCACGAGCTCAATTACAGAGAAGAAATGGAGCCTCAAATAAGAGCTGCGGGGATGTCTCACCGCAAGGTTGCCGTTGGCTTTTCACTTCATGGCACACTCCCCGCCGCCCTCCATCCCAGGATTCTGTTCTGTCACATCACACCTTATGTATCAGCTGCTCCCGAGAGCCGCCTTCCTTCCCAGAGCCTTTCCTGGAGGGTCTTTGCTGGGTTCTAGGAATTGTGCTTAAGCTCAGATAATTTCCAGTTAGAACAGGGAGAAAAATCTAATTCTGTACTCATTCTGATGCCGAAGGGCATGAGGAATTTCAAGGAAAAGAAGTGACATTTATTTAGAGCCCGTTATATTTACTTCCTATTTAATGGGTTCTGGTCCCAAACTTATTTTCTTATTTACCTTCACAATAATGCCGTGGGGTAGGTATTATGTCCGTTTTACAGTAGAGAGAACGGAGGCATAGAATAGCAGATAAGTAAGTTGTAGATGGTAGCATTGAGATCCGTATCTAGTCTTTCTGACGGTCATCACAAGTGCTTGGCCTCATTACCTTGTTCTCCTTTTACTGTGGAGGAAACAGGCTCAGGGAGGTTAAAATTAATTGCTTGAGGAGGAGGCAGAGCCAGGATTTGAGACCCAGTCTTGACTGCCTGCAGGACCCGTGTTCCTGCTGTAGAATTCTACCTTCACGCTACCTCTGTCATTTTTGTGATGAAGTGCCAGCTTCCTGTATGAAATAGCGCTTCCTAATGGTAGTTTTCTAGATAAAGATGTTTCTTCCACTTATTTAGGAGACACCTTCATGTCTGAGGGATCTCAGGAGATAATCTGTGCCATCATTCTTTCTCAGCCAGATGACAGTTTCTCACTTTTCCCAGCCCTTTTCCAATCTGGACGCTGTCCATGGAGAGAGAGGCCCTTATCTCCCGTGGTTGTAAATTTCAGGTTCTTATGCAATTCGTTTTTTCCGTAAGCCTAGGTTTTCTGTTTCTGTTGCTACAGTTAAAATCTGCCCTCTTCTCTTTTTCAATTGGCTTTCCAGTGGGGTGTTTGTGTTGGGAGGAATGAATTGTACCTAACAATTACGTCGTCTCTCTTCCCCGTTTTAGCAACTACCATTTGTGATCTGGACACCCAGTTCCGTTGTCAGGAGTCTGGGTCCTGTATCCCACTCTCCTATAAATGTGACCTTGAGGATGACTGTGGAGACAACAGCGACGAAAGTCACTGTGGTAAGGGGACACGATGTCCAGGAACCCCATTCCAGAGGGGGCAGCACCCCTGCTTACCGCGCTGTGCTAGTGGACAGGGTGGCTGGGAAATAGAGGATTTGTGAAAGCCATTTCGAGATGTATGATATCCAGCTGCATGACCACCTCTATCTACGTGGTAGGATTGGTTCATTCATGAAGCAGCGGACCCTGCTTTATCTTGCAGAGATGCTATAAGCATGAATGTGATAGTAAGGAAGATTTCTAATTGAATTTAGGCAGTTATTAACAGCTATACAGACTTGGCCCACACCTCTGGGTGGCTGAGATCAGCCTCCTGAAGACGCAGATCTATACCTCTGTGAACTGTTTGAGCATCTGTTTTCTCAATGGAAATGTTTATATTTAGAAAAATAGTGTGTTGGAATTGCAAGGAGTGACAGGGATTCTTTAGTTGAATCCTTTTAATTTCCAGATTAAATAACTGAGGTCCATTGAGGTCGGGGGACTTATTCAAGGGGACACAACTAGTTTGTGTCAGAATGGGGAACTGGAACCTGTGTTTCCCATGCCCTTTCTGTTGCACAGTCCTGCCCTGTGAGTTTCAGGAGGCCTGTCTTAGTTCCTGGGCTCTGGTACCAAGCTCAGAGTTGCTGACCATCAGGGGAGGAAATATTATGCAATACACACAGTCCACCAGACTGCAGGAATCATAGGTGTGAAAGGGAAGTGAGAATGGAGGCCAGACGCTGACCCAGACGTTGTGATGAGGTGCTGTGGCCCTGCGGGCTCTCTCTGCCTGTCCCCGGGGGCATGCATATGCTTGTGGACAGGGCCTACTGTATCACGAGCGCAGTTTGACTCACGGGGACCGAAATAAGGGGAGCGGGGCAATGCTGCTAGCCTGGCTCTCAGAGGAATTTTTTGGGAAGTTTCATAATTTTCCTTCATCTTTGTGAAAATGTGAAGTTCCGGAAAAGTCCTTGAGATTTACAACTGTTTTCCCTTCCGTCCTCCCATTTCCTCCTCAGCACTCTCTGAGGGTTCAAGTGCTCAGCTAGGTTTGCTCTAGTAGGAAGGAAACTCTACTGTTTTGGGTGTCATGCGCTTGCCCACTGGGCACACGTTTGACCATTAGACAGTGTCAGTCCCCTCAGATTCTCCGTCCGTGGCCCGCTCACACTAGTGTGTCCTGACTGCATCCCAGGGTCTCTGTTAGTCCCTTCCTCAGGCCCAGGCCTCTTCATAAGTCTCCAGACTGTTTCTTCAATCCCTGAATCACCAACTTCACCATCAACCTGTCTTGAGTGAGGCAACCAAGCCAGGCACCCTGGGCCCCAGACTTGGCTACTCTTATTTTTGTAGACTCTTTAAAATTCCATCTGAAAGTTCTGCTGTAATGATGTCTGCAGGGCCTACAAAAGGTGCTGCCAGTGTAGCCTCAAGTTGTGGTCAGGCTTCACTAGTTCTTTTGCCTCAGGCCCCGACCCTTCTAGAGACAGCCCACCAGCCGACATCCCTGGAGCTCCGCACACAGAAAGTCCTGAGCTTGTGTCTCCTGTGTTCTGGAAGCTCCGCACTGATCTCGCTTTCCTGGAGCTGAGCATCTCATATTGATCAGCATACTTGGAGTTCTCATTACTCCTTTTCTGAAACCACAGGCTCTGTCTCTAGAAGTCTTCTGTTTCTTGAAAATTCTACTTTCTGGGCAACTAGAGCATTGCTCCCCAAACTTTTTTCCATCATAGCAAACATAGAGAATGATAGTATTTGTAAAGTACACTGAGGTAAAAGGACAAGGCCGCTCTTGCCTGGAGGCAACCAGTGGCAGGAGCCTGAGGGTGTCAGTATCTCAGCACTCCTGCACCCCATTTACAGCATACTAGTTGGAAACCATCCTCGATGACCTCACATCCCTGGTTAAAATCTCTTCATCCATGCTCTTTCTGGGTAATCAGTGATATTTGGTGTATCTCTAACCCTTAGGAGCTTGGACACCAGAGTCAGAATTCTGAGCAAGTTTTTGTCCTCACATCTCTGTGTTTGTGGTCTCTCCTGCAGAAATGCACCAGTGCCGGAGCGACGAATACAATTGCAGCTCTGGCATGTGCATCCGCTCCTCCTGGGTGTGTGACGGGGACAACGACTGCAGGGACTGGTCTGATGAAGCCAACTGTACTGGTCAGTATTTCCTGGACTCCCTTAAGAGCACTCATCATTCATGTGCTGGTTAGCATTACAGCCCTACGTGATCGTGGAATCTGGCTCTAGGAAATGGACCTTAGAAATCAACTTGTTCAGTGTTTCTCAAAGAGCTGGACTGTGATAAGCTTGTGCTGAAATGTACATCAACATCCCACTTCCTTCATCGAGAAAGTCTTGCTATGAGAAAATGTTAACTGAACTAAACAATGTCCTGAGTGATGCAGTTGATTCACATTCTGGCTCAAGCTTCTTATTTCTTCAGGACCAGTAATAAATGGTTTGCAGACTGGCCCCTGGTCTGGGGACCATACGCTGAGTAGCACTGAACTAGCTCATATTCTCAAATGGAGCATCAGGGGCTTCCCCAAACAGTGAAACCTTAAACTGTGCTTTCACCTGTTTGGTGTAAGATTTTATTAGAAATAAAATTGGAAACAACATGAGGATACAAGGAAGGCTAGATGGTGTAGAGGTAAGGTTCTAATTCTTCTGTTGGGTGATAGCTTCACTCATGTTCATTACACTTTTTTTATGAATGAATGAGTGAATGAGCGCCGTATACGTTATGGTGCAGTAGGGGAGGGCAAGGACTTGGGGAAGGTGTGGCAGAATAAAAACAAATTCCACTACCTGATGAGTAAATTTTCTCCGCAACCTCCTCTGGAAATTGTCCTTTCGTTCTTCCTTATACCCCTCCAGTGATGGAGATAAAGGTGTTTCGTTTAACTATTTATAGTGAGGGCAGATCTGCTTTTACACCATGATTAATTCAGGCTTCCTTTTGCAATTCATCATTAATGAATCAACTTCTCAGTCCTCTGGTGTGGATCATTACTCTTATGATTAGTAGAGTGACTTTGAAATCCATGTCTTAATCTCCCTTGCCCCCACCGTACCTACACTGCCTAGCATCTGGGAACTCAAAGCATGCCTACTAATTTGTAAAAGCAAGTAAAAAGAAGGTAGATCTATTATCATATCCCAAACTTAAATATAAATAACTGTGTTAATGCTTTCCTTTAGATTTGGTTCCCGAAGGGCAGAAATGACCACGTACTCCTTTGTATCCCCCAGTGCCCACACCCGGTAGAGTACATGCTCAGAGAACCTTTGTTGATTAGGTCATTTACACAACTGCTTCTCTCCATTCATTTTAGTTAGAGGGGCCCTTATGTGGCTTTAAGGAGTAAATGGATCTCCTCAAATGCCATATACGCCACACAGGATGATCTGTGATGGTACCAAATTCCGTCCCCATGTAAACTTCTCCTACATCCTTTCTGGTGCAGTCTCAGTGTCTGCACATCTGCTTCTGGAAGGATTGCAGGAAAATGCTTCTCTCCATATACAAGCGTGGTCTGCAGAAGGAGGACAAACCCAGGTCCACGAAGGAACTGCCGTCAGCCTGGGAAATACATGAATGCCGTTTGGAAGCTTTGGGTTTGGGAGGGTAATTGGTTAATAAATTAGAGGGATGTACTTCTGCATTTCAGTTGGTAAATTGCAGGATGATTGAACATCTTATTAGCACAACCACATTAGTCAAACTTGTGTTTCAGCAGCATGTGCCCATCCTCCAAAATGAATTAACAGCTTCATTTCTGTGGGTGGGCTTGTCGTAGTCGCCTGATTTTATCTCTGGTTTTCTCTGGCAGGGCTAACTGGGGAAAATGTAGTGTTTGCACCCCTTGCAGCCTGGTTCCAATGGCTGTTTTTCCAAACCTGTTAAAAATGATTCTCCTTCTCCATCATCTCAAAATAGTCCGAGGTCAGATGTGAACTCGTTAAGATGTGTGGCGTGTCACTTCATTTCCTGACCTAATAAATTAAGTCATGTGCAAAGCCAAAGAAAATAGGTCAGACTAGCTGATTTCCCGTTGGCCTCAGCTGGCATGCGTGGTCTGTGCTGGGCGTTTTCTTTGCCCTTTTCCTCCCCACTTTTTGCTTTCTGTGGGGTTGAATTTTTCTTAATTCCCTTCTCTTCACTCCCCTGCATTGATTTTGAACTTAAACATTTGATTTCTGTTCTTTTAGCTGTTACCCTTTGACATCTTATGTGTATTCTCAAGATCTTTCCTCTCTCCTCGACCTGCGAGGACTTGATAGTGCTGTGATTCCAGTCTCTGTCCATGGTTCCAATACTAACATGCTTAGTAAATACTTAGTATTTTAAAACACAAAATACTTAGTATTTTAGTTTTACATTTTAAAAATCCTAAAATTAGTCATTGTTATTATTTTTTAGTAACCAAATTTATATATAGTTACCTACCTGTTTACCAGTTACTTTTGCTGCTTGTATCTGATGCTTCCTTTCAATGTACATCCTTCAGTATTTCTTGCAGCAGGAATCTGAGTGGTAAACTCTTTCAAGATTTTTTTTATGTAAACATGTCTTTATTTTGCTGGAAATCCTTAATTCTGATGGATCTGAGGTTTCTCGTTTATTACAAAGTACTGGACTAGTAATTTTCCAGAAGTCTTTTGAAGGAATTACTCCATTTCCTTCTGGCCTCTTTTGTGTTGATTGGAATTCTCCTGTCAGATTATCTGTTTGAAAAACAATCAGACATTCTTTTCTCTCTAGTTATCTTTAGATTTTCTTTGTTTTTTTTTGTTGTTGTTGTTGTTGTTATGCAGTTTTACCTCCCTAGGTATGGAATTATTTTTATTTATCCCTGCTTGAGACTTATTTTCTTTCTAAAATCTGAGGATTTAATGTTTTTCATCAATTCTGAGGAATTACAGCCACTATCTTTTCAGCTTTGTCTATTAGCTACTTTCTCTGGTCTTGTCTTCAGCAATTACTATCACCCATTTATTGGACTGTCTCATTCTGTTATTCATGCCTTTAATTTTATTTTTTGTGCTGAGGAAGATTTGCCCTGAGCTAACAGCTGTGTCTTCCTCTATTTTGTATGTGGGTCGCTGCCACAGCATGGCTGATGAGTGGTGTAGGTCTGCGCCTGGGATCCGCATCCATGAACCCGGGCCACCGAAGCTTGGTACTCTGAACTTAACTACTATGCCGTGGGGCCGGCCCCTTCATGCCTGCTTTTTTATATTTTATGTCTCTTTATGACTCAGTGCTACAATCTGAGTTACTTTCTCAGATTTCTCTTCCAGTTCAACAATTCTCTTTTCAGCTGAATCTAATCTGCTGTTTCACACATCCACTGAACTATTTTTTTTTTTTAAAGATTTTATTTATTTATTTATTTTCCCCCCCAAAGCCCCAGTAGATAACTGTATGTCATAGCTGCACATCCTTCTAGTTGCTGTATGTGGGACGCGGCCTCAGCATGGCCGGAGAAGCGGTGCGTTGGTGCGCGCCCGGGATCTGAACCCAGGCCGCCAGCAGCAGAGTGCGCGTACTTAACTGCCAAGCCACGGGACCGGCCCTCCACTGAACTATTTTTATTTCCATGTCTATATTTTTTATATCTAGGATTTCTATTTGGTTCTTTTTCAAATCTGCCTTTTATTTTTCAATGCCCTTTCTTTATGCTTTATGTTATTTTTTGTGTCATTAATCATTGAAGTTGGGTTGATATTAGCATTTCTTTTCCTTCATTCACTTCCTAATAGTCCAGTACTTTGTAATAAATGAGGCAGTGCTTTCCTCGTCATAGTAGTTAATTCATCTCTTCTGCCCCACTTTTATTTGGTTAAGGCTTTTTATCAGATGTTACAGAGGGTCTTGCTGAATCAGGAAAGGTCTGTCCAAGGTGTAGGATAATAGCCTCTATTGGAAACCCTGGTATTCTATTTTCATGATCATTTACTCCATTAGCTTTTCCATTTTTACAGTCACAATGAATTCCCTCACGCAAAGGATTCTTCTTTTTCTTCCTCAAATTCTTTGGTCTGTATTAAAGTCAATCTCTTCCATTCTCTTAAATAAAAAGATTATTAATTGAACATGTATTATTTACCAAACACTCAATGTCAGAGAAGCTGGTAAGTTACTCAGAAGACTGAATTCAGAAAAAGAGAATGTGTTCAGCATCCAGTCATGCCTGGCCACTTGAATGAAATTGTGCCAACTGGTTAGTCTTTCTGAGCTCAGCTTCTGTGATGGAATCTGGAGATCTCAGACATGCCTCCCAGAATCATCATTTGGAAACTCCACTGGCACTCTGAGATTGTTTTCAATTAAAAGTGAAATGCATAGGCTGAATAATAACAAGCAGATCAGTAAATATGGCAATGAGTTCAGGCACTTTTATGAAAGTGAGCAAGGCCTTGGTGAGGAATTTCTTTAAGGGCTGTCAAATTGTAAAACCAATAGATCAAAAGTATTCCAGGCAGTGATTGTTAATGGGACAAAACTCATGCAACATGCACGATACACTTATTCCTCTTATCAGCGATACGTATATTTAAAAAAGATATTTAATGGATTCTGAGTGCCAAAGGTTGTAAAATATTGAAACTTCCTGTAGACTTCCTGTAGACTTGCTACCAGATAGAGCCTTGGTCTTCAGAGAGATAAGAAAACAACAGATAATGGACCACCATTTTTTTTAAAATAGTTTGAAAAATTAAGTTTTTTGTATTTTGGACTATTGCAAAAAATACCCTCAAATTCAGGAGAAATTCTAGAGGGCGTTGGAAACCAATATTCCCAACTCTTGAGTAGCTTATTGCCAACCATCTTGATTGCATAAGTCACTATAGTTTGCACTCAACAACCCAGTTCTGTTTGTTTTGCCTCTTTCTGTTGTGAAGACATCCTGTCCACACAGTTAAGCTAACAGAGAAACCGTCTATCTCAGTGATATTATTTTATGCTGATTGTAAACAAGGCCAATCCTGGCTTTCATTCAGCGATCAACAGACACAAACAGCTTTCTGTTTCAGCGGAGGAAGAGGAAATCTGATAGAGAAGGTAGTTAAAGTAGCGTTGGTTGGGTTTGAGGCAGATATTATGCATTTGAGCTAGTCTTTGACTGAGGTTTTGAGACGTTTCTAAATGACTTCCAGGTGGCTTCAGCCCATGTATGCAAATGAGGCTATTCATTTGAAACAGTGACTGTTTCAGTGACCTCTTTTTTTCTTTTCGTGATTGTAGTGGCTGCCACGTATTGTTGGCTGGTAGATGTCGTTCTTGATTGTCCAGAAAGTTAGACAGTTCTAGATTCTGGGGCCTGCTTTCTTTGCGATTTTGGATAAATCTTTTATGCTCTTTGGAGCTGAGGTTTTCCGCATTTGAAGGTGGGTAGTTTATTTAGAATTATAAAATCATGGCCTTTTAGAGCTTACAAGGGTCCTTAGGTATCAACATCAACATAGATGAAATTGATGCCCCCAGACAGAGGCTGGAGCAGGTCTAGAGCTCCGTCTCCTGAGCACACACCACTTCTTATCCTGCAGAGTCTGGATGAGTGAGAAGATGTATGTGAGAAGGTAAAATAGCAAGTAGAGTAGAAAAGGCACAGGCTTTGAACTTGGACAACCCTGGTGCTGTGACTTAATTATCTTTGTGAATGTGGGCAAGTTTCTTGATCTCTCAGAGCCTGTGTCTCATCTGTAAAGGGGGAGTAATCTGTATCTCATAGGTTGTTGTGAAAAGTGAATGATTTTTTAACGCGTCCATCTGTGCTTGTGTAACATTCATACTCAAGTCATTGCCCATTCAGGACGCTGCCCTCCACCATAAGGGCAGCCCCAGGTGCCTAGCTCCTGGCCAAGGAGAAACTCAGACCCTCCAGTTCATATCTTATTACCTGGTATGATGCTTCTTTTCAGTCAGCTCCTCCATGATTGATGGGGGGAGTGGAGATGAAGGAGGCATTGACAGTTTCTCTTCTCTTTTGCTCGCAGCCATCTATCACACCTGTGAGGCCTCCAACTTCCAGTGTCACAATGGGCACTGCATCCCCCAGCGGTGGGCTTGTGATGGTGACATGGATTGCCAAGATGGTTCTGATGAGGATCCGGTCAACTGTGGTAAATGCAGATGCTTTGGCCCTCTCCAGAGCTTCTCCAGTGTCTGCTGTTCAGGAAAAGGGGCAGCAGATGGGCCAGGAAGTGAAATGCTGTTCTCCTGGGCCCATTTACCCAATCTGACAACTAAACAAGCCCACCCACTTTCTCTGGGGCATTGCCATAGGATATATAGGGATGTGTTATGTCGTCTGAATTCTCAGGCAGACAGTTTGCCTCACTGATTTTTTATAACAACGTTGAAGAAAAGAAATAGAAACCAACTAACCCACCCAGAGTGCTGAACACAGTCACATTACCAGTGTCCTGCCAGAAATTAGCCAACAGTTCCTGTATAAATAGCATACTTTATGACTAAGAGTTATGGCCCTTTGGGAAAATGGCTCACCACCCCCAGGTAGAACTTTTTCAGTATAATTGATGTAAAGAAGAATTCTGAGATAGTCAGTCACCTTCACAATAGAAATTAACCACAAAATAGCTGCCACACAAATACAATATATAAAATGCTTTTTTATACTAAATATTTTTAAGCTTCTCTATCCTTATCCTTTTGCCGCATGTCTGTAGGAAAACCTCCCTGTGTTTCTCCTCTACTGTCAATGCTCTACTTACAGAATACTTGACTTCTGACACTTCTTGGCCACCAAATGTGTATTTTCCACACGAAGCAACTCTCCGACACCAGTTGGGTGTCCTACAATTTAATTCAGTCCTGACATTATCTTCCTCGAGGTAGCATCGGATCCCACAGGTTAAATGCTCAGTCCCACAAGACTGCCCTCCACTTCAGATGCCAGTTACATGTCCCCAGTTGTCACCTGCACTTCTGACTGACTGGCTATAAATCCGGGTTCCCACAGCCCCCTCCTTGGGTTTGATAATTTGCTAGAATACCTCACAGAACTCAGGGAAACACTTACATTTCCTGGTTTATGGTAAAAGGATGTGATAAAGGATAAAGATGCACATCCAGATGGAAAATGCGTAGGGCAAGGTATGGGAAGAGGGGTGCAGCTTCCATGCCGTCTCCAGCATGTCACCCTCCCAGCCCCTGCGTGTGTTCACCAACCCGGAAGCGCTCTGAACCCCTTGTACTTTTAGGATTTTTATGGAGGCTTCATCACATAGGCATGATTGACCATTAACTCAGGCTCCATCCCTCTCTCCTTCCTGGAGGGGTTGGGTGGAAGGTTCCAAGCCTTTAATCATGGCATGATTTTTCTGGTGACCAGCCTCCATCCTACAGCTCTTCAGGAGCCCACCAAGAGTCACCTCGTTAGAACAAGACACTCCTGTCACCTAGGGAATTACAAGTGTTTTAGGATCCCTATGTCTGTAACCAGAGGCAGAGACCAATATATATTTTCTATTATTTCACACCATACATTCCAAATTTTCCTGGGGTTGCAGTCATTGTCTACATGTTGTTATATATTCTACTCCTTTCATGTCACAATGTTAAACAAAGATGTTTCCATATATCTGTATTTTTCTGTTGTTAGCATTTTTGTCACTTTATATTACCATAACTTACTTAGTCACTCCCTGTTTGACTGAGATTTCGAGATGTTTCTAAATGACTTCCAGGTGGCCTCAGCCCATGTATGCAAAAGGGTATGATATTTGGGCATTTGAGTGTTTTTAGTTTTACACTGTTATGCATAGTAAGACTATTCATGTCCTTAGAAATGAAGGCTTAGTTTTTCTTTGAGATACTTCCCAGGATATGTTCCTTAGTATGGAATTGCTGGGTCGAAGGTTCCGATCGATTTTAATGATTCTCGTTAAGCTTTTCCAGATTTCATTTCCAAGTGATTATACCAAAAGCAGATCCATCAGTAATATATTGTATGTTTCCCCAAGTCTCCCTTGATATTACATTTTATCTTTTTAGTTATTTTCACTAATTTAATGAGTTTGAGTTTGTCTCATGTAATTTTAATTTTATACTATTTAAAAAACTTTGTATGCTTAGTGACATTAAATATTTCCCCAACTCATGGTGCTCATTTACTGTTTCTGCTTGAAGTCCTTTGAGTAATTTCCTAGGAATGATGACTTTTTACAAGATTAAAACACATTTTCTTGCCTTACAGCTGATCCTTCTGGAACTCTTCTACCAAGAGTTGGGTTTGTGGTGCCCATGAGTGACCTGCTAGAACTGATTTTTAAGCCTCATGTCTGGCACTAGCTCTCTGTTCAGGAGAAAGGGTGACCTCGTGCTAAGAATTCTATGCTAAGTGCGAAACCTAAGATTCTTAGTGTTTCTAGAACAAACTTTCTCCTAACAGGCTTTGGTTTAGAATTCCTAAAGAATTAAGTGGTGAGTGATTTAAGAGAGCTTTAAAAAACCAAGGTTTAGAATCAAGATTCATGTCTTTCTTTTTTTCAATCACTAAAGCTTTTCTTAAAAAAAATATGTTTTTTGAGTAGGTAACATATTCACATGGTTCAAAATGGGAAAAATATAAAAAGTATACGATAAGTGGTTTTCTTCCCATCTGCCCAAATACTACCCTTTCCCCATAGGAAACCATGGTTCTATATCCTTGCGGACTATTTTTGTGCACATATGCAAATTTAAATATATTGTATATTCTTTTCCTGTTTTACACGAGTAGTATGCTGTGCATGTTGTTTTATACCTTGTTTTTTCACATAACTGTTTATCTGGGACATATTTTTACAGAGTGCTTCTTCAATCTCTTTATTCCAGTGTACAATAATTTATTACAAAATCCCTTTTTGATGGACGTATAGGTAGTTTTTAATCTATTACAAACAGTGTTGCAATGAGTAACCTTGTACTTACATTGTTTTTCACTGGTGTAGGTAGATTACATTTCTACAAGTGGCATTGCTGTGTCAAAGTATATATCCGTTTGTAATTGTGATAGCTATTGCCAAATTGCCCTCCTTGGCAATACAGTTTATACCCCGCATCAGTGTGTGAGAGTACCTGCCTGTTTCCTCTTCCTTATTCTTCTCTCATATTGAATTTCATTTCAGAGAAGAAGTGCAATGGATTCCGCTGCCCGAATGGCACCTGCATCCCATCCGGCAAACACTGCGACGGTCTGCGGGACTGCTCGGATGGCTCGGACGAACAGCACTGTGGTGAGCCCTCTCCCTGCCCCAGGGAAGCACCTGGTGGTTGTGAGGGAAGAGCATACGTGAGACCAAATCCTTTCATTTCCTCAGGACCTGCTTCTGGTTAGCTTTTAACCGAGTTGACCCTGAGTCCTTGACCAGGACTCTGAGAGGCTGATTGTGGCAGGGAGAGGGGCAGTGTGGGGAGCGATTGTGGAATTAGGTCATAATTCATAATTCGGTGAACATTATTGTTTAGTTGCACTATGTTCTGTGAATCCACCAATTGTTTTGAGTTGGACACTTATTTCTCCTACTTTGTTGGTTTTATTAGTGTCACTGATTGTCGCTCGGGTGACATTTTTAGGCCAGGTGACTGTTTTTATCCCCGGTTTTCTTTAGACCCAGAAAGGTGGGCTTGGTCAGTGGTGCTCCTCCTTGAGTATACACTGGAACCACTCGAGGAGCTTGAACGGCTCCTGGGGCCTGGGTCTCACCCCACAGAGATTCTGATTTAATTACTCTAGAGTGTGCTTGGACATTGGGATTTTGTAAAGTGCTCCAGGTGATTCCACTGTGCAGTCCAGGTTGAGAACTGATGTGGTCATGCAGGGGTTGGCAAACCGGGCTGTGGGGGAAATCTAGCCCATAACCCTTCTGTTAACTGGAGTTTACTTTGAGCACAGTCGCTACCATTTGCCCACACATTGCCTCTGGCTGCTTTCCTGTTGCAGTGGCAGAGTTGGGTAGTTGTAATAGAGACTGTATGACCTGCAGAGCCTTGAGGATTTGCTGTCTAGTTGTGTTAGTCAGGGTTCTCCAGAGAAACAGAACCAATAGGATGTGTATGTCTATATAAAGGGATTTATTTCAAGGAATGGGTCCATGCGATTATGAAGGCTGGCAAGTCCAAAATCTGCAGGGTGGGCCAGCAGGCTGAGACCCAGGGACAAGCTGAGGTTGTAATTCAAGTCCAAAGGCCTCTTCTCTCTTGTGCCCTCATATGGCTTTTTCTCTTTGCTTGCATCTCTGGTGTCGCTTCTTATAAGGACACCTGTCTTGTTGGATCAGGGCTCCCCTCTGATCTTTTTAACCTTAATTTACCTCTTTTAACCTTATTTACCTCATTTAACCTTAGTTACCTCTTTAAGGGCTCTATCTCCAAATATACTCACATTGGGGATTAGGGCTTCGACATATGGATTTGATGGGAGGGGTATAATTCAGTCTATAACACTGATCCTTTATAGAAAAAGTTTGCCAGCCCTGTATTAGGAAGTCAGTATTATATTAATAGTGGTTAAGATCGTGGGCTTTGATGTCAGGCAGCTCTGGGTTTCAGTTTTGGCTCCACTCTCATGAGCTGTGTGCTCTTGGTGAAAACTTAATGCTGCCATCCCCCTCTGTTTCATTTTGAAAACAGGACAGTAAAATCTCTCATAATATCATCTTGAGAGTTTAGTGACGTACTTCTCTGTCAAGTGCTTTAGGTCAGGGCTTGGCACAAAGCAAGTGCTGGAGAAATGGCGGCTGTACTCCTGTTTCCTGAGCGCACATCTGTGTCAGGTGCGCTTGCCCAGGGCTAGCGAGGGCCCGCCAGCCCCACGTGCTCACGGCCTTTTCTCCTCACCGGACCCCTTTCAGAGCCCCTCTGCACACGCTTCATGGACTTTGTGTGTAAGAACCGCCAGCAGTGCCTGTTCCACTCCATGGTTTGTGACGGGATCGTCCAGTGCCGCGACGGCTCCGATGAGGATGCGGTGTTTGCAGGATGCTGTGAGTGGGGCAGGCTGGGGAGGGGACTCAGGGTCATGGAAGAAACTGCAAGGGGGTGGGCCACTCGGGGATACACCTCCTTCTAGTTTACAGTTCTTGATGGAGTGCCCATTCTTGCCTTTTCTGAGCAAGACTTACCTTTGTTGCTTGAGAAGTACTGCTTGTTAGTTGTTGGTGTGTGTATAAAAGGGAGGAGGGAGAATGACTGAGATTTTGGCTCCAATGTCACCTTCTCCAATAGGCCTTTCCTGCACCCCCATCCCTCTATAGCCCCCTTGCCTTATTCCTGTGGTCTTCACAGCACCTATCACCACTTTGCACCCTGTATATATATTTTATTGCCCCTCTCCCCCCGCTGGAATGTGCGCTTCACAAGAGCGGGGTCTGTGTTATTCCCTGCTGTAACCCCTTCCTAAAACAGTGCCCTCCATGTGGTAGGTACTTGTATTAGTCTGCTTGGACTGCTGTAACAAAGGACCACAGAATGGGTTGCTTGAACAACAGAAATGTATTTTCTCACGGTTGTAGAGAGTGAAAGTCCAAGGTCCAGGTGTCAGCAGGATTGGTTTCTCCTGAGGCCTCTCTCCTTGGCTTGTGGAAGGTCGTCTTCTCTCAGTGTCCTCACACAGCCTTCCCTCTGTGCTTGTCTGTGTCCTCATCTCCTCTTCTTAAAAGGACACCAGCCCTATTGGATTAGAGTCCACCCTAATGACCTCATTTAACTAAATTACCTCCTTAAAGACCTTATCTCCAAATACAGTCACACTCTGAGGTACCGGGGCTTCGGCCTTCAATTGACTTGCTTTCAAGGAGTCCTCCTTGGTGAAGGACATTTGCTCTGTCCTCTTGTTTCTAAGCAGCATTACTACTTTGAAGTCCTCGGTCTGGCAGTAACCTAGCTTTTCTGGGTGCTTGTTCCTCATCTAGCCCACGACCCCGAGTTCCACAAGGTGTGTGATGAGTTCAGTTTCCAGTGTCAGAATGGAGTGTGCATCAGTTTGGTTTGGAAATGCGACGGGATGGATGACTGTGGTGATTACTCTGATGAAGCCAACTGTGGTGAGAAGACCTTCGATCTGCCCTGTCATCCCTGATCCTCAGGTCACGATGGCTCCTGTAGTTAAGGAGGGGACGCTCAGCACATTCTCAGGCTGGCTTTGCCTTCTCCTTCCTCAGCAGTAGTTCCTGCTAGTTCTTGAATCTCCATGTGAGGAATTGAGTCTTTAAGTGGGAGCCTGACCCAAGTAGAGGTTAGGGGATGTTTATTCCATTTCCTTGTCTTTCCCTAGTTGGGAAGTTCACGTTATGTATAAGGGATATGGTAGAGGAATTACGGTAAATATTCTGGAGTGTGCTTCCCCCTCCCCCCTAAAAGTTACAGATACCACAAGGTAATAGAGTCATTGTCACCATCGGGTTATCGTCAATACGTCATTCCTTTGATAGTGTCAAAAATAAAAACTCAGGTACCATTTGCAAGACATAGAAGTGTAAGTGAGAGAAGTATGAGTTGGGGTCTACAAAGATGTGGATGTGGTTTCTGTCACCCACTGGGTCCTAGAAGCTGCCTTATCTTTCTCTGGGAGGGCCGTGCAGGCTGCTCTGGGACCTGGGTGTTGAGGAGGCTGTGTATAGCTGGAGCTTTATGTTCACACTGGTGCAGGGCGAATGACTGATGGTGTGGTTAATCTCCCCAGAAAACCCCACGGAAGCCCCAAACTGCTCCCGCTACTTCCAGTTCCAGTGTGAGAATGGCCACTGCATCCCCAACAGGTGGAAATGTGACAGGGAGAACGACTGTGGGGACTGGTCTGATGAGATGGACTGTGGAGGTAAGGGTTCTGGTCATCCCCACAGCCAGACGTACCAGTATCCTTCCCCCCATCTGCACAGAATGTAATTTGTCTCTTCATTGCCTGGCTTATTCACTGATTTTTGGTGAGGGCAGCTCTCCGAGTTCTTTTCTATCCTCCTCTCAATTTGAAAATCAGTGTGGTTGGTTTCCCCTGTTACCAGGGCTGTCATTTCCTATTTTACAGGGCACACTGAGAATTCTAGAGCCTGTCTACTCCAAGTGTGGTCGGCAGACCAGCAGCCTCTGCATCTCCCTGGAGCTTGTTAGAAATGCAGAGTCTCTGACCCCACCAAGGCCTCCCTCCGAGTCTCAATCTGCATTTTAACCAGATCTCTGGGTCATGCATGTGCCATGATAGATTTCAGAGGCACTGATGTGGAATGCGTGCTCACGCATTTCCTTTTTGGTATTCTCGTCTCTGAACCAGGTCTTAGGGTAGTTGCAGTTGAGTTAACCAGAACAATGTTTAGCCTTTCTAGGAATTCCCCCACCCATCCTGTGCATTCTGAGTCACCTTGCTTCCCTCAGCCTACGTGAGCCCCCCTGCAAAAGCAAACTCATCTGAATATTAGCCCAAATCAAGTATAAGAGGTAAGGCGAATCTGCTCCAAAAAAAGGAAAGAATAGTCTATTCTGACACCCCATTGTAATGGTTTTTAGGTGAGCTGCTATTTAGAACTGTGCCTGACACTGACCTCCCTGGGCTGGTGCAGCTCACGCTGGGACATCCACACTAGGTTTGTGACCTATTTTGGTCTGAGATCAAGCTTCTTGTAACACTTTGGGTTTTCTTGCTTGGTGTTTTCCTCAGATTTACGTATTCTTCCCTCCCCTACTCCTGGGCCCTCTACATGTCTGCCCAATTACTACCGCTGCAGCAATGGGGCCTGCGTGATGGACAGCTGGGTGTGTGATGGCTACCGAGATTGTGCAGATGGCTCTGACGAGGAAGCCTGCCCCTCACCTGGTAAGTACTGGCCCCAGTCCTCTCCTGTGGCATCTGCTTTTCTGGAGAGGACCTTATAGGGGTCCACCCTAGGCACAGCATGGCCGGGCCCAGTGCCCTGCCGCCTGGGACTCTGTGCTCTGTGGCCAGGTGGCTTCTCACCTCCAGAGCACGGAGACCCATGGGAACTCAGAACTGGAGTGTCTCGTCTTCTATAACTGCTCTCTCATCTTCCTGTGAGAAAAGGTCAGCCACCCTGCCTTCCACCCTGGCCGCGGTTGGGCCACCTTTGCTTCCTTCTTCACGGAAAATTACAATGGGAATTACAGAGGAGGTGTTTGTGTGTCTATTAAACTGTCAGGGGAGGGAGCCCAGTTTACCTGCTTGCTAGTTGGTGGCCATCCTACTAAAAGAAGGGTAAGCACTGCCATCTAGTGGCTGGACACAGAGAGACATCTGAAGGTCTGTGCAGTAACCATATTGCGGGGGGCCAGGGTAGACCATGAGACCCCTTCTAACTGCAGGTAGAACAGAGGTAAGGATGCTATGTCCTTTCCTAAACAGGATTCTGTTTCAAACTCAATTATAGTAGGAGAATAGAGGGTTGTTTCCCATGCTTTCCATAATCCTGTTCCTAGCAAACTTCCAGGTCAACAGTCTGATTTTCCTCCTTGAAGACTATTTTCATTCTATTGCTTCCCTGTTTAAAATCATCAATGGTTTCCTCTTGCCCAGAAGATAGGTCCTGACCCTTGAGTCCTATTCTCAAGGCCCTGTGTGAGCTGACCCCTCCCTGCCTGCCATTACCTCCTACATCCACCAAAGTAGGCTCCTCATCCCCTCTGGACAGACCTGCTCCCTCTCTGCTTATATTCCTGCAGCAGAGTTTTTGCCTTATCAGAAACCTCTGTCCTCCTGACCATGTCCTCCTACTTTCCCTCTCTGAAACCCACTGTCCATCAGGGCAGACAGAGCATGGATTTTGTAGTTAAAAGTGACCTCAATATATCATCAGTGTTTCTCAAAGTATGGCACAAAGACCACCTGTAATGGAATCACTTGGGGTGTTCATGAAAAATAAAGAATCAGAATTTCTGGATGGAGCCCAGGAGTTCCCATATCATTTGTAGATTCACTAAAGTTTGAGATTCCTTCTTCGAACAAATAGAGCATTATTCACCCTCCCAAGCCCCACCTCCATGGAGCTTTCTTTGAGTCCTGATGTCCATCTCTTTTCCAGTCTCATTGAACTTGCCTAGTGTCCTTTTGATTTTTAACTATGAGCTGCCATATATTACTTCCTAGTCATTCCATGTGTATAAATCTTTCTTTTCCATGTATGTACCTCGTGTTTTGGGATCATGCTGTGGACTACTTTGAATCCCCCACTGTGCCTACTCCAATAATAGGCAAATAGTTGGTGTCCCAAAAATGCTTCTCAAATTATAAAAAAATCTTTTATCTTTGCACTTTTTCCCAAGCCCCACCTATCTATTTAGTAACTTGATTACACTTCTCTCAAAATTGTTTTTCCGTTATTGAAACTCTGAGCAGGGACATTATCAGACTCTAGCAAATTCTGACTAATCCAATGAGCAGATTCCTATTTCGATGTTCCGTTCAGCTTTTGTGATTTCTTTTTTATGTACATTGTCTGTGCAAATTTAAATTGGCATTTGTCTCTAGCTCTTAGGTCTTATTTCTTCTCTGTAAAAGTCTCCTAACTGGTTTCTCTGCCTCATGTCTCTTCCCTTTTCGATTTATCTTCCAAGAAGCCACATGTTGATGCGTGATCATATCCTCCCCCAGTACTGGAACCTTCTGATGGCTCCCTTGTTGCCCAAGTGTAAGTGCTGTGACGTGTCTTGGCCTAGCTCTCTAGCCTCATTTTTTACTACTCTTCTCCAAGCCCCTTGTTTTAGCAGAGTGGTTCTGGGGATTGGAGTGAAAATCCAATTAGAACTATGGAATACACACAATATCCCAAAGTTAATAATGGCTTTTTTTGTTTGTTTTTTAGCCCAAGTTATTTTGTACCATTTGCTAATGCTTCCACCTTTCAATAGCTCTCAGAAGACCTTTCCACAGGGTCACCGTCTCACGTGATTTCTCGGCTCCAGTGTTTCTCTTGGAGATGCTGTTCTGACACCTTGGATTTTCCTCTCTGGGCTGATTTTCCTCTAGGCCTGCTGCATGCCCCTGACCCTGGGACTTCACTGCCCTCCTCAGAGTTCTCTCTTTAAAAGCTTCTAATCAGTACTGTTCCTTTTTTATGGCGTCTTGTCCTTTTTTCATGGGTAAATGTATATTCTTTCTTTCTGAGCATATTAAGAATATTTATTTTTGAAGTTTTCTTCTTACAAAGTGCCTGTTTCCTCCAAATTTCCTTGTTTGGGGTGAGGGGGTCTGCACTGGTTTCTTTCATGTCAAAGGTTTTCCTCGGATAATCCTTGGTTGCTTGCTTGTGTTTAAGGTTGGGGACTAACATGCTGCTAAGAAATTCTGCACATCTGGGTAGGCTTGTCAACTCTGAGTTTCATGGTTGGGCTGTTTGGGGAACACTTGACCTGGGTTACTTTAGTATTTGTCTCTAACGCTGGTCAGATTCACTAGAGAGAATTTTTACAATCTCCTTCCTGGAGAATACGGGTCTCACTGCCAGGGTTCTCGAGGAGGAGGAGTAGGGTCTTCACATTCAGCCATCTGTGGGTTTAATTGCCTCTTTTCAGTATGATATCCGTGCTCTCAACCATGCCTGTCTCAACAACCCTTGTTGCTACCCTCTCCAAATAACAATCCTCCAGTCTTCTGTCGAGCTGATGTACGGGGTGATTGTCTCACGAGGCGAGTAGGGGAAGGGATGTAGGGAATCTAGCTGCTTCTTACACATCTTTGAATCTGTTCCCTTACTGTAACTTTCCCCTCTTCTCTCCCAGTTAAGAGGTACCATTTTTCAGCTTTTTGAGGATTCTATGATGTTGATCTTGTTGGTTCTTAGCTTTCTTCCCTGACAGCTTAGGATAGAATACAGCCTGCTCTGGTCTCTTTAGTCACTCACCACTCTCTGTCTGCTTTCCAGCTTCCATAATTTTGTCGCTTTTGTCTCCTTTAGTGGAGTTCTATGAGAGAGCAAAATTAGATGCCTGTGTCTAGTCAATCTGCTGTCTTTATCCAGAGCTCACATTTGTCTTCAGGTCCCTATCTTAATTCCTAAAGAACTGTCATCTCCTAACACGTTGAATGGGTTGCTGTTGCTGGCCAGCTCCCTCAATACTGAAAAGTGAATTTTAAAAATCTTTTCTAGCAAATGTCGCTACTGCCTCCACTCCCACCCAGCTTGGGCGATGTGACCGGTTTGAGTTCGAGTGCCGCCAGCCAAAGAAGTGTATCCCCAACTGGAAGCGCTGTGATGGCCATCAGGATTGCCAGGACGGCCAGGATGAGGCCAATTGTCGTGAGTAGTCGGAGAGAAATTCATTCCTGAGGGAAGGTTTCTTGAGAGCATGATATCCTATTACTTGTGCTTCATTTCTCATAATAACTTTGTGATTTTCGTATTATCTCCATTTTAGAGATAGGAAAATTAAGCTTCAAAGAGGATTGACTACTAGGAGTCAGTAGCAGACTGGGGTATTTATTTAGTTTTTCTTTTTTCTTTTACAAAGTTGTGTGCTTTTCTTCGTGCCACCTTGGAAGTTCTTATAGGGCAGAATACTCCAAAATAACAGAGAAATTAAATAGGGATTAGTGTAAAATTCTACATTTACATTAAAAGAATGAACAAGGTGGACCTTTGGCACATGAAAATAACAAGACAGATTGACCCCACATTTACCAAAATAATAGGAAGAACATCTGAGCCAAATAAGTGGCCACAGAATAAGATGAACATTGAAAATAATTAACAAACAGGAAATGGAATAGAACCTTCCTCCTGGATGAGATTAATTCATTAATTGGTATTCTTTAATAAGTTTCTTTAGCCTGTTTCAAGTCTGCCTTATTCATAAGGATGTTGCTTAGTTAAGGGTCTTAAAATCAAGATGTGCTCTATCTACAGTTTTTCTCAATCCATTAATCTGATAACCCTATCAAAAAAGGAAGTGAGATTAGTATGGCATGATTTTTCTTAGAGAAGCTGGACCCTGAAGGCCACTACATTCTCTAAGTGCCCATTAATCATCTGTTGAATAATCAGTTTAAGAATTTTAGGAGATTAATGGCAACCTTTTTTCTAGTTTCTAAAACCTATGTTTTCTGCTTTTAAAATATTGAGACATGTTTCATAAAGAAACCTCAAAAATCCTCTAGCTTTGCTACTCGTTGTTGTTTGATTATATTTTACTACATTCTTACCATGTGGAATAATTTTTTGGTGGGGATCTTGGTATTTTCCAGAACAATCCTCTTCTGAGCAGAGTCCCTCCCTGACTATCCTATATAAAATGCACCCTCATCAGTGTCTTTATGTTTCTTTGTAGTTCTTATCACTATCTAAAATAACATATTTGTTTGTTTACTTGTTTGTTGTTTCTCTCAATAGAAGAAAACCTCTATGAGGGTAGGTCTTTTGTTTTACATATCACCATATTCTTAGCATCTGGAACAGTACCTGACTCATGGTAGGATTTCCATGACTTCATTGATTGGATGGATGGGTGGATGGATAGATGTATGGGTGGATGGATGGATAAATAGATGGATGGGTGGGTGGCTGGAGGGATGAGTGGATGGATAGGTGGATGGATGGATGAGTGGGTGGGTAGGTAGATGGATGGATGGATGCATGGATGGATGAATTCCATCTTCATCTTCTGAGACTGTTACACTGGTGGTTCTCAAACCTTTTCTAAATACTCTAATGCCCTTTTATCTGTAACTGAGCTCCCCCTTCCAACCTCTCCAAGGCAAACCAATTTCAGCTCAGTATATGATAGAGCTCTAGAATATTATGACTTTCGTGGAGGTTGGGGATTATAGTTTGTAAAAAGCCTCACAAGTAGTTTTGATATTTCCCTTCTCCCATTGAGAATTACTATATTAGAAAGCTCTTTTTTAAAATGTATTGAACTGAAGTCTGTACCTCTATCCTTGAGACTCATGCAAAGAAGTCTTAATTCTCTTTTACATGAAAAGTCATCAGTTAAGGACAGTTGTTACAGCATTTCATGCCCACCCCCAACCCCTGTATCTTTTCATCTGTAGGAAAAGGATCTCCCTGGATTCTTTATCCGTTCCTCTTGACCATCCTGGTTGCTCTCATGTGAACATTATCCAGTTGTATCTACCTGCTTATCAAAGTGTGGTTTTCAGAAGTGGATGTAGTGCTTCAGATAGAAAACAGGATTACCTGTTCTTGTTCTAGAACAGAAGTTCTCAACCCTGGCTAATTCTGATGAATCACCGTGGAGCTTGTAAATATTTCACATGCTCAGCTGCATGTTTCTGCTTCAGTAGGTTTGGGGCAAGTCCTAGGAATCAGTGTTTTTTAGAAGTTCCCCAGAAGACTCTGGTAAGAATCAGTGTCGTATATTCTTTTTTTTTTTTTTGATAATTTTATTTATTTATTTTTTCCCCAAAGCCCCAGTAGACAGCTGTACGTCATAGATGCACATCCTTCTAGCCGCTGCATGTGGGACGCGGCCTCAGCATGGCCGGAGAAGCGGCGCGTTGGTGCACGACCGGGATCCGAACCCGGGCCGCCAGCAGCGGAGCACGCGCACTTAACCGCTAAGCCACGGGGCCGGCCCCGTGTCGTATATTCTTTATTCTGAGATTACTACAATGGTTTAGTGGTTTCTTCAGTAATTTCTTTTATAGTCATTGTACAGAATGATGATATAGTCATTGTATCGAATATTGTGCGTATATTTACATAAGATGGGGAGCAAGAGCTAGGAGGGGTTTGGTCCTGAATCTCAATGGAGAAATTTTAGTTTGAACTCAGGAAACCAGGATAGAATCCCCGATATAAGATCTGGGCAAATACAGAGGCTCAAGTTTATGTTAATTTTCTGTGGCGCTGTAACAAATTACCACAAACTTAATGTCTTCAAACAACACGCGTTTATTATTTTACAGTTCTGTAGGTCAGAAATTGGACACAGGTCAAACTGGCTAAAACCAAGACATGGGCAGGGCTGGTTCCTCTGGAGGCTCCAGGGGAGAATCTCTTTCCTCTCTTTTTCTGGCTTTTAGAGGCCCCTTTCCTCCATTTTCAAAGCTAGCAACATTCCATCTCTCTGATCCTTCTTCTGTCTTCACATCTTCTCTCTGACCACAGCCAGTAAAGGGTCTCTGCTTTTAAGGACTGTGAGATTGCATTGGGTCTATCTGGGTAATCTAGGCTAAATGCTGTACGTCAAGGTCTTTAACTTAATCACATCTGCAAAGTCCCTTTTATCATGTAAGGTGACATTTAACACGTTCCAGGGATTAGGATGGGGACATCTTGGACTTGGAGGAGGAAGATTAATTTTAGACCCTCCTCACAGGTGGAGTGGGTTCTGATGTGGCCCTTCCTGTCCTGGATTGGTCAGGCACGTGTGAGTGTGTGTAACGAAGGCCTGCAGCACCTGCACCTGGCCTGGCCCAGGCCAGCCCAGGGCGGCAGCTCTGGTTTCTATAGCCATTCTCTTCTTTCCTCTTTCTAGAATTGTTTGCAATTATATTGTCACCACTTGCTTTTTAGAGCCTCTCACGCAGTTTAACTCTACTTTCAGAACTGGGGAGAACATCAGATTATGGTTTATAGCCATAGAGTTGCATAACTCTTGATTTACCAATGCTCTTTATTTGTGATATTGCATTTTCTGGTAAGATACTTTGAAAACTATACAATTAAGGTACTGCATAAAGTGGGCATGCCTCTTCATATTGTGATTCACCTTATTATTAGTAGTGTTACTCAACCCAGAAATCAGAGTGTCATCCTAGACTGTGAACTAATATAGTAACAGAATAATTAGTGGTCTTATAGAGTAATAGCTACAATTTGTTGATGCCTGCTATCACCAGGCACTATTCCAGGTGCTTGATCTCGCTGGATCCTTGTAGACACAATAGTGCTGGAATTGTCACCCCAGTTTCATATAGGGGCTGAACTTGGGCTCTGTTAAACAGCTTGCTCGAGTTCACATAGAGCCAGGATTTAAACCCTGGTTTGTTTGACTCCAAAGCTCTCGCTCTTCCTGAGGCAGATTCCAACTGTCAATTTCAAATTGGGAGGTGTCACAGTGCCAGCGTGGTGCTCCTCACTCCAGAGGCGGGTTTTGAAGCAGAAGCTGATTAGTTCAAAGACTTCTAACCACTTTTCTTAAAAATGATAAACCTTTGGTATGACAGGGCCCCTGCCCTGTGGGTTTAAGAAGGTTCTTTGTGTTTCAGCCACACGCAGCACCTTGCCCTGTATGAGCAGTGAGTTCCAGTGTGAGGATGGCGAGGCCTGCATCGTGCTCTCCGAGCGCTGCGACGGCTTCCTGGACTGCTCGGACGAGAGTGACGAGAGAGACTGCAGCGGTGAGTGCCCGGCTGTGCTGGCTGTGTTGGTCCCTGTTTACCCCAGAGCTCACCCTCCACCTTCCTGTGTCGGCTCACCCCCCACCCTCCCGTGTTGGGCTCCCCCTCCCCCCTCCCGTGTGGGTTCGCCCCCACCCTCCTGTATGCCCGTGTGGGTTCACCCCCCACCCTCCTGTGTGGGCTCACCATCCACCCTCCTGTGTGGTCTCACCTTCACCTTCCTGTGTGGGCTCACCCTCCACCCTCCCGTGTGGGCTCACCCTCCACCCTCCTGTGTAGACCTCTAGTAGAACCCTTTTGAGTTTTTCCTCAGTCTGGAAATGAAATAGATTTTTGCCCAATTTTGGAGCACCAAATGAGGTGAGGCTTGTCCCCGCTCTGATAGAGCTTTCAGCTAACCTCATCCCTGCTGGGTCAATGCTGGTCTTAGATTTGTTTTTGGCGGACTTTGTGCCTCATGTTGACCCTCGGGGAGCCTCGGGGTTTGTGGTGGGGTTAGCTCAGTTCTTCTGTCCAGAACACATTCAGTAATTGTCTTCATCCTTTTGGGCTGCTGAAACAGAATACCACAGACTTATAAACCATAGAAACTTACTTCTCACAGTTCTGGAGGCTGGAAGTCCAAGATCAAAGCACCAACAGATTTGGTGTCTGGTGAGGGTCCGATTCCTGGTGCATCCATCTTCTCTGTGTCCCCACAGTGGAAGGGCTCTTTTATGAGGATACTAATCTCATTCATGAGGGCTCCATCCATATGACCTAATCACCTCCTAGGAGCCCCACTTCCTAATACCATCGCGTTGGGGATTAGGGTTCAGCATATGCATTTTGGGGGACACACATTCAGTCTGTAGCAGTAATAGATCCTGCTGTGACCCTATCCTTGGACTTGTAGAAACAGGCTTACATCACTGCAGACAGGAGGGAGGTGAACCACAAGGACAAATATCATGCCTGGAAATTTAGGAGACCCTAGGAAAGGTTGTAGAGGAAGGTTTCGACTCTATTTTCTGGGATGTCTTTTAAGACGATGACTGTGGCTTGACAATCTAGAGTATGGTAGGTCTGCCTAGAATCAAGGAACCACTAGGAGCCTCTGAAATCCAAGGATTTATAACATATCACTTTCTCTCCTTTTTCCCCTCTTATCTCTCTAGATGAGTTAACTGTGTACAAAGTACAGAATCTTCAGTGGACAGCTGACTTCTCTGGGGATGTAACTCTGACCTGGATGCGGCCCAAAAAAATGCCGTCTGCTTCTTGTGTATATAACGTCTACTACAGGTAGGTCTCCTCTTGGTCACGGGAGAAGAAAATGGTGTCCTCATTGCCACTGGATGTTCCGTAAACTCTTGTGCTGTGCACAGAGTGACTCTTTATTAACTGAATCAGACCTCTCAGCCACCCCGTGCTGCTTTGATGTGACAAAGTCTTTATTCTCTTGGCCAGGGTGGTTGGAGAGAGCATCTGGAAGACTCTGGAGACCCACAGCAATAAAACAAACATGATATTAAAAGTCTTGAAGCCAGATACCACATATCAGGTTAAAGTCCAGGTCCAATGTCTGAGCAAGGTGCATAATACCAATGACTTCGTGACACTGAGGACTCCAGAAGGATGTAAGTGTGATTGTTTATTTTTATGGCATGTACCAGGCCTTAGGTGAGATTTTCAGAGAGTTTCCCAGGGATACTCAGGAGTGTGGGAACATGGCACATGAATAATCACATGTGCCTCATGTACAGACGATTGTGGCCAAGTTTTATGGTCCTGCCTTAGTTGTTGAACATTTATTGTCATTATGTCACATAACTTTCTTGTACTTGAAGAAGTTAATTTCAGATTCTGTCCACCACTGCCCTCTTTTGCATTTCTTAACTAGTTTCTGCCTCTACTTTCCATCTCTAGGTATTTCCCAGTACATGGTACTTAGGAGCTCATCATGGTTCAAATTTGAGCAATGTCAGAAGTATTGTGCCTAAGTCTTAAAGAAATTTACCAAAGCTCCTGTATCCAAGAGCATTCCCTGCTTCCTCCCCCCTTCAGAGTAGTTGCCATTGGGCAACTATGTGCTTATTCCAAGGTTTGTTTGTTCCCAAGGTTTTGTGAACTCCTCTTTGCAACTGCCATAAGAACTGGCTGTGTTATGACTTTATTAAATTAACATTTGTTAAGTAGAGCCCTGGGTGTTGAATGGTCAAGAAAAGCCCACAGTGGAAATTGAAACAGAGAAGTTTACTCCCAGGTCCTGGAGGAGGTACACGCATGCCTGGAGGGGCCATACAGGGAGGTCCAGGCAGGGTACAAGCAGAGAGAGCAGCAGGACCTGGGGCATATGCCTTTATTAGGAATTTACGTTTGCTTGTGACTCTCTGGGCTGTTATCTAGGTCTCTTGCATGAGGGGCTAATGTCAGTTTAAGGCCCCTATGGGCCGCTTGGCCAAACAGAATGGATGCTGAGGCAGCAATACCATGGATTAGCTTGGCTAAACTCTCGACACTATGGAACTCTCTTTGAAATATCCCATTTACTGATTTTCTTTCCACAGATATTAGCTGAGCACCTACTGTTGCTCAGGGATTATGTTAGATATTGGAGATTCAGAGATGGATAAGACACAGTTCCTGCCCCTGAAGGGCTTACAGGTCACTGATTGTTGATGAGTAGTCATTGTATTATTTGCTAGTGCTGCCATAACAAAGTACTGCAGACTGGGTGACTTAAACAACAGAAGTTTATTGTCTCACAGTTCTGGAGGCTGAAAGTCTGAGATCAAGGTGTTGGCAGGTGGGGGAGATCAAAATTGGCCACCCTGAAATATATCTCTTTACCTTCATTATTTTCTCTGACGGACATTTGACCTCCCTCAAACTGCCTAAAGGAATTTAACTCTGGGTGTAGACAGACTGGCAGAGTCCTCACTAAGCCCATTCTTAACGAAGTTCTGTTTACCAAATATTTACATTTGTAAAGGTATCTCCCTCTGTGTAGTGGGAAGAGGGGGGGATGACCTTATCTGTGAAAATGCTTATCAGGACAGAAGAAGAACACTTAAATGTACATACTCTTGATTACTATAATTCCTATCTCTCAGGCCACATTCTCTAGGTGGCCCTGCAAGGAGTTGCCAGACAAACATTTACATTTATAAGGGAAATCTCCATTTGTAAAGGTATCTCCCACTCTGGGGGGAAGGGAGGATGGCCTCTCTAGAAACTTATCAGCATGGAGGATAAGGCCTCAAATCTACATACCCTTGATTACTGTGATTTCTATCTCTCTCCCCAACCCCAACATCCTCTTTTGTCTTTAGCTGAAGATGGTATTTAAGACGAGAATCTCTGCTATTGTGTTGAGAAACTCAGTTTCACTGGTTTCTCCCGTGTATACATGTTATTAAATTTGGTATTATTTTCTCCTGCTGACCTGTCTTTTTAATTATTTGGCCAGCCATAAGAACCTTGAGGGAAAGGGCGGAGGGGGATTCTCCCTCTTCTCCACACAGGGTTGTTTCTTCTGAGGCCTCTCTCCTTGGCTTGTAGATGGCCATCTTCTCCCCATGTCTTCACATGGTCTTTCCTCTGTGTGTCTGTGTCCTAATTTCTCTTCTTATAAGGACACCAGTCATGTTGGATTAGGGCCCAAGCCAATGAGCTCATTTTAACTTAATTACCATTTTAAAGACCCTGTCGCCAAATACAGTCACATTCTGAGGTACTGGGAATTAGGATTTCAACATATGAAGTTTGGTGGCGGGGTGGGGGATGCGACACAATTCAACCCCATAACATTCCTCTTCTGTGGGTTATCAGATACATGGATAAGTACTGTCTGCAGTCAAAATGAAGTTTGACTAGAAAGTATTATAACTAGTTTTCGTGTGTGGCTTCTAACCTGGCACTGAAGGCAGTCACAAAAGAGCAGATCCAAAACTGTCTTGAATATGCCAGCACTAAAGTCATTAAAGAGTCTGATTTGAAGGGGATCCCATTCTTTGGACATAGAGGTTCTGTGATATTACAAACTAAGTCTTACTGCTTCGTAGTCATGCCCACAGTACCGTTTTGTTGTACGAGAAGTTGAGGCAGCAGGTGCTGCCAGTGACAAGTAGGATCTCAGCCTTGAAGTCCCAGGGCCAGTGGTGACTCAGCCTCCCCAAGTGATTCGACCCTGCAAGCCCCTGTGAGCCGCAAACCTACATCAGACCCGACTAAGCGTGATCTGATGTGTGGACAGCACAGCTTGCATTCTGGAAAAGAGGTTTTTGTCAGTGTAAAGACCAAGCTAACAGCCTATTGTAATGGATAGGTCCTGATGCCAGCTCTAGATTCTTTCTTTTCCTTGTTTTAAGCTCAGGGAAATTCCTCAATTGACTACTATGCAGATGGGTTATAACCTCGAGTTAACTCCTTTCTAGTGCCAGATGCCCCTCAAAATCTCCAGCTGTCACTGCACAGGGAAGTGGAAGGTGTGATTGTGGGCCACTGGACTCCGCCTGTCCACACCCACGGCCTCATCCGTGAGTACATTGTAAGTATCTTCCAGGAGTTGGCCATGTGTGTTGGGATGCGTAGGAGATTTCTGGGTCTGTTAGAGCAGAAGTGTGTTCTGTCTGAGTAGGACTTGATTTGGGATAGCCTTGTAAGTAATGATCTATATATTAGAACATTTCGCATCCCCTCTTTCCCATTCTCCTCTGACCTCCTTGTAAGGTGTTAGGATGCCTCAGAACTTTGGTACATTTTACTAATATTTTTTTCTTCTCACTTTAGGTAGAATACAGCAGGAGTGGTTCCAAGATGTGGGCCTCCCAGAGGGCTGCTAGTAACTTTACAGAAATAAGGAACTTACTGGTCAACGCACAGTACACTGTCCGAGTGAGTGTTAGCACCATTCCAGCTGTCAAGGCGCTCTTAGAACAAAGGGAGATTGTTGCTCTTTCCTGAGAGCTCTGTGCTTACCTTTCTGAGATGCTTATTAGAAGTCTGATAAATACCCAACCCCTTGCCCTGGGTGGATAATCATTTCTTTCAGTCTCTTAAACCATTGCCGCAAGGAACTTGGCATCAGACTTCCCTCAAATAACCGAGAATTCGTGGTAATGCAGCTTCACCTGCTTTGAACCCAGAAATCCTGCTAGCATTCCAGCTCCTGTACTTTCTCACCCACTCTTTTCTGCTTATCTGGAGCTGCAGGCTGATGCAGAGCTGTGATAAGCGGCATTTATAAACTGAAATCGTGGATTTCTTCTGAAATATATCATCAACATCTTTAGCAGGAAAGAGAGAGATTTTGTGCAAAGCATGTTTGTTGAGACCATTAAGTGCATATATAATTTCCTCAGTCCCCATTTGTCTATATATGGACACACACACACTCACACCCCTGCCCTTTAGAAGAACCTTGACATCCGTCAATCAATAGAAATTTCATAATCTCAGCACTATCACAATTCCCTTTACCTCTGTTCCCTCCCGTGTCTCTTTCCCCCTCTTATCTCATTGCTGGGGCCGCTGTATATCTGGATCCCTCTGTATATAATTTTTTCCACCCTCACTGCCAAAGTCTCACCCCTTTAGCTCATTCAGAATTCTTGCTTTATGGTATATTGCCTTTATTTCATACTAATTCACACTCTGATTTGAAAGGTGGCTGCGGTGACTAGTCGTGGAATAGGAAACTGGAGCGATTCTAAATCCATTACCACCATAAAAGGAAAAGGTAAATGATTCCAGCATTTGCAGCTTTAGAGAAGATAGAAACCCTTTGGAAATAACTTTCAGTATGACTGTAAAATGGAGAAGCATAGATTAGAAAACTTCACACAACTTCCTTACCCCCCAGACACGCACATTTCTGGGTGTCTCCTGGGTGCTGTAGATACAAAGTCTTTTTGGGTGACTGTTGAATGTACTCCACCTCCTAGAATTGAGCATTTCTTATAATGCAGATATCCAAAGGATTTCCAAAGGCCATTGTGCTCACCCTTCATGATCATGCATAATATCCAAAATAGAAGGAGTCTCTCCTCCTTATTAAAGATAAAGATGATCTTGTCTGTGTTCATTTATGGTGTTTTTGAGAGAGTACCATGCTGATGCTTGTTACTTCTCCCGGTGGCACTGGTAAATGATGTATAGGTGGGTTTTCTAGCACTGGAGCTGGTATTGGTGACAGCTGATTGCTCGCCAAGGACTGGGCACTCTGGAGCGCTCACTGCTTTGCATACATCAGCTCATCTCATTGAACCCTTAGAACAGCTATCAGAACAGATAAGGAACTAGAAAGAGGTTATGTCCCGTGCCACACCATCAGTAAGTGACAGAGCTGAGATTGGAACCTGATCCACCTGACTCTAAAGCCTATGTCCTTAACGCCTGTGCTACACTGCTTCCCTCTGGGCTGAGACACGTGTGACCCACTGGGTCGCCCTGATTGCCGCGTGGCTGGCTCGTCCTCTTGCATGTGTGCCTCACAAGGGCAGAGAGCTGTTCTGGTTTCCTCCACTCTATCACTGGCCTCAAGTAGGAACCAATGGGATAGTTGATGAATGAGTGAATTGAGGCAATGAAAATGAAGGCTTTGGCACACTTTGGGAGACGGAGCACAATTCGTCTGCCTGAATGGGTTTCCTGATCTTGGCCTTGGCACTTGGGGCTTTCGTTTCTGGACTTGGGGGTAGTAAAGCCAGAACTGTTGCATGGAACGTTTGGGGGATTTGACTTCACCCTGAGCCTGTGAGAAATAGGCTCTGGGTCATGGAGAGGCACTCTCTGATTACCTTTAAAATTTGGGGTCATTGAGATCAGGGCAGGAGGCAGCCAGACTTAGTGAAACCAGCCAGTCTTTGGAGCAGGGGGCTTGTGGGTATCAGAAAAAGTGTGCTGAAATCACACCACCCTAGAGTTTTTATTGTGTTATCATTTCCCTCTACAAAATCAGGGTGAAAATATAGTGACTGTGCATACTGAAAAGAGGGGACTTGGGATGGTCAACAAAAAACATGGACCTTGAATTCCCAGGCACAAGTCACACTTGCATTAGAAAATCTCAGTGGGTGGTTACTTAAACTTCTTTTATGTGATTTTGATAAATCTCAGCTCCTTGCATGGGTTTTGGTTAGGGTATGTACAGAGGCAACTGGGTGCCGACTCAGGAAGTATTTGTTTAAAATATCTGTGACCTTGGATCGTAACAATACAAGAAGATGAAGGACAAAAACAGCAGTGGCGTCAGCCAGAAGCACCAAATTAATTAGTGAATGTAGTGGGTTAATAACAACAATGAGAAAAGCCGTTTATCGAGGACTTCTGGTGTTCTAAGCACCGTGTTTATTGTTCTACCTGAATTGATCTCGTTTAATCCTTATCAATCCTGTAAGTATCCTTATGCTCATCCTGTAGCCAAGGAAATTAGAGTTTGGAGAGGATTGTGACCTGTCGCCAGTCACGTGCTTATAATTCAGGTGGGCTCTGCAGCAGCACCCGCTCTGTTTTGCTCTGAGTTGGCTCCCTGAAACGCCCAAAATCCTTCCTTCTAGTTACTGCATTTTTCTCAAGCCCACTTCTGTTACATAAAAGTTGATCATCTGGAGGGACTCCTCCATATTTTGACATGTCTTTTTCGCCACCAGATCTATCCACTCCTTTGAGTCTCCCTTGCCTTGCCTCTGTAAGAGGTACATGTGCTGAGAGTCTACTATACAAGTTGTCATTTAAATATTATCTTCTGATAGTGTTTAGCCTGTGGAGCCTTTTAGATTACTCCTGTGAGCACTGTCAGCTTTCTTGGGGGCAGACCTTCAAGGTGACAAGCACGACGCCATCACTTGAACTAGAGGGGTCTTTTCTCTGCTACTCTCTCCTTGGCCCCTCAGCGTTCAGCTTGGGCTCTGTTCTTTTTGAGAATGCCCATGGCCTTACTAGTTCTTTAATCCATCATGGGTGGGACTTCATTGGAAAGGGAGAGAAAGGGAACATTAGCTCAGTGCTAGGCACTTGACATACATTATTTTGGTGACTTTTCCCACCTCTGTGAAGTGTAGATAATATCTCCAGGCTTAATGAGGATCAGTAACTTGCTTCAGGTTACACAGCTGTTACGTGTCTGAACAGGAATTTGAACTCAAGTTTGCCAGACTCCAGAGGCCACGTTCTTTCCGTTTTACCACATGCACATTTACAATTTATGACTTACGATTTATCCTGTTGTCGACCTTCAAAAAGGACTTGAGGCCACTGGGATTTTGTTGGTGCCAATAAAGGTGGCAGTCACTGTGATCCCTGCAGAGTTCAGAACCAGGCTGAAGCTGGGCTGTTGGGGCATTTACATCATGGAACTTTTCTCCCCAGCCTACTTGCCAGGGTAGCTGACAGAGCCAAGATAGTTACGTGTTCACTAGGCAACTCTGGACCCACCTCAGCTTCAGGACAGCAGTGGTAAAAGAGCGGGACCAGTGACAATAGCCCAAGAAATGCCCTTTCTTCCCCAACTGAAAGATGGCTTTGTCTGTGGAGTTGACAACTGTGAAGTCCTGCCTTCCTCACTTTTCATCACGAGGTTTCTCTTTTTGACTTCCTTTTTGTTTTCAGTGATCCCACCACCAGATATCCACATTGACAGCTATAGTGAGAATTCTCTAAGCTTTACCCTGACCATGGATAATGACATCAAGGTAATGTTGAAATTTCAAACTCGCATTGGGGTGGGGTGTTACTTTGTACGGGAACCGATACAGCAGAGTACAGTAGGATTAAGAAAAACGAGTGACTTGATCCAGTGAAGCTACAAGACCACAACTAGGTTGGTCCCTCCCCCCTTGAAGAACAACTTGAGTCTTCACGTGTAATTATTCTGCCTCAGCCTAGTGCCTTTTTTTTTAACCGTATAATTAAATGGTTCACAGCTACAGTGCAAATAAAGAGTTGGTGTTAACAGAATATGTATGCCCTGTAATTTTCAGCTTTATTGGATTTCCTGGTGCTGAGCGCTAATGCAGAGATTCCCACAGTGGAAGAGAGAGTCTTGTGAGAGTCAGATACCTTGGAAACATTCCATTTAGATCCACCCCATATCCTCCTCTTCCAGCACCACTGTCCTCTCCACTTGGCCCATCTGCATAGCCAACTTCACCATAGTTACCTGTGTCCCCGTGGTTTCTCAAGTTGAGATCCACCTCCCATAGTGTTCTTCTTGTCTTTTCCTCCTCACATCCCTCCCTGTCTGTGAAGTTGTGGCGGGACAAACAGCCGTCAGAGTGCTGGTGCCATTTACTGAACTACAATTTGGTGTCATGCCCTTGGCTTCAGAGACAGTTGATGCAAGAAATGGCCTTATGTGGACCTTGACTATATAGTCTTTGGTCTTGAAAACATTTTTATTTTGTTTGTTGTCCCATATTTAAAGATCTTTAGATCAAATCCTTCTGTGAGCTCAGGACTTGGTAAAGGTAGTCTTTCTTGATGCATGGATATATTTGCTCCTGTTAGACGGTGAGATCTAACCAAGCCTCCTTTGTGTTGACCTCATGGCCTTGACTGCAACGACCACCTGAGCTAAGATTTATCCTTAATTACCATAACCTCTTTATCTTTTCGATTTTTCCTCTTTCAGCCTTTATTAATTGGTTCTTGTCCTTTTATACTGCATTAATTTTTTTGTTTCCTTGAATCTGCATTTTATATTATAAATGGTCTCATGTTTATTTTTAGAAGTAGGTGGAGTGTAACAATGATAGCACAAATGGAACTAGTTTAAGATCAAAAGAAACAACCTGTCTGTTATAAGAAATGAGATACCCAAAGAAACAGTAGAAAAGGGGGTGCCTTTTGTGTTTGGTGTGCCCTATGACTGTGTACTGTTTGTGTAACATGTTTCTTGGTTCTTGGCAGGTGAATGGCTATGTGGTGAACCTTTTCTGGGCATTTGACACCCACGCACAGGAGAAGAGAACATTGAACTTCCGAGGGACCATGTTGTCACACAAAGGTAACACCTTGGAGCTAGTTGGTGTGTGAGCAGGAAGGAGTGAGGCTGCACCGATGCTGTCCTGGCAGTAGAGCTTGTGGAGGGTGCCTGGGAAAGGTGGGGGGGTCTTCTGGCTGCCATTCTGGGTGGGCAGAATGAGGATACTATAAATGACTACTGAGTCCATGTGAGGGATCCATTTGGTGGTTCCTCAGTCCCCTTGTAACCTGATGGCTCTGAATGGAAGTTGGAGGCTTATAAGGAGGAATAACTGAAAAGTAGCCAGAGTAACCCTCTACAGATGATTTTTGAGTTCCAAAAGAAAAAGTTCCTAGATTTAGTCACCTGTCTCTTTTTTCTGGCCTGGTTCACTCCTCCTTTGCTAGTATGAGGTGGCACGGGGCTGGTGCATAATTGGTGTTTAGTAAATATTTGTTGAATGAGTGGACAAACAAACTGAGCAAAGGAAGGAAGTGATCCCGTCCCTCTTCTCTGTGCAAATAGTGAGTCTAATGAAAATTCTCGTATCTGAAAATGGGCTAAAGGAAGGATTATAATTTATTTCCAAGACAAAACCTTCAGTGGCAAAGGCTTCCTTTGAATGTTGAGAATGACACGGGAGCTTCTTCCTTTCCTCTTCTAGCCTGTTTGCAAAGTATTTTCATCATGTTTTATTCCTAACAGGTGTTCTGTTGTTATCTTTTTTTCTGGAAACCGAATGTTGCCCAAGGAGGTTGCGCAAGAGTAAAAAGAACATTGAGCACTTCCTGTGTGCAGGCAATTTACCCTGGCACTCTGTGTGTGTTGTTTGCATAACCTCAATAATAGTTCTGTGGAATATGCTCATGTTACGGGTGAGAAAACGAGGTTCAGAGATTAAATAATTCTCTCAGGAGGTGGCAGAACCAGAATTGGAACCTACATCTTTCTACTTCCAAAGGCTGTGATCTCATTGCCTCTACATCGCACCAACAGAACTTGGCAGAGTCAGGAACAAAAGTCTTATTAGCTGTTGCCTGACATGTATTAAGGGCAAGCTCAATGCCAGGCATCCCGCCAAGCACTTTACGAGCATTTTCTTTTTCAATCCCTGCAACAGCCAGCCGCTGTAAGTGCTGTTGTTTTTCTCCATCTTACAAAGAAGGAGATAGACTTGGAGAGTTTGAATTGTCTATCCCAGGTTATATAGCTACAAACGGTAGCGTGAGGCCTGGAACCCAAGTCCTTCTGACTACCAATCCTATGTTAGGCACAAATTGGTGATTTATCTTGTCTGGAATCGTATAGCCACTAAGTGGATAACAGAGATGAGAACCCAAGTCCTTCTGACTCCAAAGGCTGTCCTTTTAGCAGATCGTCGTTTATTCTCTGCTCTTAGTTTTTAATAAGATTTCCCCTAATTAGAAAGGGAACACTTGTTTGTTATAGGAAATTTAGAAAACAAAAAAGGTATAATGAAAATTTTAAATTTCCTATACTTTCATCTCCCAGGGACCCCTTTTACATTTGGATTTCTCCTAAGTTAGTATTTTTTCTCTTCATTGATTTCTTTATGTCTTTTTTATAAAATATGGATAATACTATATATAGTTTTGTGTCCTCCTTTTTTCACCTAACATAAAATTGTGAGGATTTTCTAGTCTCATAAAATTCTTGGAAACAACTTTTAGTGGCTGCATAGTAGTTTATGTAATGCACATGAAGTTCATGGAAGGCACATTATTTAACTATTACCCTGTCACTGGACGATCAGATTATGTACAGTTTTTTCCACTATAACAAACACTATGATGGATATCCTTGTTACATAAATTTTTGAGTCCCTCTCTTGACTTCCTGGAGTAACTGGATTGAAGGTTATGAGGAATTTCAAGACTCATACGCAAGGCCAAATGACTTTCCAGGAGTGTTGTACCAATTTATATCCCTAGATGATCAGCTTTAAAAGAAATTACCTGGTGCCCATGCAGTGTGTTACTTATAGTAGTCATCAATAAATGACACTGAATGAATTTGTAAAATAATAAAAATCCTACAACGTGTGGGACTCACTTAAATTGAGGGATTACATTAAAAAAAATTGGATGTGTATATCAGAACACGAATTCTTGACTGACATCCCCAGCTCCCTCATAGCGCCTCCTTATCCCTGTTTCCACAGTTGGCAATCTGACAGCTCATACGGCCTATGAGATTTCTGCCTGGGCCAAAACCGACTTGGGGGATAGTCCTCTGGCATTTGAGCATGTCATGACCAAAGGGGTCCGCCCACCCACTCCTAGCCTCAAAGCAAAGGCCGTCAATCAGACTGCAGTGGAATGCACCTGGACTGGCCCCAGGAATGTGGTAAGTCAGCCAGGATGATCACCACAGAGCGAGGATGGAATCCCCCCTGATCCTAGGCCACTGGACAGCCCCAGGGCTTTCTCCTCTGTTGCTGCTTCCTCCTTTCTCACCCCAAACACAAGCTACCCTCTTGGTCGGTTGTGGATTACCTTCAAGAGGCACCTGACATCCTAGCCCCAGCATCCCTCTTCACCCTAGCCTGGCATCTGAGAGAAAGTGCCCCGTGCCGTTTGCTGTCAAATAGACCGTGAGTGTGAAGAGGGTGGCATATTCCAGTGCTCCGGGACTCACCTTGGGTTCTGAGCTTGGTGAGAAGTCAGCAGCAGTGACAATGAGTACTGCATCTAAGTACCTTGTCCCCAGCTCCTGCAGCCCTTCTCCACTTGCCGTGATCCCCTCTGTGCACAGGTTGCCTTATGGGACCAGTTCTCTCAAATGTGCCACCCCCCTGCTCCCACATTCATTGCAGTGTCTCTGCTGCACTTATCCTGGTCTTTCTTTTTCTTTTGATTCACTGTGATTAGATTCGTGCTTCTTTTTGAGTCTGGTGTTTTATTTCCCATCCCTTTTCAGTGTGTATCTGCCTTTGCTTTTAGGTCAGCCTTCCCGAGGTTCTTGGCACATTCCATCCCCCTCCTGCCTCTGTACCTTGGCTTATGCTCTTTCCCTTCCCTAGAGTCCTTCCCTGCTTCTGCTGTGCAATCAAATTCAACTCTTCTTTTATTTTATCTATTTCCCTTTGAACTCCTGAAATATTTGTAGTTGGTGCCATACAGCATAATGTTTCATTAGACACAGCTTTGTCCTATTTGATATCTTCTGTCTATTACTCTTATCTGGCTGGTATGTAAGTTTCTTGAAGGGAAGGATTGTTTTCTGGGGTTTCCAAGTGGAAAAGCGTATAGAACTAAATGTATAACTGGAGCTTAGTGGATCCTCAGTGACTGATGAGGGAGGAGCTGGCCTGAGTCTTATCTTCTGAGGATATCTCCAGCATGAATTTGGTACAGGACTGATTCATAAGGAAAAACCAAGGTTTGCAGGTGCTTGTGTGTAAGATTGGCAGCGAAGAAGGAAGGAGAAGTAAGATTTACTGAGTACCCACTGCGTGCAGGCACAATGCAAAATGCTTTGTACACATGCTCCCATTTAATCCTTTCATCAGCTCTGTGAGGTAAACATTCCCACTTGACCAATAAGGAAACTAAGGCTCAGAGAGGTGAAGTAACTTGCCGAAGTTGAAGCTCTAGTGAGCAGTAGACTGAGTGTGAGCTCAGGTCTGGCTAATTTAACAGCCTCTGCTCTTTTGTGGTTCCAGAACCTGATTCTGAGGCAGGGATGGAGATGAGGATGCCCAGAGCCCTCCCCAGGATCCCTTTCACCTCGAAATAGACTCTACTCACACAGGAACCTTTCTCTCCGTTTATACACCCAACTGAGGGCGTGACCACCATGTCACACCCAGCTGTCTTCACAGAGTAGGGTGTGATGTACAGAACACTGGGACATTGCTTGATTTCAGGGTATCTAACTAACTGCCTGTGACCTTAGAGAAGTAGCCTTGCTTGGCCTCATCCTGGCTGATAGACTGGTTACAGCCATCGAAGCTTTCAGAGGGTGAGAGATCAGTGCAATCACCACAGGAGGCTTCCACCTGTCTGTAGTTCACTGAGAACTCTCCATCTCACTTGTGGTTATCCTCTCCACCGTGGGAACTGCCACGGCCACCGTCCATGAGGGGCCCTTCTTACACCCTGGCTCCCTTGGCTCATGGCCCCCTTCCTGGCCCCTGGCCGGAGCCACTCCTCCCTGTGGCGGACCCTCAGTGAGATCAGGCCTGCTTCTGAGCTCTGAGTCCCCACTCTGGCTGCATTGCCTCGTCTCATGCTTTGAGCTCCCTTAGCCCCCTATTCCTGCTCCATTCGCATTTGCTTTCCAATCCTTTCGAGTCCCCTAATTTTGTTTTTCCTCACCTCCTCCCAGTTTATCAACCCCTCGGGGCTTCCATTCCCCTTTCCTGTCCATGCTCTCCCCTGCCGAGTCCTGGCTGCTGAGCAGTGTTTTAGAGAAAAACGTACGGTTGTCTGGGACTCGGAAATCCCTTTGCAGATCCTTGATCAGTTCCCTCCATTCCCACGACTTCTCCAGACTTGTGCACCTTTCTTCAAGGCCCCTGTCTTACCTGCACATTGCTCTCGGAGCAAATCCTCTTTGATTCTGCCTTACAAAGGAAGCTTCCTCAGCACTTACCCTCCCATTACAAACTCTCCCAGCTTCCACCCTCCCTGCTACAAGCGCCATCAAATTCCCACTTCACTGCTTTCAACTTCCTCAGTTTCCCGTGTGTATCAGTTAGGGTCAAGAATGGCTGCATATAAAGGAACTGAGAGTAACGTTGGCTTTAAACGGTTTATTTCCCTCCCAGTTAAGAGAAGGTTGGAGTTCAGCAGTCCAGGGCTTCTATGGCAGCAGCGTGGTTTGATCCAGGACTCAGGCCCTGCCACCTCCACCCTGTGGCCTCCATCTTCAAGGTCACCTCATGGTCCCAGAGGCGTCCTGGAGCCACCCCATCATCTGTATTCCAGGCAGCAGGAGGGCAGGAAGAAGGGCTCGTTCCTCTATTTGAATGAGCCCTCACAGAGGTCCCACCTGATACTTCTGCTTACATCTCATTGGCCAAAACTTTTTCATGTGGCCTCTCTTAGCTTTGAGGGAGGTGATAAGTGTAGACTTTTTTCCAGGTAGTAATTCTCACTAAGAACCAGGATTCTTCTAAGGAGGAAAGGAAGGATGAATGTCTTCTGGGCAGCTACCACTGTCTGCCCTGCTGCCTGCCATCCACACGCTTCCTCCACAAACTCACATAGCTTCCTACCCCACCCAGCACATCCACTCAGCTCCCCGTATCCGTGCTTCACACTGAGAGAGTGCCACCCCCTCTCTGGGAACCCCTCGCTTTTTCCTGGCTCATCATGCAGTCTTTTAGTATAGCATCTAACGTTCTATATTTGCAACTTGTTATTGATAATCCTGTCTGTTTTTCTTCTCTGCCCATCTCTCCTCAAAAATGAGCTCTTTGAGGACAGAGACCACATCATATTTATCTTTGTAGGTGTGAATCCAGTGCCCGGCCCAATGTGCCTTCTCTGTAAATACTGATGAAATAAATGTTGAATGAAGACTTCTCTCTGAGCTTGTTTGAAGTGGTTCCCAGGGTCTTAAATTAGGGATTTCAAGAGAATGAGGACACTGGCCACTGAGCTGACATGCTTTTCCGTTCTCTCTTTTGCAGGTTTATGGTATTTTCTATGCTACGTCCTTTCTTGACCTCTACCGCAATCCAAAGAGCTTGACCACTTCGCTCCACAACACGACAGTCATTGTCAGTGGGGATGAGCAGTATTTGTTTCTGGTGAGTTTCCCATACCAAAGAGTCCAGAAGAGTTTCCATTTTGTAAGGATGTCTTAATTCCTGGGCTCCTAGCTCAGAGCCAGGACCTGGGGAGCTGGAGGCGTGGATTCCAGGGTCTGTGTGTGTGATGAGAGGATAGTTCCTCTTCTCCACAAGCATCAAGTTCTTGCTTGAAACACAGAATGAACAGCCACTTAACCAACTGCAGCTCCATTGTGGGGGATTGAGAACTTGGCAGATGGGTCACAGGAATAGATAAAAAGCTTTTGTCAGATTCTACATTCTAAATTCCTGAATTCTAAGAATGTAGCCTACATGCTTTTATATGTGTGCTGAGATATAGGGAAAAAGATGTTTGGTGTACTGTTGCTTGTGATAGCAAAAGATTTGAAACAAGTGTCTATCAGGAGAAGACTAGTTAAAAATATTATGTTTTATCCTTGGAATGGAATAAAAAGGCAACCATCCAAAAGAAATATAACAACTCTAAATGTACTGATATGGAAAAATATCTAAACTGTATTATTAAGTGAAAGAAGTGAAGAGCATAATATATGTAAAGTTTTCTCATTTGTGTAAAAATAATTAAGAAAAATAGGCTACACATACACACATGCATATGTACATGCATACATGAGTATGTATCTATACACACACACACGTATGTTTGTGCTTATATGGTTGTCTCCCCTTATCCACGGGGGATATGTTCCAAGACCCCCAGTGGATGCCTGAAACCATGAACAGTACTGCACCATATATAGACTATGTTTTCTCCTATACATACATACCTATGATAAAGTATAATTTATAAATTAGGGACAGTAAGAGATTAACAGCAATAATTTCTCTTTGGCATATCTGAATTGCCAGCATCACTACTCTTGCACTTTGGGGCCATTATTAAGTAAAGTAAGGCTTCCTTGAACACAAGCACTGCGATATCATGACAATCGATCTGATAACCGAGACTGCTACTGACTAATGGACAGGTAGCGGATACAGCGTGGATACGCTGGACAAAGAGTCAGATCCTGGGCAGGATGGAGCAGGACGGTGCGAAATTTCATCATGCCACTCAGAATGATGCTAAATTTAAAATTTATAAATTGTTTATTTCTGGAATTTTCCATTTAATATTTTCAAACTGAAACCGGAAAGTGAAACCACAGATAAGGAAAGACTACTGTATGTGCATAGGACATTCCTGGAAGGAAGCACATAAAACCATTACCAGTGATACCTATGGGAAAATGTTTTAGAGATCTGTCAGATGGGGAATTATTTTGCATTTTATATCTTTTTGTACTGATTGAACTTTGTGTATGTGTGTCACTATTTTGTTGAAAAAATGGTTTAGTGAAGAATGCAGGAGTCCATGTGGTATCTGTTTCAGGTGCGGGTGGTGGTGCCCTACCAAGGGCCGTCCTCTGACTATGTTGTGGTGAAGATGATCCCGGACAGCAGGCTTCCGCCCCGTCACCTGCATGCTGTTCATGTCACTAAAACCTCAGCTGTCCTCAAGTGGGAGTCCCCATATGATTCTCCTGACCAGGACTTGGTGAGCGAGCCAGGCATCCAGGCAGCCTGGCTTATTCTTGGCATGGTTTGGGAGGAGGGAGAGGGTCCTGTAATTGGGCAAGAAACATGGGCCTGGTGGTTGGAGCTCAGCAGGAGGTCTCTCCCCCATTTCTCTCTGGCCAAAGACGGGGTCCTTATAGGTGCCTCTTCTTAGTTGTCATTTCTCCATTATTCCCGGCTGCCATATTGGTTTGTCCCTCCTCCTCTGCCTTCTCACATTCCCTTCACCGAAGCTCTAAAATCGGTTGAAACACAAAGGCCTACAGGCCAAATCCAGCCCATTGCTTGTTTTTATAAATAAAGTTTTATTAGAACCAAGCTGTACCCATTCATTTACATATTATCTATGGCTGCTTTCATGCTACAAATGGCAGAGTTCAGTAGTTGTGGTAGAGACCATCTGGCCTTCAAAGCCTAAAATATTTACTGTCTGAACCTTTACAGAAAAGTTCATTGGCCCTTACTCTAGAAGAAAAGGCATTGATTCTAGAAAAAGTGCCCTTTTCCCTTGCCCCAGGCTGGTTTTACCTCCATCTCCTCTGCCTTCTCCCCCTTCCCAGGGGTGGGTGGTTTGGAATGCTTGGTTGCTAAGATTCTTCTTGACTCTCAGCTTCTTCCTTTTGGTTGAATTTCCCATACTTACTACCTGGCCCTTTATTTTCCCCTTGTCCCCATATATGTAAGAAGCAACCTGAGAGAGAATAAGTAGAACTTTTTGTCCTGTAGAGCTAGAATTAAACACTTTGATTCATTCTCTCTCCTCTGAAAACATCCTGAAACTGTTACAGTGGTGGAGATTCAGAAGTTGAACACTGAATTTGGATTTTTCTTACCTGTTCAGTCTACCTGCTGACGCCATGATAAATGTGGCTTTCCCTAGAGTTGTTTTTTGGATCGAATTGGTAATTCTGTGCACAATTTTGGGAGTGAATACTTGCTATAATGTTGGACCTGGCCACCCCAAAGTCTTTCCAAAGAACAGAGTCAGACTGCGGGGCTCAAAATGTTGTTGCTTTGGGTCGCGGCCACTGATACACTTAATGTTACATTGTCTGCCTTCGAACTACAAAGAGTAAAAAATGCCAAATTTCTGATTACGATTAAGATGTCTTTTTCTTGTCCCAGTTATATGCAATTACAGTGAAAGATCTAATTAGAAAAAGCGACAGGAGTTACAAAGTGAGATCCCACAACAGCACTGTGGAATACACCCTTAACAAGTTGGAACCTGGAGGGAAATACCATGTCATTGTCCAACTGGGGAACATGAGCAAAGATACCAATATAAAAATTACCACAGGTAAGCAGGAGAGAGGTTAGAGGCCTTCTCTCACAGTGAGGCACCCCCAGTACTTCCAGGACACCTCTGGACGTGGAATTTCTATCAGGAATTGCACAGGAAGTGCAGACCCCACCCTTTGGTATCCACACTGGGGCAGAGCAGTGCAGGGGTTCCAGCATCTGGGCTACGGTGTGGTGGCCAGGGCACCGTGGGCTGGGGAGGGGCTGTCATTTTGCATATTTCTGTCTCTTTTGGTCTTCTCTCCCCTAGCTGGTTTTGACATTTCTAGAGAGAAGAGGAGGAATGCCCAGGAGAGTTAGGGAATAAAACTGAGTATTTGCCACTAAAGCGTTGTATCTGGGGACCTGAACTGAAGTCTCAGTGGTTCCTTGTGGCAATATGACATGTAGAAGTGGAGGGAGACCAATAGCTGGGCAGTAAATTAGAGGGGGACTCACTGCCAGTCCCAGGTTGGCTTGGCAGTCGGGCTCAAGTTCAGAAAGCAGGTAAGAAGCTCAGGTATTGGAACAGCAGCAGATGGTGTCAGGAGTGTCATTAATGGAGGCTCAGCCCCCTTAGGCTGACAGTGTGAGCAGTGGGCCTCGGCCATACTCTGTGGTCACCCCAGGGCTCTGTCTTCATGCCAAGCTCTCTGGCCCCTCACTGAGCTCAAAGGCACCTCGGGCTCCAGCGATGGGACTAAGTTGAGCAGGAAAGTGACTGGAACCAGAGCAGAAGTCCAGGCAGGCTTTGAAACCGTGGTCCCATCCATCCCATCCCTTCCTCCCCCAACCCCATTTGTTTTTGGCCATCCTTGGGTCGCAGGGCTACTAAATTAGATACTGTCCAAATTTTTTGGCTAAACATATTATAACAACAACAAAAGAGATGCCAGTTAAAGAGTATCTACCACGTGCTAGGCTCTATACTAAGCAGTGTTTGTGTTTTATTTCTTCCTTAACCTAGCCCCTCAAGGTTAAGATTATTTAATCTCCCATTGACAGACAAGAAAACAGAGATGGAAATGTATAGCCACTGACTGCATCCTATTTCATCTTTAATTTTCAGTTTCATTATCAGCACCTGATGCCTTAAAAATCATAACAGAAAATGACCACGTTCTTCTGTTTTGGAAGAGTCTAGCTTTGAAGGAAAAGCAATTCAATGAAAGCAGGGTGAGTTCCTCCCCTCCTCCTCAATGACTTTGGAAATCTAATTGAAATGCTATTTTAGAGATGAGCTCGTTAACAGCATGCTACCATAGATAGAGTAAAAAGAAAGAATAGGGCAAGGGAGTGAACTTGAGAATTAAAGGCCCATTTTCTGTGGGATTGCTAATTAGTGAAATGCTTATACTGCCCATTAAAGATGAGAATCTCTGCACTAAGCACTTTTCAATCCTGAACTTGTCTTCCCCTGAAAGACAGGGAGATGGGCTGGCGCCCTCACTGTGCCTCCTGAAGCTGGACTGGGGCTCAGCATCGGAACCAAGGGCCCCATCCTTCCTGAACAATCTGAGGGCAGGGCTGTGGCTTTAGTCCCGGGGAGCTGCAGCGTGGCATCTTGTCAGTTTCTTTCCAGTGAAATTCAAGGGAGCAAGAAGTACTTGAGCATGGCCTGTTGACATATGAAAAACACTTGTTTTGTTTTGTTTTGTTTTGTTATTGGCAGACCCATTATTGTATTCACAACAGGAAATAGGAGGAGGAGAGCAACACCTGGGAATAGACTTGCCACCCAAGGGGGGACAGGTTCTTGAGTGGAGCTGGATTGGGCCCATTGTCAGCAAAGCGTGAGCTAAATAGAGACCCAGTAAATCAGCTGCACTCCCTCGAGGTATAGTTGGTGAAGAGCCATAGTGTTCTGAATCGTCACAGTGCCATGCCAGAAGGAAAGCTAAATTAAAATTAGAAAAGTCTCACAACTCTGACATACATGGTTAATATACTTAAATATAAAGAAAGCTTTCAAAACAGAAATATTCTAATTTTGAAAAAGGTACAAGTAACAAAGTGAAAAATTCCAGCAGCAGTAAGCGAAAGAAGAAAAGGTTCAACCTCACTAGTAACCTAAACAGCAAAGATATGGCACTTCCACATTAAATTGGCAAAGTTTGGGGGGAAGAGTATTACTGTTGGGTAATAGTTGGGGAGATTAGCACTCCGGGAATATGAATTGGTTCAACCTTCTGCTGGGCGCTTTGGTAATATGTATCAAAAACATTAAAAGTGTTCCCACCCTTTGACCCAAGCAGTTATTTTAGGATTTTACTCTAAGGAAACAGTGTGCATGAGGAATTTATGTACAAGGCTGTTCAGGGCAGTTTTAGTTATGATAGCAAGAAAAAGGAAGCAACCTAAATGCCCAGCAGAAGAGGATTGGTTAAGCAAATTCTGGGTGGTTGATGTTTGTGTCATTTAAATTTTTTCTTTATACCTTTATGTATTTTGCAAATGTTCTACAGTGAATATATATTAGATAGAAAATAATAAATGCTAGATTATAAAGAAGAAAGCAGGAATGGGATTCCAGGCAGGTGGTATTGAGAGACCCAGTTCAGCAGCCAGTTGTCATCAGGGGATCCTTCCTGAGTGGCAGAAGCCCAGCTTCTAGGTTGGGGTTGCAAGTCAGTATTCCCTTCCCAGTGGAGGGTCCTGGCATAAGCATGGCATGTCCTGCTTCCCTTCCCTGACTGAGAGTTCAGACAATGGTCAGGTCAATGGAATGGGGACTAAGAGACCTGAGTATGCAGTGGGGCCCATTACGTGGAGCGAGATAAGAGATGAGATCTTTTTGTGGTGGTAGTGTTGGTAGCTTTGACACTGGAACACTCAGAGATCAGTGGAGGATCACAGCCAGCATGGTGTGTCAGGGCTGTCCCAAGAGTGACTTTCCAGCACAGGAGTCCAGGACTCTTCCTGTGCCGGTCTAAGTAGGAAGCTTATTTCATACTCTCCTCCAGTGAACAGGGGCCTGAGCCTTCCAGAGCGCCTCTTATTTCAAGGCCAGGCTGGTCTGGGGCTATAATCAGCTTAGAAAACAGGAGATAGGGAGTGAGCTGTGGGCTGACAATGGAGTCCCTACACACTGTCTCTAAAGAGAAATGTCCTGTCTTTTCTAATGCAAGTTCCTTTTTCTTAACCCATTGCTCGAGTCCACTGCGACCTGGATTTGTTATTAGTCAAATTCTGTTACAGCCAGCTATCGCTGAATTGTCCAGATTCTTTGTGGCATTTAATATTGTTTGAGACAAGTGGACTGCTAGCCAGAACTTTGAATGTGTACCGGAATATTTGTTAAAATGGCTTTTCTTAGGGTTACACTTTTCAAAACTTCCACTGTGCAGCCCGTAAGTGGGTGTGGTAGTGATTTGAAACATTTGGGATGGGAAAATTCACATTTTCTGAATCCAGTATCTCAGTGGTAATGTAAAAAGAACTAGTAAGAAACCAAAATGCTTTAGCATCTATAAAAGCCTGCAGTAAGGAGCTCACTTGAAGTTGGAACCAGTAATAGAAGCTGTCAGATTCCTTATTTAACTTCCTGAGCAATCTCTCGTGTGTTTGTTTTCAGGGCTACGAGATACACATGTTTGATAGTGTCATGAATATCACAGCTTACCTTGGGAATACTACTGACAATTTCTTTAAAATTTCCAACCTGAAATTGGGTCATAATTACACTTTCACTGTCCAAGCAAGATGCCTTTTTGGCAGCCAGATTTGTGGGGAGCCTGCTGTCCTGCTGTATGATGATTTGGGGTCTGGTAAGTCACTGTTGCTGCTGGTTTCCTTCTTGAGTTCTGGAGAAATATATCAAGGATGTAGCGTGGTTTGATGAATATATGTCTTTCTAGAATGCATTTAAAATATTCTTTCAGTTCAAAATAAAATCACTTACGTATCAATTTAATCAGGCACTGATTTATTTACATATAATTCCTGAGCCAGACGTGGTGTGAGGAGCTGGGGTTACGAGGTGACCATATAAAGCACAAGAAAGGGAAGGCTAAGTGGTTTTGTTTAAAAAGGAGATTCTATTTGGGAAACATGACATTAATAAGAATTTTGTTATTTGTTTTTCGTAGGACTTTTCAGAGCCTCCAATATGCTAATATTCCCTATGATTCTCCAAGTCAGTAGATATCTCCTTGTCATGGAGTAACTCATTTTACAGCTTCCTCTTCATCTGAGCTATCAGCCTCAGATCAGAACCTGCATTTGGCCTGGGATCTCTGTCTTATGGATGCTCACAGATATCAGCGTTGGGCAATGTTGATGGCAGAGGAGAGGAACCTTCCATTTATACAGAAATTCTGCTTAGGTTGTTGTAGCTTGGCCAGGATTTCAACAGATATTTTGCCACTGGTCTTTTTAGTTCTGTTTACTCCCAACGAAGCACTAACCAGTGCTCAAGCCAAAATCATGTGTTAGAGTGGTTGTAAGCTCTGTCGCATCATGCTTCCCAGGGTGTGTTCTGGTGGAATGCTTATCCTTGGCACCTCCCTTAAAGAGGGAAAACTTGCATACCTCATCCCTTTGGAGAATCACAGCATATTAGAAGTTCTGAGAAGGTCCTACAGAAAACAACAAAACTCTTGTGATCCTAATGTTTCCCACATAGAGCCTCCTTTTTAAGTAAAGCCAATTAGCAACCTGTGAAATAGACTTTGGGAAAAACTATTGTGAGGACATCTGCCAGTTGCCTTTGTAAAACCAAGGTGGTCAAGCAGAAGTAATCTCTCAGTTAGACCCCCTTGGTTTTCGGCTTGCCTCTTGATGTTCACCGTCCCCTTGGAAGTGGGGTGGGGGGCAGGAGCTCACTTACTCCTGTCACTTCCACCATGCTGGCTTCCTCTTAACTGCTCCAGCCCAGAGCATTCCCCTAATTTACCACTTCACAGTTGGGCTTAGGTTGGGACACATGAAATAAGATTTTGCTAGAGTTTTTTCCAGTAAGTCAATAATGAAAGAAATTAGTGACATGAATCTTGAATTGTTAGATTAAACTTACAGGAAATGGTTGCCCTCTGGCCCATCTTTATGAGTACCCTGTCGGGATGAATCCCTGGGTAGCTACCAAGCTTTCTCTGTGAGGCAGAGGCCTGGCCCGTACCACCTCACCCTACACCAGGGAGCAGCCTCCAGCCTAGCGAGGTTCCTTATGGAGACTTAGAAAGTCCACTTTGCTTCCTTAGATAAAACTGACTCCCAAGTTCCATTTTCCTGCCTCAGGCTCAGATTTTCTCCAGGATTTCTGGCTTAAAAAGTCTACCCCTTTTAGGAAGCCCGGCCCTAACCCAACAGGGGGATGGCTTTGCCCTAGAGCCTTGTTGGTACAAATCCATCAGTACATCATCAGAAAGCTGGTCTTTGTTTAAGACAGTGGGAAGGAGCCATCAGTGTTAGGTTCTGGACACCTAAATGGCTTTGCAAAGAGCTTTTAAAAAATGTTAAATGTATATAGAAATGTTCCCTCTCTTTCTCTTTTATTTAAGTAAAAAAACCTCATAAAACTTCATGAGCTGTTAAGTCAGTATTGCAGTAAAGGAATCTCGTTTGTATCACTTAATGGAGCTTCAGGTAATTGCAGTTCAGAGTGACTTTGGTGCCAAGTAGGGGGAAATAATTGCAATCTCGTTAATTAGTGGTCTGATTTCACATCCTCTTATGTAAGGCAAGCAAGTGGTCTTAAGTAATAATGCTAATGAAATCAATGTTGATACCCCAACAAAGGTCTCCCTTCCAAGAGATTATCTAAATAACCAACAAGGCAGTGATTAGGAGTCTAATGTAATTACTGTATTTGCATGCACAAGGCCCGTGGTCTATCAGCTCATGGCAAGGAGTCGGGAAGCATTCAGGCGTCACGTGCAGGAACGTGTCACACCAGGCAGACGGTTTGAGTAGCTGTTGCAAACTCCTAGCTCTTTTGCTGGGTAGGGCGTTGAGGAGTTGCCTGGTCCATTCTCCTGCCCTTTACTTAGGATGCTTATGGGTTGGCATCTTGCCTTGGCAGGTGGGGATGCGTCAGCGTTTCAGGCCGCCAGATCTACTGATGTTGCTGCTGTGGTGGTGCCCATCTTGTTCCTGATACTGCTCAGCCTGGGGGTCGGGTTTGCCGTCCTGTACACAAAACATCGGAGGCTGCAGAGCAGCTTCACTGCTTTTGCCAACAGCCACTACAGCTCCAGGCTGGGCTCGGCCATCTTCTCCTCCGGGGATGACCTGGGTAAGTGGGGCAGGGCACGGTGGTTCTTCCTCCCAGGGCAGACTCCCACAAAGCCAGTGACGTGATTAGGAAATACCCACCTTAAGCTCATCTTTTGACCTAGAGGAGTTACTCATTAATCACCAATCCCACTGCTTTGGGTTAAACCATTTGGAGCCCTTTGCTTTGAACTTTCTTCTAAATTAAAATACCAATATTCCCTTCAATAGTGTGGTTCTGGCCTAAGACAGGGAGCAGTATTTTGTGGAAGAACTGGTAGGAGCTTGCCTTGTACAGGAAGGATAGATAGGCTCTGGGCTTTGGATACTTCCAAAGTATTGGCAAATTCTCAAGAATTTCCAACCCCTCTCTTATCCTTCACAGATCTCTGGGGATCCTAGTCAAGATAAAGTCACACTTTCCCAGTTGGCTTCTGTCCCAAGAAACCCTTTCCATCCTGCTGTTTCTGTTTCCAATTGCTAGTGCAGCCTCCCTAGCCATTCTTCCTTTATGTATTGATAACATACAGCATGGGAAAAAGAAGGAAATATCACTTTTATAAGTGTCTGCACACTCAAATTACTAAATGCTAAGAGAGCTAGTAGACCACTTAATATAATAAAGCAGGTGTGTTTTGGGGCCTTCCCCAAACTCAGGCTTCTCCAAACTCAGACTGCTGAGTGTGAGTTTACATATTTGTTTTTTCTGTAAACTAGTTATAATTTTTTTTGTGCATAAAGACATTTAAATATTCCCATTCACTGATTATTGTTATAGCTCTGCTCCCTTTTCTTCACAGTTTTCTTTCTTGCTTTATTACAAGTTCTTGGACTGCCTTGCATGAATGGGGTGGGTTTTTTGCTTCTGTTACTGGGGCCAAAAGGAATTGACTCATTATGGGGGCATCCAATGATCACTGCATGTGGATCAGCACTTAGTTGCACAGGATCGTACCAGCGGCCGTGAGGGAACAGCCGTTAGTCTGGGAAGCTGTCCTTAAAACGTGTAAACCCCTATAAGAGCCTTTTCCTCAGAGCAGTATGGGTTGAAAGGAGAAAACAGACAGCAAAGTTCACTGTGCTGATGTAGGGTGTGGATAACTCAAATTGGGAACCTACACCAACCCTTGGACTTTTGGGTGGGTGATAAGATTCTCCTTCCTAAAAGACTTACTTTCTTATTTGGTTAAGGTCAAGCTACCCATTAAAATAAGCTTGGCCACCCATCAGTGGGGAGAAGGTGACCCAAGAGTGTCAGAGAGAAGCTGGGCTAAGTTTCAGCATCAATTATAGCGGCTGGCTGTGGTGCTGACTTTCCTACCTGGGGCTTCTGATGGGGGCGGGTTAGGGGGTGGCGCAGAGCAGTGGGAGGTGGGGTTGGGCAGAAGTACACTGGAACTCACCAAGGACTGCCTGTTTTACCTTTAGGGGAGGATGATGAAGATGCTCCTATGATAACTGGATTTTCAGACGACGTCCCCATGGTGATAGCCTGAAAGAGCTTTCCTCACTAGAAACCAAATGGTGTAAATATTTTATTTGATAAAGATAGTTGATGGTTTATTTTAAAAGATGCACTTTGAGTTGCAATATGTTATTTTTATATGGGCCAAAAACAAAACAAAAAGAGAAAAAAAGGAAAGAAAAGAATGAATAAACTTTGTAGTAATCAACTGTGAACTTCAAACCAGGTTGATTTTAGTAACCAAATTGCTTTGATTTGATATTAATGTAGTCTTACAGGGCTGTGCTTGCGGGCCGTGCTTTTGAGTCTGTGAGATAATTTTGGTTCACTAAATTGACCATTCTTTTTATTTTTCTAAGACACAGAAATGTATTTAATTAATAAAAACTTCAAGAGAGAGTGATGGGTGGAATCCCTCCTCCTTGAAAGTATGCTCAAAATTTAAATTTTGTTTGGATTTAGTTTGTATGAAAGTGTTTGGCTGTATTATGAGGGAAGGTTCTTTTATGTTATTTTGTTAATTTATTGGGACTCTGTATAAAGGCAAGGCTCAGTGGTCGTCTGACACCACACATGCTATGAGCCCCTTGCCTGTAGGGTTGAGGGGCGGGAAACAGAAGCGATTCTGTTGCCATTCTGGAAACAATCCATTTTTATTCACTTGTGTGTCACATAATGGTATTTGGCAGGAGAGCACATTGAGTCATTGCTCAATTTCAGTTAAACAGAGCTGAAGCCTGAGAAGCCCTGCAAACCACAGCTTTCTCTCTTATATTAATTGATGGCATCTTACTGTATATGCCTCTGTACAAGATGGAGCTTTCAAAGCTGCAAAATGATAGCACTGCTTTATTATACACTGGTGTCATTGTCATTGCAAAAAATTACTCTGGTTGTGGGAGAGAGTTCTAGATCTGTGCCATGATAGATACACTGGCAAAGACAGTACCTAAGTTTTCCTTTTTTGCTTTTGTGTTTTTACTTACCACTGAAGAATCGCGAATGTCAAGTTTTGTATTTGTGTTAAGGTGGCCACTTACTGTCCTGAAAGTCCATACTGATATATGCAGTCATGTTGAATTGGTCAGTGCCTTCTCTTTCTTTGCTTCCGCCCCTTTGCCCGTACCCCTGCCCAGTTTAAAGAGAAAGTGCTTACAGAGATATAGGAGATCTATGAATTTGAGACCATTCAATCCAGTTCACAGTAGCAGGAACACGAGAGTTTATTCTCTCCGTACAATAAGCTGGGCTTCTTTTCTTCTGCCTTTAAATGCCACCCCTGTACTCCAATCATGGCCACTTGATAGGCACGTGGAGTCCATTGTGGACTGATGCCCACCCTTTAGACGTAGTGTTGTAGGCACCAATGTCTGGCATTGTTGTGACTCCTACTGTATGGACCTCACTGCAGGACTTCTTCCCAGCCAAGAAGCAGTGAGCTCTGGGAATATTCCAAAGTCATGCTTCTGCATATGTGTCCTTTATATGCAAGCTTTGTAAACCCCCACCTCCTCCTAGATGTAGTGCATCACCTTCTTACATGTATTTACTTTCTTTTAACCAAAAGTATCCTTCTTGGGTAATAATATAATTTCATTTTACCTAGAGACTGTTTGGAAAACCAAGAGTTTAGTTTAAATTTTTTAGTTTTTAAGTTTTTTATTTATATATATATATTTTGGATGAGGAGTATTTTAAATGGTAGGCATTTAGTATGTCGTGTGGGTAAGGCTCCATTTTATTTTAACAAGTGGTGGTCATGGTAAGCCTCCTCCTAGCACATTTTCTCTTCTTTCCTATCTCTCTCCTTCATTATTTTGTTAAAGACTGGAATTTCTTTGGCTTTATCTTGTCTTACCTTGGAGTTTTATTCAAAACTCTAAGCCCTACCACCTCCCCTTTAATAAGCTCTTAAAGTAGCTGAAAGATTAACAGTCTGGTAGGAGGCAAGTCATTTAATTGAACCACTGGAAAGTATATTTTCTTCTTTTCTTTTCCTGCCAACTTTTTGGTGGCATTTGTAAAAGCTCATATAAAAGGCTCTGAGACTTTATTTTCACTTTTTCCATAGGCAAGCCTTTTTACAGAGCATATGTCTCCACTTGGCAACTTGAGATATTTCTGAGCATCCAGTTCTAGCTCCCAGTGCCTCCCAATGCTTAGTGCACAGTACTGTATAGACCAGCCATCACCCCTCTCCTTGGAAAATGCCACTGTGCTGTTTGAGAAAAAGCAGCCTTTTAGGGCTAGAGTATTTTATATACACAGAAGAGCTAAGTTCCTGAAGACTAAGCTAGATAGATGCAGCTATGTGTAAATTGTATATTTTTATGAACTTTTGAAGCACGCACTCTTACTTCCCTCCGCATAGCTTTGTGGGGTTTTGATGTATATGTGCCGTCTGCAAGAGTCCAGAGGCTGGGGAGACAATAGGAAGTGAAAGCAAAAACTACCTGCAGCCTTTGAAGGTGACCAGATAATTGTCTTCACTGTGAACAATTGGAGCCCCTGGTTGTTTTTGAAGAAGGGGCTTTTGTGTCTCTTTGGAGATGCCACCTCAAAAGTTCACACTGTACAGGGAAAAAGTTTTATTCTCTCCCGGGATACATTAGAACGTCAGAAGCCCACATCCACTGGACCACAATGGACTGCTGATGGACCACTAAAATTCAGCGGGCAGGGAGATTGTGTACAAGTTTTCTATGGAAGCTGATTTTTGCCCCTTTATGTATGCCCTTGAGCCTTATGAGACCTGGGTCCATGTGGAGAAAATGACAAGAGTTCTGCAGAGGATTCTGCAGAGAGAGAAGCCATGTCCAGCAGACCTTTTCCAGACAGGTGAGAAGCTCCAGTTACTACTGTCTGTCCTGGCAACCTGGGTGCATAGTTACGAAGCTGGGTAACTGGTTGAAACTTCTGACTTTGGGAAGAGTGGTTCCCAAAGTTCCCTCTCTGGTAGTATCACTAGGGATATTTGGATGGGACAGATGTGGGACACACAGCTGCATGTTCTCTCCTGCCCATCATGTGTGGCCCACTAGGTTAAGCTATACTTCAGCAATTTAAGGAATGTAACCCTTCTCAAACCAGTGGCCATTTGGGGGGGAACTGGGGAGAGCTATGGTGTAGTGAGGCTTTATGGATAATCACTCACTTCCCCTTGGAGAATCCTGCCTTCAAATATCCCCCCAGCGGTCACTCCATCTAGTAAGATTATTTTCCCAGTACTTCCTTAAGGGCAGAACCCCATCCTGTCAGGTTTGGTTGGTCACTTTCCCACTAAGGGGGTCATGGTGAATCCCTGAGAAGATTTTTCTCTTCCTTTGGCAAGGAGTTGGGAGGTCCCCCAGAGAAGGGATCCAGGGATATAAGCAAACTGATTACCGCCTCTATATTGATTTTAGGAATTGACTCTAAAACTCTGTGCAGAATCTTCACTTGTGTTGGGATTGTATCTTGACATTCCTATTACGTTCTTTTTCTTAACTGGAGTGTGTGCTGCCTTTCAGGTACAATTTTTGTGTAATAAAAGCCAGTGCATTAAGTTTATATAGACTACTTTCTATGCAAGACTGAGATATGGAATAAATAGCAAGAGATATGTACTGTTGGGTACACAGACAATAAGCATGTTTTTAGAAGGGGTACCATCACCGAACATGGGTTGAGGGAGGGTAGTTTGTATATATATTTCTGCCCACTAATTTTGAGCAGCCATATTATCATCAGAGCCAAGTAACCCAACAATGGTGTAATCGCTCAAATGGAATAAGTTTTGAATGCTGGAGTGGAACATTATTCTCAGCTATTCCATGTCATTTTTTATTTAAAGATTCTTGTTATGAATTCTTAGAAACTTTAGGCAAAATCAAAAGTATTCGCAACAAAATAAAGGCCTACTCTGCTGTTATTTAAAGTGCAACACTGTATACTTGTTTCTCTCCCAAGTGAAATTAGGTATTTATGATTTCAATTGCCTTGATAAGTTTCCAAATCACTGATTTATGCTGAGGATTTTACTATATTGTTGCACAATTTTAAGATAATTTTTGTCTCAATGTCAACTTTTTTCACTGAATAAAAATTTAACTGGGTCAAGAAAACACCTGTTTTGAGAAAATCCAGTCTCTCCGCGTCTTGAGTTGTTCTTTTGAGTGCAATAAAGATGGCTGATACAGTCTCAAAACACCATTTGATTTGTCTGTTTTAAAAGGATGTTTATTTCATAGAAGAGAGAACACTAAGACCTGGAATAATTTTATTATTAACAAACTGGTCTCAGATGGTGGATCCTTGAAGAACACAGTGTCTTTGTGTTGGCTGAGGAGTGGGGAGGTGTCGTGGTGGCTGTTGTGAAGTAAATAGATTTATTCCGCAGGGGCAATGACTAAAGTGGCTCCCTTAAAGCTGCAACCGCATTTGCTAAGAGGCAGTTTGCTAAGAAGGCAATTTTCAAATCTAAGAGGAGAAAACACAGCAGCCTGATGAGCTGTGTGTCAAACACCACTTCCAGGAGGTTTCCAGAGGCAGTGAGGTCTTGTGAAGAATGCTGCACTTTCCTCTGGTCAGTAAATAAAAGGCAAATGGACCTATGTACAAATCAGGATTGGAGAGTGTGGAACTGGGCGGTCGGGGGCGGGGGGAGCAAGTTTTTTTTGTTCTTTTTTTTTTCTGGTGAGGAAGATTGGCCCTGAGCTAACATCTGTGCCCATCCTCCTCTATTTTGTATGTGGGGTGCCGCCACAGCATGGCTTGATGAGCAGTGTGTAGGTCCATGCCTGGGACCTGAACCCGTGAACCCTGGGCCGCTGAAGCAGAACACGGGAACTTAACCACTACGCCACCAGGCCGACCCCAGGGCAGGTGTTTTTGATATGACATCTTCCAGTATGCTGCTTTTGTTTAAATACTGAACCAAAATAAAACTGAAGTATTATCATCTCATTCTGTAGATAAGGAAAAAGAGGCTCAGAGAGGTTGTGTACTTTGCTTAGGGGAAACTAGAAAGTAAACGGTGAAGCCAGCCTTCAATGCCAGGTATTTCTGATCCTAGATCCTGTTCTGTATCACTGTACCACACTGCCTTCTGTCACCATTCGGTGTCAGAACACACTCAGTCCAACACATTACACCCAGAGAAATCCCAAGGAGGTACCTACCACCTGGGTGAATTTACCTGGTCAGGGCCTACCCCTTAGGATTTCAGGCTTTAATGACTTATTTTATCAACATGGGATAGTGAGTTCATCTATTCTGGGCAAAACATACCTTAACCAAGCTCTTGAGACTGATAATGCAACAAAATAATGCCCATTTATTAACTCACCACAGGGAATAGTCCTGTTGCTTAGAATGTTAGCATGGTCAGTGCATTCTCTCCCTATAGGGATCTCTACCCAGGAAGCCAGTTACAACTAGAAGGTGGCTTGGTGAGTGTGGATGCAAAATAAAGGAAGTGGGAGGGGTCCCGGCGAGAATCGCAGCTGCCCAATAAATACTGAATGAATGAATGAATGATTGACACTCCACGACAGGAATAATCTACTCCGTATGAACTTAGTATTTGAAACCTTCAGGTTACAATTCCCTGTATCCTTTTCTGTTTAAGAAGGTCTTGCCAATGGAGTCATCCTTGAAGTCACTTTGCTCAAGTTTCCCCTGGATGAGGATTGGGCCCTCCCCATATCTGCCACTCTGACTCATCTCGTTCTGTGTTTTACATTTGGGCACATTCTTCAGACTGGCCTATAATAAAATTTTCCTGGCTTGAGAGCCATTATATCTGTAAGATTCTGCCTATTATGTGTTGATTTTAAACTTTAACTCTAGGAAGACACTGTTTTTGAGTCCTAGGGGACACTTCCATGTAGGCCCCCAATTCTGAATACATCTGTCAGCTATGAGTATCTGATTCTCCAGCCCACAGCAAATTAAAAATGGAAACAGACTGCTAACAGCAGAAGTCCTGACAACAGTAAAAGAAAAGCTGGGAGCCTTATAGTTAGGCTATCAGAAAACCTCTATTAGGGATAAAGGGACTCAACAAACACGTTGTTGGAGCCGTTTAGCACAGGCCCTGTCGGCCCCATAGGGGCAGAATCCCACACATTGAGTAGTCCACTTGATTAGAATAATGATAGTTCCCTTCTATTGAGCCTCTGTTCTTTGCCAGTCACTGTGCTAAACTCTCTATAAATGTTTTTTAAATTCTAAAAATGGTCCTGTGATTTAGATATTAATCTTTGTTTTAAAAGATGAGAAAGATTAGTCTTAAGAGATACTGAGTAACTTCTCCAAGATCTCACACGTAGTGAGTGAGTGGCAGAGTCAAGATCCAAACCTAGATTTATTCCATTCTTAAGTTTGTGTTCTTATTCTCCACGCTACTTTGCCCTTTTGGTACAATATTAAAGGTCTGTAATAGTAATACCATCTGTTTAGGGAATTCAAGGGCACAGGTAACACGTTTTTAAAGGATTGCCACCAGAAAGATTAAAAATGACATTTGAAGACATAAAGAAGTATACTTATATTTCTTTGAAAAATCATTTATGTGGAACACAATATTCCCTATTGATGGTAGATCGATGAAGCCTTTTTTAATTTTTTTTGTGAAGAGATCAGCCCTGTGCAAACATCTGCCAATCCTCCTTTTTTTTTTTTTTTTTTTTTTGCTGAGGAAGACTGGCCCTGGGCTAACATCCATGCCCATCTTCCTCCACTTTATATGGGACGCCGCCACAGCATGGCTTGCCAAGCAGTGCATTGTGCGCGCCCAGGATCCGAACCGGGGAACCCCGGGCCGCCGCAGCGGAGTGGGCACTTAACCCCTTGCGCCACTGGGCCGGCCCCAATGAAGCCTTTTTTTTAATTGGAAAATGTTTTTGTAAAGAATTCAGAAATTAGGAACACAGAGGATTCTTTTCTTTGCAACAACCCAGTTAGATTTTATCAAAATCCTTTGCATCGTGGGAAAAAATCTTCAGTGCACATTTTATTCCCCTCTATTTATGTACACGGTGGAGCACACCATTGCAACATGTTCTATTAGGGAGATAATTGGGCTAGCATGAGACCATGAGGGTCCCAGCAAAAGGAGGTGGCTGCCATTCTTGTCAAACAGCCCAAACTGGCCTTGATGCCAGTGGCCCATTAATTTTTTTAAAAAAGATTATGTGTAGGGTAATTTGAGCCTGCAACAATTTACAGAAGAACAATGATGTTACGCTTATAAAAATGCTAATGTTATCATTGTAATGTCGCAACCTATTTAATGCCAAAATGACAACTGGTAATGTTTGGGAATATTTGTATGAAAACAATGACATTTCATACTTAAAACTCAGCATCAGCAAAATATGAGGAAGAAAAGGCTTGGATTTAAATGTAAATCAGCCTTTTATATTTGCTCTGTGGTTGTTTGCTAGTCCATAAAGCCTTCAAGATCAGTTGAATGAAGGTGTCTCATAATTAAAACTTATTTTTCAGTCTCTAGCAGAAGCAGAACCTATGGGTTACCCAGGGATTGATCAGCCCTCGATGGTGCTGAACTGTCTGGGTATGTGTGTGCATGTGTGTTTTAAGGAATTCTTCATAGGCGGTAGATGAACAACC